GAACCTTCTGAGACCCAGAGGATTCCTGCATCTGACAGCAACCATGAAGCTCCAAGCCGTGGAGACAGAACACAACCGTCAAGGGGGGGCCTAGCATACAGACCAAAGGACTCTCTATCTAATAAAAAGGGCGACGCAGTCAATGAAAGACAGTCGGTTGCCTCGAGCAGCTGTGTGCCTTCAGAGTATGATGCTTCTGACAAGAGGAGACCACGCCAAAAGCAAGAGGTTCATTCTGGGCGTTCAACGGATGCTGGGTTTGCCACTGGACGTGGGAGGTCAAATCTCATGCAAAGTGGGTCAAATGGTGGCCCTCTGGGAGCTGAATCTCGAAACAACTGTGAAGTTGCCGTGGAGAAATCTTGCTTTTCTGCGGGGATGTTTCGTTATCCCAGAGGGAAACTTCTTGATATTTACAGGAAACAGAGGAAAATCCCTTCTTTTAATGCTGCTCCAGAAGGATTTAATCAAGTTCCCATAATCAGTCAATCAAACATAATTAAGCCCTTGGCCCTTGTGACTCCTGATTCGGATGAGAAGGTAGATGAGCAAATTTTCGCACATTGTAATAAGATGATGGTAAAGCTGATTTTGACAAATTGATGTGGCTGGCAGGCTCTTCTACAGGACATCTTCCATGAGGAAGCCACTTCTGTTGGCCCATCTTCAAAGCTTTCTGGAGAGAACATGTTGAGATGTCAAGAGATGGAGACAGGTGACGGCTCGCCGATGCTTCCATTGTGCACATTCTGTTGAGTACGATTTCAATGATTTTCTTGATTGCTGTTGTTCAGGGAAAACCCACATGAAAACTGGTAGTAATCGTCGAGAAGTAATCGGTAAACTATTTTCCCTTTTATGGCCTGTGTTTGTGCTGCTTTTCGTGATTGACCGCTCTAAGGGTGGACTTTTTCAGATCGGACTTCTTGCCAAGAGAATAATAAAAATGAAGCTACGATATCGATTTTCCCAAAGGCCAACGATATGCACAGAGTCAGTGGGTCATGTCGATCGGCTTCTGTTACTAATCACGGGAATAAAACAGAGTCTTTGGTCAGAAAAACTGCCGTTTATAAGCCTGTAAATGGACAACAAAGGTTGGCGACTGAAAAAAAGTTGACTTTGGCTCAGAACAGTCGACCAGATGTACACCAGCCCCTTGACTCAGCTGCACCGAAGAAGAAGGTTTGCAAAGAGTCCTCTGGATTTCCTCAACGTCCCAGACCAGGTGATGAAGGTTTGCACTACCTTCCTTTTACCGTGTGTTCTGTGTTCCAGTCTCTTCTTTCTCTCTTTCTTGCTACTCCTCTGACGTTTCAACTTCTTCTTTTTTCCTTTTTTTTTTGGTCTGGAAGTGCTATTTTCTGGAAGAGCAGCAGACAGCTACCAGAGTCAGGTGAGGCTGCCCCCATCTGGTCTTGAAGATACAGGGCGGGTTCCGACTGTGCATCATTTCCGTAGCACAGAAATGGGAGAATCAAGCTTCCCCAGCCGCAGGATTCTGTCAGATAACAATTTGACCCATCGTTGGATGCATCATCCGGAGCATCATCTGATGAATCTGGAACCGGGGAGGGACAGATCTGTCCTGGGTCAGAGTCCAAATGTACGCGATTTTGCCCAGAGGCTGCCACATCTGGAGCAGGAATCCACCCCACTCACTCTTGAAGAACACTTGCTACCGCAGTTGCGGAGTCAACATGTTCAGAGGCGAACATCGCAGGTTCATCTGAATGGGTCATCAGAGAGTCAACCGCAGTCCTCTCATCACCAAGAGGCCGTCAATCATCCCGATCACCTGTTGGAACAGCTTCTAAAACTTCAAGCCCAGCATCAACTGTTACTCCTACAACTACTGCAGCAACGCGGGAGCCATCACCATCAGCAGCAGGAGACTCAAACGCAGCAGTTGCTTATCGAGCAGCTACTGCAGCAATGCATGCTTGAGACTTTGGGTTATCATTCATCTCCTGACTCACAGCAACAATCTCTTCACCCTTCAGGGCATCTCAACACCAATCCATCTTCGAAATCACTTTTCAAATACAAGTTTGGGAATAGAGTGTGCCAAACACCAGCTGTTCTCTCACAAGAAAAGCACAAGGATGTACTTCTGGACCGTCAGCTTCAGGCAGAAAGGTCTCCTGGAGTAGCTAGACAGTCATTTGGTGTGGAAGGAGAAAGACACCTTGCTGGGTTATGGTCGATTGACAATTATGGGCAATGTCAATCCGGTTCTTATGGACTTGGTCAATCGGATCTTCAACAACAGGTACATCGTACTGAAGGCATCTCACAACCTTCTGAGAGGTCTTATCTTGGTTCTTCAGGAATGAACATGGATCTTCCATCACAATTTAAAGGGTTAGGCTGGCAGAATCATCTTGGTCATCTTATATCTGTCAACACCGGTCAGCTCCCTTCCGACAAGCATCCTCATCATGAACATATCCCAAACCAAGTGAATCTCGATGATGGGCGACTGAAAAATACCCCGATGAATGTCAGTTTTGCTTCTGAGGAGACAATTTCATGGAGAGGAGCTGGAAATGATGAAAAATCCAGGCAGGCAGGGAACATCCTCCCTGAAACGAGGGAAGCTGCCAAGCCCTTTTATATGCATTCGTCAGATCATTCGCCTGGTCTCCTACCGTCTCCAGCTTTCCAAGGGGATCCTTTTGCGGAAGACATCCTTGGTCCCAACATTTGGCGAGTAGCAGAGGATGAATTGACGTTCCAATCGAGTTCTAGAGCAAGGAGGGCAGATGAAGGTTTCTCATCTACTGTAAATGAGTTGAAGAGTACGCTGGCTGTAAAGGAGGACATCCGCGGTCTCAACATCACGGAGGCCAAAGAGGAAGAACTGATGAATGCAGGACAGACTGACCACGCTAATGGTGATGGGATGCTTCTTTTCCATTCTAGTGTTAGAGCAATAGAGGCAGATGAAGGGCTCTCATCTACTGTAAATGAGGTGAAGACTACGCTGGCTGTTGAGGACATCCGCGGCTCCAACGTCAGGGAGGCTGAGGAGGAAGAACTGATGAATGCAGGACAGATTGAGCATGCTAATGGTGATGGCATGCTTCTGTCCCATTCTAGTTTTAGAGCAGTGGAGGCGGATGAAGGGTTCTCATCTACTGTAAATGAGACGAAGATTGTGTCAGTTGAAGATTGCAGGGTAGAAAGCGGCAAATCCGAGGGGAACATAAAAGATGACTCTGAAGGTAGCCTGACAATCAGTTTATTATTTCCTTTTTATTTATTTGATGCGATTGTAAAAAAAAAAAATCATGGTTTTTTTTTATTTATTGCGAACGTGAATTTGAGATAGATACCTTTGAACTCTTGATCAAATCACTTGGTTGGCCGCCGAAATGATGGCATAGTCTCGTTAGTTTCTTTGCTTGATCTGACATTTGTGATGAATTTGTGTTTTTTTCGTTGTTAGATTATTATTTTTATTTATTTTTGGTTAGTTGCTGAATTAAAAAACTGAATCTTTTGATTCTATAATGTCGTGAAGGAGGAAACGTGGGACTAAACAGCACGGAAATGGGATTGGAAAACAGTCCGACGGAGACGCTGGTTAGTGACAGGTTGACTTTCTTTTTCCTCTTTAATGCTGATATTTTGTCTTTTTTTCAAATTATCGTATGTTCTGAGACTTTTCTATAAAATCTATCATTATTTTTTTATTTTTTGACATCTGGGTGAAATATTCTTCATACATCTGTGTGGCGAGACATATTCAGTGGGTATCAGAAATGGGGGGATTTTCCCCTTCTTCTTCCCTTCATCTGGTAGGAACGCTGTTTGACTTACCCGTCTCTAGTTAGTCAAAGGGTCTCTTCTTTTCGCGCCGTAGAATAAGGATGGTGTGAAAAGTCAACTCTTGAATTTACGTGCGGTCGGCATGCTTCTCGCTTTGTTTCACTTTTAGAAAGCTCTGAGAGGAGATGAGCGTGGGAATATGGAGGCACGCGCGTCAGCCTTTCTCTCTCATCTTTTTTCGGCTTGGTTTGGTCTGTGTTCACGTAAATCTTCCGTTTTTAAGCAAAGATCTTGATCTCTCCCTCTCTCTCTCCCCTCTCTCTCTCCTTTTGAAGGTTGACCTGTCCAGAAGGTTCACCGGTGGCGGCATCTGAGGAAGAGGCGGCGGTGGAGACGGCAGGGGAGAGCAGCGGCGAGAAGAACGAGAGGAAGAAGTGGAGGAAGGGGCGGAAGATGGACCCACGTCTGCTCGGCTTCAAGGTCCGCGGCTGCCGACCCGACCACTGAGACAAATTCTATTCATTCTTGCCCCCACTTGCACCATACATTGCCCCCGCTGCCCATTCTTTCATTCATTCTGTAGAGAGAGAGAGCTGGACATAACTGACCGTGTACAGCCGCCGTAAGTAACTCTCTCTCTCTCTCTCGCTCTCAAAACCCGTGAACCATTTAGCTCTACATTAGGGATGGTGAAGTGGCTACATCCAGAGGCAGCTCACAGAGAGAGAGAGAGAGAGCTTCTGAGAAGTAGGTGCTCCCATTTGACAAACTCTCTCTCTCTCTCTCTCTCTCGCTCTAAGCCCGTGACCCATCTATGAGACGATCAGGACGTTCTGTTCTCTCTCTTCTCTCCCCCTCACTCTGGTCTAGGTGGAGGAGAGAGAGAGAAGGGGTGCCAGCTGGTATTTTTGGCCATGACAAGTGTAATTGAAAATGAGTGAATAAATAAATTTTTGGAAATAATATAAATCAATAAAAAAGCTACTTCCGCCGCGAAACTCCGCTTCAGACGAATCGGATTTAGTTTGCTCTATACCGATAGGATACCGGATCTAGAACGTTATATCAGCAGCTTCTGACCGTTAGATGTGTGTACCCTTCGCCATCGGTGGACCTCTCCCTCCCTCCCCATTTCCCTCTCTCCATCAAATTCGGAAGGGGAGGCCGGAGAGAGAAAGAGAGATAGAGAGAGAAAGAAGAGAGAGAGAGAGAGAGAGAGGGGGATGATGGAACAGAAGAGCCCCGAAGGCCTCGTCTCCACAGACCCCGATCGCGAGCTCTACACCATTCCCAACCGCTCCAGTACGAGCTCGCCTTCCCTTCTTTTCCTACTCCCGCTCCTCTCCACGCTCTTGCTAGGGTTAGGGTTCCTGAGGACTTTCTTGATTCTCCCGTTCTGATGGTGGTATGGTGTTGCAGGTTGGTTCCAGTGGGACGAGATCCACGAGACAGAGAAGAGGGAGTTGGGGGAGTTCTTCGACGGGAGCTCCTTCTCGAGGAACCCGAGGGTCTACAAGGAGTACCGGGACTTCATCATCAACAAGTACCGCGAGGACGCCTCCCGGCGGCTTACCTTCACGGAGGTCCGCAGGTCCCTCGTCGGTGACGTTGGATCCATCCACAGGGTTTTCCTCTTTCTTGACCGATGGGGCTTGATTAATTTCTCTACTTCTGACGGGGATAGAGCGGCCGCCGCAGGGATAGACAGCGGTGGGGGCGCGTTCTCTGTCGCGCTGGAGGATGGTCCCCCTAGCACCGTCAAGGTTGTGCCTAGCCCTAATTCCTCGAAAGGGTTATCGGCTCAGCTGGCCTTTGGTTCGAAGGTGGTGGAGGCCGGAAGCAGTTTCAGGTTGCCACCTTTGACGTCTTACTCGGATGTTTTTAGCCAGCAGACGCCCCTGGCTGGCCGAGTATGTGGGGATTGCGGCGAAGAGTGTATATCCGGATATTATGAATCCCAATCGGTAATATTTTAAAGACAGTGCTATGGTTGCAGTGCTTCTGTTTTCTTTTCGAAATGTGGATTTTATTTTATATCTCTGCCATTCTAATTCAACCGTTCAGTAACATTTCTTCCCTTGTTGGCATGGCATTACGCTTTTTAGAATTGTTGTACTTAAAATACAATTAATTTTCGATTATGTTCGTTTGGTGGTTTTGGCATCTTAGGATCACGTCGATAAACACAAGCTAGATATATTCGTTACGATGAAGTCACATGGGGGATTAGTATCTTAGTGGAAAATATGTCGAGCCAATAGAAAGGTGGGATTGGTGAACTTTGGGGTATGGTTTTGATTGATGAACTCATTGTTGGTTAATCTATCTGTAACACCCTTCATGCTCTCTTTGTGCTGTTGTTGTAAAGAATACTGGGAAAATGGTTATTTGAGGGAAATATGAAACTTGAACACTTTAGAGGGCGAAGAGTTCAGAGTCATTTTCATGAAGCAGTCTCTTTAGTGCCTCTTTGTAATTTCATTCAAGTGTTGAATAGCTAATTCAGGAAAATAGCAGAATGAGAATTTAGAAGAATTTTTTCATATGATTGATTCATGAGCAAATAACAGCACTGCCAAATTATAGCGTAGGGGAAATGCACCTGAAGATTTTGATTTTCAATTCATCCATCATTGAAGACATGTGTTAACCTTAGGTCGTAGCTGGTCTTCTCTCTTTCTGGTCTGTGAATTTGGATATTAAATCTTTGACATATAGGGTTTGGCCTGGTTGGTGATGGATGTGGCAGGGGAAATGGATGGCCCATTTGGCCAAGATTGTGACTACAAATCTTTGACTATTTTTTCTATTCGGTGAATTAATATCACCGGCAACTAGGAATGCCATGGGTTGTTTTGGCCTAATGCCGTTATGCTAAAAGAGTCATGAATGCTCGGCACATGCTGGGTTTTAGAGTGGGTGGCAAATCACTCCTGGTCAAATTTCTTACTGTAGAGGCGCCTTCTATTCTATTAAATCCTTATCTGCTTTTTTAAGGAGAAGGTTATCCCTTGTTTCGTGCCTTCTTAGTGTTGTGAGATCGTGATTCAGGCTACCTGGTATGGTTGGAAAGGTATAAAATTCGAACTGCACTTCGGAAATGTTCGTTGTGTATCGAGAAACAATGCCAATGAACATAAAAACAGCGATCCTATCATTGTTCACTTAGATGGATTGGTCAGGTAGCCATGCCTGTACACCTAATGATACAAGCTAATTTTCGTGGGTTTTTGGAGGTTGTCATATTTTCGTAGGTTTTTTGGATTGGTCAGCGGCTCCTCTCCCCATTTTTTTTGCTGCAAATATTTCTTATTTTTCCTGGCAGGCAATTATAATCTGTGCCTAATGCTCCAGGATGAGAATTATGGCTCAGGAAATCTAATACTTTTATTCTGCCTGACAGGGAATTGTAATCTGTGTAAAATGCTTTGAAAATGAGAGGTCGGGTCCAGGAAAGAGGGGGGAAGGCTACAAGTTCTATGATCAAAAGATTGACAGCGCAAAACATCTTGCTAATCAATGGACGGACAGGGAAACACTGTCTCTATTAGAAGCCATTGTCTCAAAGGGGCCTGATTGGGACCTTATCGCCAACCACGTTCGTAGAAGTAGACTTGATTGTATTGGGAAACTTATTCAGCTTCCTTTTGGTGAGCATATGGGCACTCACGGAGGAAAATTTGATCAGAGGAATTCTATGAGCCAGCAAGGTGGGGAATCTGTAAAATGTACACTGCCTGATATGTTCCAACAGGAAAGTGGCCATGAATCAGATGATATCGCTCCGGAAAGTACAGGTGAACCTCCCAGGAAACGGAAACCCTTTCCTTCTCTTGGAGATGCAAGTGATTCACTGGTTGAGCAGGTAAACTTGTTTTCTGGGAATTGACAAGTAATGGGCACAATTTTGTTTATGAACTTAATTTTGAATATCATCTGATTGTATCATTGTTAGGTAGCTTCATTGTCAGCACTAGCCGGACCACATGTTGCTTCAGCTGCTGCTGAGGCTGTAATTTCAGCGTTATGCGAGGAACATCCTTTTGCAAAGAAGGTATTCACGTTGGGTGATGATGAAATACAGGATTCAGATATTTATTTTGCATCAAAGTGCGGCCCAATGAGGTTAGCATCATTCGCCACCATGACACGAGTGTCTGATACATAAGGAGAGGGATTTCACTGAAAGTATACTGATCAATCATTTTTCTATAGTGTTACGCTATTAATTTCTCTGTGCGTTTTCTCAGTGATTTAAAGGTTGAAGATGGGGAGAACGACGAACCTTCTGATGAACTAGGTGTGTGTGATTATGTTGGATTACTTCTGCCGTACTAGATTTTGCTTCTGCGAATGAGATTCTTTTGCATGAGACGAATTGAAAGAGCGTTTATTTAATAATTGTTGTGGATTGAATCAACCTGATCCCTGATGACCCTTTGCATACGGATGCTGGCTGACAATGGATGATATTTATGAAAAATCTGGGAGATCTGATGTCTGGATTTTCTAGACCGAATGGGGCTGTAAGAGCTGAGGTTTCTTCTTCAATTTATCCCCAACTTGTGAAAGAATAGCATGGGACGTTTGGTCAGCTATACTATGATCATGTCTGCTTCTCCTGGTCCAAACTGAATGATCCATTAAATCATAATCGATGCAGAAATAACTACAGTCGAATAACTCATATCTATTTATGGAGTAGCTGAAGACGGCTTTGTTGGAATCACTGAGCGTACAAGTTTTTTTGTGAACAAATTATTTTATTGACAAGAGAGCGTACAAGGACCACTGAGCAATTACCATTGAACCCGAGAACTGAAAACTCACCAGCCCTACAGTTTTTTTGTTTTTCTTCTTGAAAACTATGATCCATTCCTTATAACACTATCTCATTGAGCCCGGGTTTTTCTGATAATCTTGAATCTTCTACCTCCGCAAGGCATTCATATTGTGGATACAAAAAATATGCAGATTTTAGAGCTCCACTGGTGTCTTATTGACCGCTTTGGAGATTAAAAGAATCATATGAGAGAGAACCCATTGCAACCAAATTCTTGCTCTAATGTTCTTCCCTCGACTGCATTGATATCATGTGATATTAATTTTTCAGAAACTAATGTCTTGAATAAGTCGCCCAATTGAACGATATTCAATTGACAATAAATGCGATTCATTTACCCCATCTGCAGAATGTAAAACTGGTAGGAGCTTCAGCCACTCAATGTTTCGGATCAATGCCGCCACCGCGACAGCCTTCGGGGCGGTAGCTGCTCGTGCTAGATTACTGGCAGACCAGGAAGAAAGACAGATTGAATGCTTAATGGCTTCCATAATTGACCTGCAGGTTTGCTTCCTTCAATTCCTTATGAGTTGACCACTTCATTCAAAGGGAAAATACAATTTTCTCCCCTTGATGCCGCTATAATTTCTCATCAAACGCTGTTAATGTCATCTGAAATCTTAATCATCTGATTCATTCCGGTAACCATTTATCCGAAATCTCTTCATCATGACCATTTTTCGGTATGGATGAACCGAGTCATGGATTTATTATCATTATGATTACTATTCGTACTACGCTGTTAGATCTTCCATAATTATCATATAATCACACTAATCTTTCTATTTTCGGTTAAGATAAAGAAGATGCTGCACAAGATGAAGCATTTCGGGGAGCTGGAATCCATCATGGAGGAGCAGTACGCCCAGATACAGCAGCTCAAGGAGGACATCCTCCAGGAATGGATAGACATCTCCCAGCGGGCGCTCTCTGCTGGCATCCCACGATGGAAGGACCACGGTTTGCCGAAATCTCTTCCCAATCGGAGCTCCATCACCTGATCTTCTTCTCCTGGTTGACTTTGATCCCCTTGGTCAACCCCCCAGAATGATGGGCTCTTCTTATCTTCTCTCCTCGTATCCCTCTATTATGGCTCCATTTATCGCCTCTAATCACTTGAGAAATGAAATCCCCTTTGATAGATTAATAGATCTTTTGAAGGCGGAAATTATGTACATTTTTTACAACATATGTGCACCGTTGACCTTTCTCCTTTCTGTCTATAATCTTATCTACATTTTGTTGGGGTCGTCGCAGCTCAGCTGTCAAGAGTAGGATCTGACGAGCCTGAAGCTCTGGAATGAGCAGGCCCTGAGGAGGCTTCCCAGGAGGAATCCTGTCGTCTCCGCCGCATGCTTCAATGGCGGACTAGAGCGGCCACTGTCGCCACCACCGCCACCGCCACCGCCGCCGCCTTTGACTCTGAGCGCCGCCTTGTCCAGCTGCCCAATCTGGCGGCGGACAAAGTCGATGGTCTTGGGCTCCACCGGGCCTCCCGACGTGTCGGAGACGTAGAAGGTGTCGACGGCCCTGCCGGCCTCAGTGGTGCTTATCTCTGCTCTCCTTATCGCCAGTCCACTCTCCCTGAACACCCTCGTTATGTCCGAGAGAAGCCCCACTCGGTCCTCCGTCTCCAGCTCCAGCTCCACCCCCTCAAAAGTCCGCCGGTCAATCGCCGCCGCCAGACACCGCGCCACCCGTTGACTCTCTGCCTCCGAGCTTATCGGCCTCCCGTCCGCATGCCGGATGTAGTACTCCTGCGCATGCCCAAGGTCGAAATTCAGCTCGATCCAGCAAAAAAGCCCAACGACGTCAATGTGAAGTCAACGGGTGGAAAGTAAAGTCAACCTGCCAGGCCTCGGCGCTGCGAGCTGAAACGGTGCCGTGGAAGACGAGGTAGTGCATATCGGTGAGGGCGCAGAGGGTGTCGAAGAGGAGCTTGGGGCGGTCCTTGGACCTGACGGTGACCACGGTGTAGCCCTTCTCGTGGCAGTAGGAGACGCCGACGTGGGTGGCGGCGGCGCTGTTGCCGCCGGCGAGGGCCTCGGTGGCAGCGCCGCCGTCGTCGTACATAAGCTGGTGGAGCCGTCGGTCGCGGTGGTGGGTCACGGCCATAGAGACCTCCGTGGTGGCGGCGCGGGGGATCTCGCCGTCGCCACGGAGGACGTTGCAGAGGAGCTCGCGGATGGCGGCGATCCGCGGAGGGTCCTCAACGGCGGCGCCGCCGGTGGCGTCGCTGACGCGGAGCACCGCCGCCGCGCGGGAATTGTGGGTCCAAATCTCGGCCTCCACCACGTTGCAGCTCATGTCCCTGAGCACGGCGCAGACCTCCGAGAGGAGACCCGGCCGGTCGGCGCCGGTGAGCTCGATCGAGGTCAGGCTCCGCGCCGGCGCCGCCACCGCGGGCAGGGAGGAGGAAGCGTGCGAGCCCACATGCTGCAGGAGAAAGTTTACGGGGTTGGAAACGAATAAGGTGGTAGAAGAAGAAAACTTCTGGGCAAAGATTACCGAATAAGGAAATCCCTTTATTTATTTATTTTTGGGACGGGAAGTATGGGACTGAAGATAACAAATCCTTTTTTTATTTCGAAAAGAAAATAAAATAGAATAAGAGGAGAAAAATGAGAGGAGATGGTCACCTCCTCGATCTTGCGGATGATCTCTTTGTCGACGACCTTGTTGCCCTCGCCGTCCGTCACGTGGAAAACTGCAGAGTTCCAGAGCTGGTGAGAAAAATAATTCGGATTTGGGCGAAAGTTTTCGGAAATTAGAAAAAAATACGACCGAACCCACCAACCGTCAACCACTGCCGCTTTCTGGGCTCGTGAGAAAAATCCAAATTTGGAAGATTTTTCTCAGAAAATACGGCACAGGAAACTATGACCGAGTCCATGATCCATGAACCGCAGGAGATCTCCGGGCTCGGTAGAAAAATTCAAGTGAAAATCTACGGAAATTAGACTGAACCCAGCATCCATAAGCCAGTGCCAATTTCTGGGTTCCCCGAGGAAAACTCGAACTCGGGAGATTTTTTTGATAAATTAGAAGAAAAAAAAAAGTATGATGAACTCACCGTCCATGAACCACTCCCCATCGAAGGACATGTTGGCTTTGACAATGACGAGGTTGAGATCGGCCAGGGCCTGCACAACCCCGAGGAGTATTCCCTGTTTGTTCATAGCCTCCACCTGCAAGCAGAGAGAGAAACAGAGAGAGAGAATAGGAATCTGATACCAAAAAAATAGAGCAGGAATTCGCGGAAGGAATAGGTTCTGATACTCACACGAAGGAGCTTCATGATCGTGGCGTCGGCGCAGGCATCGTTGTCGATCACGAAGCTGCAGATATTCCATTAGAATCAGATCAAACGATAAGTATAAGATGATGCAGCTCGTCGAGAAGCTCCAAAAGCGGAGAGCCCACGAATAGTGGAGGGAATCCCAGAAAGAAAACGGAGAGAAATCCAGCTGAAATTAACCAGAACCTGAGAAACACTCCCTAGAAGGGTAAGGTCTGGAGATTCAGGAGGAAGAAAGAAGAAAGGAAAGCGCCAGCCGTACCTCGGAGTTGTCATCCTGCGGACGAGCTTGGCGTACCAGTCGTCCATCCCTCTCTCTCTCTCTCTCTCTCTAGAGATCTGAGGGTTTGGAGGAGCAAATGGCGAGGCGAGAGGAAGAACGGAAGAATGGAAGGGAAGAAATCAAAGAGAGCCTTCCCGCTCCAACTGAGACGAACTCCTCCCTCCCGCTGTCTTCTCACACCCTCTCTTCATCAGCAACGAAGAGTGAGCGAAATGGGAGAGATATCGCTGGCCCCCCCCTCCCTCCCCCCTTTTCCCCCTCAAATATCTCTCCCTCTCTCCCCAGATTACGAGGGCTTGCAGAGTACCCGGCAGGTAGGACGGAGGCGGTGGGCGCGAACTGCACGCGATGCAGAGCCTTTTCCCTTTAAGCATCAGCTCTCTCTCTCTCTCTCTCTCTCTCTCTCTCTCTCTTTCTCTATTTTCCTCCTCGTCTATCTTCCTACGGCATTCCTCTCCTCTGACCACCCCCTGTCCTTGGTGGATCTGGTCACCGACTGGACCTCTGGACCAACAGCGCACCAGCTACAGCGTCGGTGACCGGACCGTTTCCCAACCTCCCTCGCCTCCAATTATTTAATTGAAGTTAATGTCTCGTAGTCAATTCGAATTATGCTCAACCCTTGGGGATGGGAAGGGACCCAATGACGTGGCCACTCCTATGACCGCCACGTTCCGCTACCTTGGGTAGGCCCATTGGTCGGTACAGATCCGAAATTAACTTGGCCGTTGGATCAGACCGATATCCGGATTTTGCCTTTGCTTTGGCAGTAAGCCAAGGGATCCGCTGGAAGGCGCTGGAATCGGGGACGATTCGATTCGGATTCCGCACGATCTCGGTTCCGAACGCTGCGGAAGGTGTAATGGGAATCGTCATTTCGCACGTGCGTGCCGGCACGAGTGGGGCTCCGACAGCGCTACCAGCTGTCACGTAGCTCAGAGGCCCAGTAACTTGCCTCTTCGGAGAATCGCGACCGGTTGGGGGGGACCAGATCTGACGGCAGATCTTTGGGTTTGTCTCCGCTCTTTCTCTCTCTATATCTATCGTTTCTCTCTCCATATCTGTCAGTCTCCCTCTCTCTCTCTCTCTCTATCTCACATTCAAGGCGAAAATTTGGGCGTCCTCTGCCGGGATTCCGATATTTCAACTGTCCAGCGACGCACTTTTTCCCTCCTTGCCTTCCCTCTCTCTTTCTCTCTCTTCACCATCCTCATATCCAACCATCTCTCTCCTCTCTCTCTCTCTCTCTCACTATCTCTCTCCTCATACCCCCTCTCCTCTCTCTCTCTGTACCTCTCTCTATCCATCTCCCAATGTATCCTCTCTCTCTCTCTTATCTATCTATTTCTATCTAACCCTGTGGAGCCTCTCCTACCTCTCCTTTCTACATCTTCTCTCTCTCTACACACGATTGGTGGCCAGTTCGTGCAGGGTAAACTACCTTGAAAGATATCTCGCTAATTCTCTCTCTCTCTCTCTCTCTCTCTCTACATCTTTTTAAAGAATATTTCTGAAAATATCGAAATATATTAATAATCATTTAAAAACATATTTTCTTATTTTTAATGGTCCGTATTATCGTAGATTATGAAGTTGGGTCCTGGAAGACCACATTATTCATAGATAAATAACGATAAATTATTATTCTACCATAAAAAACTCTCCCCAGTTGTTGGAATCTATTATTTTTATATGGATAAATCATTTTTTAATTTTTCCAAAATATATTCCACCAGATCTCGCCCAAAAAAAAAAAATTATTATATTTTCCATATGGTCCACAAATTCCAAAGAAAAATTCGAGGAGAATAAACACCCAGTGGGCCCGCGCATAACATCGTATCCGACCCTCGGATCCGACGATGGCGATGTTTGGAAAACGGTGGGCCCCACTCGGGTCGCGAGGATTCAGGATTGGATAAGATGGAGCGGAGCGGCCGCATTTATGAAACGAAGGGTGACCACATCAGCTACGTGGCACAGTCCCTCGGCCACGTGGAGGCCAGGTGGATAGGCGGAGAGGTCACTGTAGACCACGGCCGTGCATTATCCACAGGACGAGATAAAATTGAAATATTTTTTTAATTAACTCCCTATTTTTCCCCCGAAAGAGAGAAAATATCTAATACGAAAGAATCACTACAAAATCTCCATAAGGGCAATATAGTAATTATTGATATCTTTTTTCACACGTAGACAGATATTTTTTTTATTTTATCGGAAATTTAGGTTGGCCTTTCAACTTCACCAATATTAAATATAAATAGAGAGAGAGAGAGTGAGAGAGGTATATTGCGTCATTATTATGAATAATTTATGCTTGACCATGCATCATTATTATTTATTGCAAGCGAAAAGTTCGTCATCATTTTCTGGGCGGCGGCGGAGGTTGGAGGCCTCCTTAGTCAAAGTCCGCTTTTGCTTTAGGTCTCTGCAATTAGAGTCAACGATAAGTTGGGGGTGAGGGGGTTTCCAAGTTAGGGTACATGACGGCGACATTGCCCCCCAAAACAGGCAGTGATTACGATAAGATTATAACGTTGACTAAGTACAGTGACTACGTGGCATCTGGGCCCGGAGAACGTCACCTAGGGGGAGATATTCCCTATTTTCCGGTAATTATTAAATTGGTGACGTGTATTATAATGTTTTTCTGGTCAACACACGTGACTACTTCAATGGCATCACGTGCGACCTCGCAGGAAACTTTATTTTTAATATAAAACTCATGTTTTGTATACGTTTAATATTTTCACTTAAACTGACGTCATTTTTTTTTTTTCAGGGAATTCCTTTTTAATATTAAATAATATTAAGTTGACTTCTTTATATTGTTGTGAAATCATTATGGTGTGAGGGGAGGAGGGAAATTTGACTTACTTTATATAGCAATAAAGATCGAAATCACCGGGTGACGTGAGAATGGGAAGTTTCCACCAATCGTTGACTTATGTCTCAATTCAACATGCAGATGCACATCCATGGGAGTTGACTGGGGCTATGTAGCCTCTGAAAAGGAGTCGAACTCTCCTTGATCTATGAGAAGAATCCAGAAGATGGGCTCTGGGCTGGGCTATGGTAAAGTCAAGTCTAGCCGTTGACAATGTCGCAGAGCAAGCAAAGAAAGAGAGTTGACTTGGCCAGAGCTGAGAACGTGCGCTCTTAGACCAGTCCACTTGGAGGAGTTAGGCTGTCGAAGGCAGATTAGGTGGGTTAGGTGATTGTGCGTTTGGCTAGCAATGCGGTCTCTCTTGACTGTGGGTGCTTAGTCTATTATTTAGGTCAATCTTGCCTCGTGTATAGCTTCTAGAGACCGAGAAATAGGATTAAAGCAAAGCGTACAAGATCTTGTTTTATTTTATAATGGTCATTTTAAGTAACTTTTGTTGACTTGATGTGATTTCTCTTGGACAATATTTTAGAGATAGGGAGAAATAGAGAGAGAGAGAGAGAAAGGGAGAAAGAGAGAGAGAGAGAGACGGGAGAAATGGAGAGAGAGATAGGGAGAAACAGAGAGATAAAGAGAGAGGGGGGGAGAAATGGAGAGAGAGATAGGGATAAATATATATATAGAGAGAGAGATAGGGATAAACAGAGACACAGAGAGAGTGAGAGGGAGAAATAGAGAGAGAGAGAGAGAGAGAGCCGGTACGTAAAGCTACGAGAAGGGCCCATCAATAATAATGGGCCGAGGCCCACGAGCAAGCAAGCCAGCACGTGATGGAATTTGGCGTCTGTTGACAGAGATTTTCCAGATGAGGAGCAGGATATCTATCTCTCTATCTCTAAATTTTATAGTTCGTTCGTCTCGCCGCCCATATCCATAAGCACACGGCTGCCGGCGGAGCTTCCTCGCGGTCCCGGAGATGGCGGCTTCCTTGGCGACTCTGGTGAGCCTTTCTTCTTCTTCTTCTTCTTCATCTTTCTCGTCGCCCTAGATTTGTTGACCGCTGGAGATCCCCCTTCCCTCACTTCTCCGCAGGCGAACGCGGGCTCCGCGGTTTCCGGCCCCAGAAGCATTCGCCAGGCCCAGCAGTTCTTCGCTCCTTCCTCCGGTCTCCTCAAGCTTCGGAAGGGCGGCGCTGTTCCGGCCCCGTCGATGTTCTCCTCCGCCGCCGCCATCTGCGGCTCCTCGCGGCTCGGGGGGCTCCTCTCCTCCTCGATTTCGCTCCCAGGGAGGGCGCGCTTCTCCAGGCAGGCTCGCGCCGCATTGGAGGTCTGAGTTAACAACCAGGGTTTTGCATGCGTTCGCTGGTTCTGGGAATAATCTTAGCGGCTTCTTCTCCTTTCCTCCTGGAAATGGTTGTCGCAGGAGATACTTAGGATTTTATTTCTGGGATAATTAGGGTTTTCTTCTGTGTTCTTGTAGGAACCGGCATTGCAGTCTAAGGTGACGACCAAAGTTTATTTCGATATCAGCATTGGGAATCCGTCTGGGCAGCCCGTCGGGAGGATAGTCATCGGGCTGTTTGGAGATGATGTTCCCCAGACGGCGGAGAACTTCCGAGCCCTCTGCACAGGTCTCTGGGCTCGTTTCGATTACAATAACTGGTTGTTCTTTGCTGCATCTAGTTGATCTCGCCATGGTTAATTAGGGTTCTATCAATTCTGGTCAGAATCACATCGTCTGGTCTTCTCATTCGCATCGTGCTGTGAACAGGGGAGAAGGGATTCGGGTTCAAAGGGTCCAGCTTTCATCGTGTCATCAAGGATTTCATGATCCAAGGAGGAGACTTCGACAAGGGAAATGTAGGCCTCTTTTCGTATCATGGATTTGACCAGTATTGATCTATACATATGTATATATATATTCCATTGTTCTTCGCTCGATCTATAGTCTCTGATCAGAGTTCTGTCGTATGTTTATAAACTTTATGAAACCATGGTTTCGATAATTCACTTGAAATTTTTTGCTGTATTTTTTTTAGTTTGCAGCCCCTCATTTCAGCAATTTAGACTATAATAAATCAAAGGAAGATTTTTTTTTCCTTTTTCGGGCATAATCTTGCAATCGGTTTGATCTGAAAGGGAGTGGCGGGACTCCTGTAGTTGCAGGTTACAAGTAGTCCCCTTCTTTTTGGGTGGCTTGAATATTTTTTCCTTCTAGATGCGGCGGATTTATAATATTTTATGTCTATAATTATTTTACTTTTGGTGAGATCTTCCATCCGCGATTTTATTTTCTGAGGTTTTTGGAAAAAAACGAACATTTTTATCCAGAAAACAATGTTAGTAAGTACATTAGTTCATCAGTTGACTTCCCACCTTCTGGATAATGAAGCTAGTTCCATGGTGGGTTTCCTGATGTAATGCGCTATTGCTACCATTCAATTCTGTCTTCTGTTTTTTTTTCCTCTCTCGTTTTCCTTTTTTTTCTGTTGGGGAGCATTCAATGATCTATGCAGTTCTGATCTTCATTTCCTAAAATGATTAAATTTCTTTATTTGGATCTCTTAGGTTCAATCTTCGCCTCTAGAAAGGGGATCCTTAGTATGATGATATCCTTCCATGGACAGATGTGTTCATGGTTATAGCTATCTACCCTTCATTTTCATAAGATGATCATGGTTATTATTGTAATTATTATTATTTACTGATCAAGATAGGTATGAGAGAAAACCATAGAAGAACAGTTCCATGACAGATTTTTTTTTCCTCCCTCTTTTTTTTTTTTTTTTTTTTTTGGAGTGGGGAGCATCCATTGATCTATGCAGTTTCTGATCTTCATTTCCTAAAATCATTAAATTTCTTTATTTGGATCTCTTAGCTTCAATCTTCACATCTAGGAGGTGGATCTTCATTCTGATGATATCCTTTCATGGGCAGATTTGTTCATGGTTGTAGCAGTCTGCCTTCCATTTTCATAAGATGATTATGATTATTATTGTGGTTATTATTATTTACTGATCAAAGAAGAACAGATGTACCCACTTCTTAATCCCTCTGATTTCCGGTCTTTCTGATCCAGGGAACCGGAGGCAAGAGCATCTATGGCCGCACATTCAAAGATGAGAACTTCAAGTGTAAGTTCATCGGTCTCATCGCTCTCTCTCTCTCACACACACTACCTTTCTCTCACTAGCTCTAAACCCTCAGTGTCCCACGTGGGCCCCGGAGTTTTAAGTATGGCGAACGCAGGACCCAACACCAACGGCAGCCAGTTCTTCATCTGCACCGTCAAGGTCAACCCTCACCCTCCACCTCTTCACCATCTCACCTCATGTTGCTGCCACTGCCGCCGCCGCTGCCAATCTCTGAACTGGGTCAACTGATTGGGCTCGTTCTTGCAGACGCCATGGCTGGACGGCCGCCATGTCGTCTTCGGGCAGATCCTCGAGGGCATGGACGTTGTGAAGCTGATCGAGTCGCAGGAAACCGATCGTGGTGACCGGCCAAAGAAGAACGTAATCATCAGAGACAGCGGGGAGCTCCCGGTGGCTTGAAGTGGCCCCCTTTGACTTTGATGAGGTTCCACAGCTTGGAATTATCTAGTAAGTAGCTTGCAATAAAACTTTGAGCCTTTTTGAAAATTTTGCCCTCTGTTAGATCCATTGATCGCTGTTTGGATTGAAAACTATCTGCCCCCGTGTTTAAATCTTCCTTCTCTCAACGCCATAGAAATGAATTCCGGGCTTTGGGTGGGACCTTTTTTTTTTCTTTCTTTATAAAATTAGTTTTCAGAGCCTAACCGGGTAGTTGACTTTTGAAAAAGAGGCCGAGTGGGAAGGTCAGCGAGGGAGGATCCGGATGGAATTCAATGATCTCTGGTCTCAACCTGCTTCCCAGTTTTTTAGCCCAGCAAGTTTTTGCAATCCTCGCATAATGATATGGGACATCTCTGAACAAGCTTTCTTCAAGAAAAGTCGTCTCTGAATACCCAAACCCGGAGGTCAACCGTCCCAGGGGAGAGAGAGAGATAGAGAGAGAGATAACAAACCCATGAGAAGTCAAATGACAGTTAGCCCCCAAATGGGCTCCAATCATCGAAAAACCAAGCCGAGGAAGAACACGGCGAAAGAAGATGCTCTCCAATCCCACCTGCTACTATTATCTCCTTGATTCTTGGGAATTGCCTATCCAAAATCCTACCCAATCCCACCTGCTTCTATATCATCTCCTTGATCCTTGGGAATCGCCGTTCCATGGGGGAAGATGCTGCCCCTGACCAGCGCCGCCGTCACCTCCTCCCCTACCTTGGCTCACCTGGTGGAAGAACTGGTTCAGAAACTGCGGTGTCAACGCTCCGACAACGGGCGGCGCCTCCTGTGACAATCCGAGCTCCAATCCCGGAGGGCGCTGCAAGTGCCAGCTCCCGCCGCCGAGCCCCGCCCCCGACAGCTGAGAGTGCAGTAAGTCTCCGACGGCGGCGGCGCTGCCGTCGCCGGCGAGACCCGCCGCCCATATCCCGGCGGTGGCAAACTGCGATCGGCCCACGTTCATGGCCCAGCCGGCGGAAACAGAGCCCCCCTGGTTGGACTCGCCGGCGGCGGCGGCGATAGCGGTGGTCGGAGCTGTGCCGGTGCCGGTGGCGGCGATGATTGAGGGCTCCGCCTGGTGGAGAAGCCACTGGATGGTCTCCCCGTCGGACTTGTGGCCGAGCTCCCTGGTCAGCTGGAAGATCCTGGCGGCGCAGAGCGCGGGCATCCTGATCCTCCTCCCACGTCCGTCAACCTTCGTGTGGCGGTCCTTGTTGGAGCTCCTCTTTGGGGCCAGCTTCTTCTTCCCCTCGTCTTCCTTCTCCGCCGCCGCCGCCGCCGGCGAGGCCATCGCCGCGGCCCCCCACGGAGAAACTCCGGCGAGTTCCTCCCTTCTTCTCTCCGACTCCCGCGGCGTGCCCAGCGCCTGGTGCAAGTCGGAGGAACCACTGCGATCCATATCTACGTCCTACAGAGAGCCTGGCTGGCTCTCTCCCCGTACTAGTTATGTGGTAGCTAGAGAGAGAGAGAGAGATGGGCCTACAACATCTACAGTGAGGGAGAAGGCAGGCGAAAAACGAGCCGACGGAAGAGGAAAAGGACACCATAAGAAGCCCCCCTCTCTCTCTCTCTCTCTCTCTCTCTCTCTCTCTCTCATCTCCTGGTGAGGAATGAAGCTGGGAGGAGGCCAATTCTTCCCCAAAGCCCAGTTCTTTGGTCGCCATTTCTCTGAGCGTAGACTAGTCACGGCCTAGTGGGGCGATTACGGCGATATCTGATATCATTATCATTCCAAAGATTGCATTATTAATTGAGAAAAAAGCCCCAAGATGAGCGGAATCATCTCAAAATTTCCTAGTTTTGCGGCGCTCCCACACTCAACAACCCCACGCCTTCTCCTCTCTCTCCTCTGAGGATTTCCATTACTATATGGGGTCAAGGAGGAAAAAAAGAAGAAGAAATATGGCCCCTTCCCTCTCCCTTCCCCCCTCCTCCCTTGGAGGCGCAAATATCTCCGGCCCAGCTCTGATCGACGGCGACGGCGACGGCGAGTTCCTGTATCCTCTCGACCCCGTATGGCAGAAGACGACATGCCAGTTCATGGCCGAGGGGGACATTTTCTCTATCTTATTCTCTCTCTTTCTTGTTTTCTCTCTCTAAGTCTTGTCGTCCAGGTCCACGTCAGAGGAGGGGGCGGTGGCGGCTGGCGCGTTCATAGCGCCTAACCCTGCCCAACCCGAGTCGCATTCCAATCTTTATTAGATTTTATGCCGTATTTATGAATATGACATATAAGTTCCACTTTCCACGAACGGTAATCCATTATTCTAGAAGGAATTCTATTTTCAGTGTTGTTGATGGGTCTTAGGGTTTACCCCTCGATCAATGGTTTTTGTTGGTTTGTTTGAGTATTATTTATTTAATGCAGTGAGAGGAGAGCCCATCTGTCAATCTTGTTATGGGGGGTACGACTAAAATAATCAGATAATATTTGGAGTAGAAATCTAGGTCAACGCTGATGTCTCTTATTTTATATCATAAATTTGACTATTTATGGTATTATATTTCTGTCTTGAAGGCATAGTTTTTCAACCTAAAAATACTAGAATATTTTTCCACCAGATCTAGAAGTCCAGTTGGTTCAACTAAATATGAACCAGGCCCATCATTCAACGATCTATGTGTGGATGGGGTTTACATGGGCGTGGACTTTTGTTTAGGTAATTTTTATTAATTATAGATGGTTGTATCATTTGATTATCCTTTTCCTTTTCTTTTTATAATCAAACTATTTTTCGTTGTCATGTAAGGTATCAATTCATGAATAAAATATCCAAAATAAGTCTAAACCATGGGAGTTGCAAAGAATTATTGACTTTTTATTTATTTATTTTGTTCAAATATAGAACTGATGTACATTTCAAATGATAATAAATAAATAAATAAAAATATATGCACAACATTATGTGAGTCATTTTTTTTTTATCAGCATTGATATTATCAATAAATATGATAGATGCCCAGTGGGTCTAAAAATTGGAAATTGATGGAATTTGAGTCACTCGATACTAAAATGTTAGATTCGAAATTAAAAAATATATTGGAAAGCCCACGATGGGTTTCAAGCCAAACCTCCAGAGAGAGAGAGAGAGAGAGAGAGAGAGAGAGAGAGGGTATATATTTATATCTCTCTCTAAAGGCTATCTTGATCCGACCCAATGAAGGGTGCAGATCCCCAGTCTCGGTCTGATCAATCGAATCGAATGATCCGTATAATGGCATCTAAGAGATGGGGTTTCAGGGGTGGGAGGGGAAGCCACATGGATCGAGAAAATGGCCCGGGATGGCATCCTTTGGAGGCCCATCAATACCCCAAGAGTTCAAAATCCTCCGAACTTCCCATAATGGCAATAACTAGCACATAATTAGAAGTCAAAAATTGCAGAAAAAAAATATTCATCAATTTATATCATACCTCCATTCACGCAATACATGTGGGATTTTGTCGATTTTCCTTCTTTTTTTTTTTTTCTAAGAGATTCTCTCGAAATCTTATCCTAGCTGATCTACGAAACTATTTATTCTTTGATGACAAAAATGTACGAGAAGATGGTTTTTCCTTTTCGTCTAAATCATTATTTCAATCCCCAAAGCCCACAAAAATAAGTTCAAATATATTATTTAATTATTTTCAGCATCACTTCTGGCTTGACTTAAATGTCAACTAATAGTCTAAGTCAATAAGCTCTGGGATCCCCTCACATGGCAGCCCAAGACTATTTGCCCGATATTTGGCGGTCTGGACCGGTCCATGACAGGTAAAGGACCACGAGTCGGCCCACTAAAATTTACATATAGCTTATATGTTTTTATGGTCCTTTGAGAGTCCGACGGTAAGATTACCGAACGGGTTCTTCTTCAGAGGAGCACAACAGTCAGTGGGCTTTGCGGATCACAAGGAGAAGGAGAGGAGAATCGAAGGCTCGTACCAGGATGGATCTACAGGATGAAGGATGGACCTCGGCAGCGGCGGCGCCTCCGTGGTCTTCGTCGACGAATTCCCTCCTCGGCGGCTCACCCTGGATCAGAAGGATGTGAACAGACCGACGAAGAGGTCGGGTGAGAAGTTCAGCGGCTGGGAGGGGCGTACTCACCAGCGTGAGGGTGAGATTTCTTGCGTCTGCCGCCAGCCCCGGCGGCGGCGCCGGAGCTGTACTTGCGGATCTGCTGCCGGACGAACCTCTCGTAGACGAAGGCGGCCCCTCGGAACTGCGGCAGGACCAGCCACGCCATGAACGCCACCTTCACATGGTACCACATCGGAAACCTTCTCCGCCGGATCCCAACCACGCGAGGCGTTCCGTAAGAGACGAATTCGATGAGAAATCCCGTCACATCCGGAAGAGAGAGGGGGAGCAGGGAGGCGTACCAGTTGAGGACGGGCTCGGCCACCATCTCCGTCAAGGTCAGGAACGAGTACAAGATCCAGTAGGCGAGCCATTGCTCGTCGTCGACCGAAGAGGGGCTCTCGATGGCCCGCACCGACGCGTACCTGCAAGATCCGCCATCAAAACCTCCTCCAGGGGAGGAAAACGAAGGGATGAATGGTTTCTTCTTACAACGGATACATCAGCGTGATCCCGGGCCTGCAAATGTTACAAAACCACGCGGGAATAGACTCATATTAGGGCTAATCAAAACCTTCCAGATCGAGAAAGCTCTCATCCAAACAGGAAACCGTAAGAACCGAGTACCAACCCGACGAGGGATTGGAGATGGTTGAGGACGATCCAGAGCTGGTCCATCGACTTCATCCTCGTCCAGATCGGGGGAGATCGTCCAGAGCTGCTTCAGGGAAGAAGGAGAAATCCGGAACAGGAGCTTAATTGAGAGTGGCTAGGATAAGGAAACGTGGCGGTGGAGAAGTCGCGCACTCGGTGGGCCCCACATGGAACAATATGAGAACGATGGAATGTTAAGCCTCATTTCTGAAGGCAACACGTGTAAGAGGACGTGTGAGAGGACGTGTGAGAGGACGTGTGATATGATTGACCACACGTGCCAGATAGTCGAGCGTGATCTGTTGGCAGCGGTTGAGGGAGTGGCTTCCGAATATAATATAAAGAAATATTTAAGAAAAAATATAAAGAAAGCTTCCGAATATAAATGCAATATTTAAGAAAAGTACGTTGGCGAGACCTGTTGGTTATTAATCCTCATATATATATACTATAATCATTTATTCATATTTAATTTAATATTTTATTCCATTGCTCAGCTTATTATGTTTTATTTATATAACTACGTCATTTATTGTACTATATCACATTACACTAAATATACGCAATATTTCTCATTTCACACGATCATCTTTCTTTCCCACCGTAGAGAGAGAGAGCGAGAGATATGGGTAGGCGTCATAGGCTGCTTTCTCTCTCGTTTAAGTAGCTCTCTCTCTCTCTCTCTCTACAGATAGCAGCCATAGAAAGGAGGACACATCACATTGACAAAATAATGCTCCATTGAACGGAATTGAGAGCGGTACAAAATGCTCCGCCAAATCGGGCAAAATTTAGATGAAAAACAAAGAGAGAAAGAATAGAGAGAGAGAGAGAGGAGAGAGAGAGAGAGGGTGTTAGTGTTAGCAGCGGTTGAGGGAGAGGGGAAGGGGGGGAGGTCCTGTTAAGACAAATCGTCTCGCTTCATCCCAAAATTGAATGAATGTTGATGGTTAGAAGTGTAGAAGGCGGCAGCGGGGGCTCCTCAGAGAACGAAAGCTGCCTTCTCCTGGGGAACGAGGGGAGCCGGATGGGAGATCAAGGGCTCGTAGTGGTCAGCTCCCGCCCCACACCAACCTTCCACCATCACCAAAAAAAAAACACATTTTTTTTTCAAGAATAATCCTTTTTGCTGAACATGAATCATATAAATAAATAAGCGATAAATCATATCTGGGCATGAAACTGGTAACAAAAAGGGTGAGACCCTCTGTCTCTCTCTCTCTCTCTTTCTCTCTCTAGATTGCACTATCTGTTTACCTGTTCCCTTCATGAAGAGGAAAAAGGGAGTTTCATTCATCTGGCCTCTTGGGTGATGAGGAAGGAAGAAGATGCAGTTATCTTCATCAACCATTGCATCCAATCCATGCGCCTGAACCTGAGTTGCACAAACCGAAAACCACAACTTTATCAGCATTTATAGAATAATTCCTAGAGCTTACATCTCACCCGCAGACATACATTTATAGACAAATGCTAGATATAAGACAAAATATAATCAATATATTTTTCCTAGAAATTAATCAATATATACCACAAAAATTTCCCTCCCAAACTCTGTGGAGAGGCTCCCGATGGCAAAATCATCCCCAAACGCAGCAGCATGGCCCCCTCGGTTTTCATCCACGGTCAGCAAGCCCTCCTCAGTGTATTGAAGAGTGATGATGTCATACTCGTCCTCCGGGGAGCCAGATATGGACATGTACTTTGCCCAGCTTGATGCATCGTTCACAGCGATGCATCTCTCTTTGTAAATGGATTCTGCCGCGTTCTCCCTGGGATTGGAGAGAACAATAACATTGAATAAATCGAGAAGAAGTGATAGCAGAAACGGAGTTTGCTAGAGCTTGCAACGCTGAACCCACATGAATTTCGAGGATAATTGATAAAAAAAGTCAGCAATGGCAGACGGATCATCCATCTTAAGAAAAATTATACTCGGTGAACAATCTCACCCATGGGAAATGGAACACAAAACATGTATATGAGTACATAGCTAAATGCCGAGCTTGTCATTTTTTCATGTCGATCAACCTAAATCCTATATATATATATATATAGGATTTAGTCATAAGAGAAGGATTTGGTCAAAAAAACCGAAGCATGTTAAAAGTCAACCTTGTTCAAAATTTAGTCATAACCAAAGCATGTCATATAGCGTGGTAGCCAACCCCAGCCAACTGGAGTAATAATCTCCAAACAGTTATATGTGGAAAAATAATCCAATAATAAACAAAGAAGCTTATTTCTGAACGATAAAATGAGTACTAATTCAACGTATTATTTACCATTTTTCGTGAAATTATAAGAAGATTTTCGAGATGCAAAACGGAAAAACTCAACGGAGAAGAACTGCTGGAAAAGGGAGGAAAACGTAGGTGAAGGAATGCAGGTTCCTGAGATGTTCCACTACCTCTGCAATCCCAGATCCAGAAGCTCCTGAATCGCCGTATCGAGAATCTCCCGATCGGCCTTTCTAGCCAGGAGCTTCACCTCCTGGACAACGTGGATTCCCCATCCGGCCTTCAGATCTGGAGAGTACAGGTGCCGGATCGCGGCATCCACGGCCTCTTTCTCGGCGGGGGCCTCTGCCGCGTAGTCTTCCAGGAACCTCCGGACGGTTCGTTGCCGCAGCTCCCGGGCCCCGACCTTCGACAGCCCCATGGCCGTCCTTGACGCCGTAAAGAGGCAATTACCGTCGGCCTCCACGTCTCCGCCATGCGACAGCCGGAAGGTCGTCCCCAACGCCGCCGGATCGTCCTTCTTCTTCCAGAAGACCCCCCGGGTATACAGATTCTGCAGGCACCGCCGCTGCTGGTCCTCCAGCCCTCTGACCTCATTCCACGGGTTTTCCCCCCCCTGATCCGGCGATCCTGGCGAATCGAGGCACGGCGGCGGTGGGATCTTGGTCGCATCCTGCCACGTGAGTAGCGGCGGCGAAGGACTCAACGTTTCCGCCACCGTGGGAGAGGATTCACATAGGAGCTTCCCCATTCCTGCCTGCCTTCCGCCGCCGCCACCGCCGCCACAGCCGCCGCCGCAGCCGCCGCTAGGGTTTCCTTTCCTCTTCTTCTTCTTCCCGCTCTTCTGCCCCTTCACCTCCCTACGGCCTACAGAGACAAGAGATAGAGAGAGAAACGAGGAGGCAGGATAACGCGTGAGAAAGGGGTCCTTTTTAGAGTTTACTTCATTTTTAATTATTATTTTATTAACGATGTAGCCGTTGGAAGTCGGTCTCGCTACGGACAAGAGAAACGTGGCTACAGCTGGCAGTCTTGTTTGACCCTGTGGTCCCCATAAAAAATGCGTCAGCCTTCTACAGAAGGTTCCAGAAGCCGTGCGCCCACGTGGCCCACGAAAATTCACCAGTTTTAATATTTATAATTAATTATTTGGTTTTTACTCGGCCACTGAAAAGCTCTCCATCTTTTATAACGTAATAAAAGGGGAGTGAAAAAAAAGTGAACCTATTTTTCACCTCGATCCATCCAATATTGTATTTATATCCAGAAAAATGGATGCATCGGTCAGACTAATAAAAAGTGTCGTTATGGGCCAATCATCAGCTAATGATAGCCCTTGAACGCCCATTTGGCGCACTAGCTTTTAAACGGATCGAAAGCCCAAACCTATAATGGGCCTGTTACGAATCGGTCGCCTTACGCGTCTTTGGCCCATATTTTCAAATGGACTTGAAATATTAGTTAAATACGGTGAAGCCCACGAATTAAGAAAATTTAGGATATGCCCTACTGTTCAAGATTCACCTTGAAATGGGCCCACATAAGCCCAGCGGGCTTCTTCATGCTAAAAATTGTGGGTATCAGCCCAACAACTGAAACAGATTAAAGCCCAGTATTCACATTGTGGAGTGATGGGCCCCACACCGCCGACCGGGCAACTGACAGGTCCCAGAAGGGGCTTGTGGACGTGAGACAGGACAGCCAGGTAGTGACGATCCGCAATCAATGCCCGGAATATGCGTATAAATAAAACGTCGTCTGGTAAGTCCTACCGTCATTTATTATGATAACCGCGACCTCCTTACATGCGGCTGCGTAGAGAGAGAGAGAGAGAGGAGAGAGAGAATAGCCGGACCTCTATCCTGAGGAAGACTCCCATGAAGGTATTTACGTGGGAAAACAAAACACACCCGTGCTATGGCAGGAGATGTGAGAGAGGGAGAGAGAGGGACCCATTAGCATGCTGGTTTGAGAACTGCTGATGAAGCCGCCTCGTGAAGAGAGAGAGAGGGAGAGTGAGAGAGAGAGAAGGAGAGAAGCTAGGAGAGCCAGTTCATCCAACTTACCGTACACACCGGTGAGCTGTTCTGTCGGTGACAGACTACGACCCCTTACCCTTCCTCCACGCGGCAATCTGCTTTCCGGGTTCATATCCCTTGAAGGAGACTATCCGGTTCGGCCCTTTGCTTCTTCCTTCGCTAGCGGGAAGATAAACGATACTAACGTCGTCGTTCAGTTCTTCACCCCGCTGTGTTGACTCCGATCCCCCTACGCCGTCTTATTCGGCTCTCATGATACCCAGATGGAACAAAACGGGTCAAACTCGAGTTACCTAGTCTCCATGGAATCATTGCAGCGATTGGATTTGCTACTCTGGCGGTCACCGCTGTTCCTCTTCTGTATCTTCCTGCCAACCCCCGAGCTCCTCATGCAGTTTGACACCCTCTCTCTCCTTGGTACCTGATTTGACCGGCTATCGACAGAGATCCACGTGGTGCCGATTCTTGTCATAGCGAGTGTGCGTTGGGGTCAACACGTAGGAGGCGGGTCACATGGACATCCCATCAAACTGGAGGTCTTTATTGTTGCTACACTCCATAATGTCGGCAGATGGGCGTTCGCTGGCATTAGTTTTTGAGTTGTACGCTTTAAACCTCAAGCATCACTAGCTTGGGTTAGAAGTCCCATATTTATAAATATTAATTAGAAAAATGTCATCCTTCTCCTTAGGAAAATCATTAGCCCCTAATTACCTATACATGTGGCTTAAGTGCTTAATTTTAGTTTATGTCCTCAATTTTGCCTAATTATCTTATTTTCTCATGGTGAACTTATTTTTCTTCTAGCTTACCTCTAGTGAGCACCCCTTGGCTTTATACCTAGTATTTAATGAGTGTATTAGGAGACCCATGTAACTTGCATGAAAACCCACGCATGCTTTGAATTTTATGTTATTACATTCCCCTCAGGAACTTTATAATTAGCCCATACACTTATAAGTCACGAGTTATTATATTTTTCTGCTTGTGATAGAAGCTCCATGGGCTTATGCAAGAATCAGAATGTGCTAGAAGATATATGAGGAAAACATAACCCTACCATGATGTAAAAGAATCTTGCTAGACAACAAACTTGACTTTGTTAGGGGAAATAAAAGCGTAGAAGTCAACTTTAATGGGAGGAACATATCCTTAAAAAGAAAACTTATTAATGTATTCTTACAAACATATCCTTATAATTCATAAATATACGGTAAAATTGTAACTTTAATAAGCTAGAAAATTACTTGGGAGACTATAAGTTTTAGGAGCTCCCGAATGTAACCTTCTTGGGATAGAAACTTAGCGTTAGACTACAAACTATGAGCCCATGGGGAAGGTGATGTAATCTTAATGGACCGCAATCTCATACTTGGAGGGCTTAACGGTTACTTTATTGAGCCGAAAAGTTAGCACTAGAAGGCAAAATATAAGCTTGTAAGCCTCTCAATGAGGCGTTCTCTAATGGGCCGCACAATCGATAAATTTTCATTCAGATAAGCTTATAGATAGGATTAATAAGTTGATTTCAGATAATTTAATTGAAGACAAAGGGAACGAATGGAAGAAACTAATAGGTTTTAATTCTCGTCGACTTATTTAAACGTATAAGCAAATTGGACTCCAATCAAGGTATTTATAAGTTTGAAAGAAGTAAAATTGGAATGAGCTAGGACAGGACATGGGATATAGTTGGACTCATTGTCTTTTTCCACAATGAAACGAGTCGTAAGAGACTGTGACGCAGAGATCATCGATGTCGTCAGTGTCCTCAAGGAAAGAGGATACAACCCACATGCCCGAGCTCACTAGGGAAGAGGATACAGCCCACATGACCGAGCTCACTGGGGCCCATTGCGTTCCTATATCGTATCGTTTCACTGCTGATGACCGCAACCAATGGGTATTCCGAGGGGGGGACGGGAAGAGAGAGAGAGAGAGAGAGAGAGAGAGAGATGGAACGACTCCGCAGCATATTTCTAGCATTGAACATGCCGAGACTGACGGAATCTCCAGTGCCCTGAAAGTCCAGCCCGCTGTTTATGGGAGACTAATATTGAGCTGTAGACTGAGAGAGAGAGTGGGAGAATCACGTAACTCTGACGCAACGGGCCCTGGGATGTTTCTAGCATCGAACCAGTCGAGATCGACGGAACACTACTCTAGTGCCATGAATCCAGTCTCCTCTTTCAGTGAGAGAGATAGAGAGAGAGGCGTCATGTAAATCCGATGGAACGGGCCCCAGAGATGTTTCCCGTGTCAAAGAGGTCGAGATTGCCGAGTCCACCGGCGCCCTTCATATGGCCCACTAGTTCCGGGTGAGGACGAGTTAAGTCGGATAGAGAGAGGGAGCGTGGAGGTCCATTTTATTACTGTATGTTTTCGAACGGCGTGTTTGCCCGTACCCGCACGCTTCAGCTCTTCGTGCACTGTCCCCATCACCTACAATCTTCACTTCGTCGCGTCAGTTCCACTATTTACGTCCATTGGCGCACCCTCTCTCTATCTCTATCTGTCTGTCTGTCTCTCTCTCTCTCTCTCTCTCTCTCTCTCTCGATCCGGGAAACGTATCTTTGTTTCTTACGTCTTCAACATTTAATGTGTGTACTTACCCGAGGTTGGGGCTGTGCCTCTGCCTGCCTACCGCCCCGGGTGTTCCTCGGGGACCCATTCTGTAATTTTTTTCCTAGACATGGATTATTCGAGTTGATTTATTCTACCAAGAGGGCGTAATTGCCGAACCTAGTAGAGAGAGAGAGAGAGAGATTAAGCTGAATGTCCGATAAATTACAATCCAGAATTGAGGCGGGGTTAAGCAGTTAATCATAAGACGGATCTTGGGCTATCATGGGTGGTGCATATATTTTTCAAAAGTTTTGGTGTCACTGTTGAAATCTCTGCTCCGGAGATCTATCTAGAGATGCGTCGTCTTCTTATTTGCATCGAATGGGGACCTGAAGAGGTGTGATTGGTCAAACCTCGGGAATTCTACAGTTGTTTTTGTCATACACTGAATCCTGTGATTGTTTATCGAAGTCGTATCAGTTGATATTATATGATCTCAGGGGGATGCTTGAAGGAAATAATAGGAGCGGAGGTGTTGGTTGTCGGTGCAGCAAACGTGAGCCCACCAAAGGACACCAAGCTCTCTCTCTCTCTCTCTCTAGGACAGGACGGCAGTGCATGGATTTACGTGGAGTCGCGGAATACTTCCACCACACGTCATTCTCTGTACGTCCAAGCAGAGAAAGAGAGGTAGAGAGGAAGCGGAGAGAAGATTGATGCGCTTTGGTGGATTATCGTGAGGCTTAGAAACAGAGAGAGAGATGGAGAGAGATAGGAAGAGAGTTTTGGTAGAGGGTTGACGTCAGATGGACTAAGAGGGGGGAATGAGACAGAGAGAGAGAGAGAGAGAGAGAGAGAGAAGGAATGGAGATAATGTAGGGAGCTGATGTCAGACGGAAGGCTGAGAACGGAGAGAGAGGGAGGAAAGAAGATGATATAGAGAGTTGATGTCAGACGAAAGACTGAAGAGAAGTCAGAGAGAGAGAGAGGGGGTGGGGTGGAGGAGTGGGGACAAGAGATAATCAAGAGCCTTGAGGTCAGGCGGAAGAAGCGAGAGAGCGAGAGAGAAAGAGAGAGAGAGAGAGAGAGAGAGAGAGGAAGAGAACGTTCCGGATAAGGCTTCCCTGGCGGAGGAACCAACCAAAGGGGGATATCCTCGTCCCTCCCGTGCATCCAGGGTGAGGCTAAACGCGGATCCTTATCGGATCCTCTCAGGAAAATCGAAGGCCCCCACACTTAGCATCCATCCTGAACCACGTAGTCCTCCCTCGGTGTCCGAGAAAGGAGCGCTCCAGAAAAGCCGACTACGGCGGAAAGAGGACAAAGCCCGGCACTTTCTCTCTCTAGCCCCACATGCGGGCCACTTCAGACCCGTGGTTAATCGGGTCGGTTCTCGGCCTGGTGGGCCCCGCCACAAAACTGGCCCATCCCCAAATTAATATTTTCCAAAATAGTTTAAAGTTATCTCGGACTCCAAATATTTATTTTAAGAAATTACGGGTCCCCTGAACGTACCTTTTTCTTTAAAAAAGTCAAAAAGTTTGCTTTTTAAAGAAATCTTAGCTTTAGTTTACTCCGCCCACGTGGCTTCGCCAGTCTCTTGCTCGTGGGGAGTAACGTGGGGGACCTGGTGCGGGTTGACTGGCCTCCCCCTTAAATTTACACAACTTTCCATCCTGCATTTAAATCCCGCATTTAATACATATAATGCTTTAATTGTTAATCTTTCTCTCTCTCTCTCTCTCTCTACTCTCCGTAGACATTGAAGAAGCATAATGCTCATAGTCAGATACTTGAAAATTGTAATCAATTGTTAATTTATTACCCTTTCGGTCTCTCTTTCTCTCTCCCTCTACCCGTTATAAGTAGAAAGAGAAAATCATTAATTCCCTAACTACTGCTAAATAAATCACAAATTTACAAAACCAAATCAATAATATCTTCGTTTGTGGTATCTTATCTCCGTTTCTATTCATATAAATTGACATCTATCAATATTTTCTGCATGTTTTCAACTACGAAAGCACATATTAAATGTAAATTTTAATTTCTTAGAAAAAATAAAATAATTGACTTTGATGAATCAATAAATGGGCAAGAAGATTTGATAAAATTTCCCAAAATTTATATGTCAAATGGGTTTTTTTATTTTCTTTTTTGCTACAATCTCGTGGAGCATTAGATGATCCCTTCTTTTGTGAGGTCTCTAAAAGAAACTGAGAGCGTAAAAATATAATGCATTTATCATTTAATTAAATATTCATTAATATATATATATCTATATATATATATTAAATGCCAGAACCAATAACTTAAAATGGTATTTTGGCCTTTAATATATATATCGTGTAATGAAAACGGACATTTTATTAATGGCAGGAACCAACGAAAGAGTGAATGTGTGGCATTCAGAGCCTACCCACCAACTCCATCGTAGGGACAAGGAGACAGACGCCACGTGTCTCCACATCATATCCACGTCACCTCTCGACAAGGGGAGCTCTGGCATGTGGAACGGAATCCGGTAGCTGTGAATGTCCCGTGGGACCCACTTCACCCTGTCTGATAGTGACAGTCTGTCTGCCAGCTCAGCCTCCACCCTCCCCACCTTACTCCACCGGACACCGATGGGACGTCCCTTCCAGAGCCGCCGGTGGCCGTCTGGGGCGGGGCAATTCTCTCCGGTGCTTCCACTACCTCTCCGACGGCAGAGCTGCCCTTTAAAGTACACTTCACCGCCGCATCATTGCGGCCGGTGGCGGAGGTATGCCGTCGCCGGCGGTGGCGCCTTCGGCAGGTATGTGGCGGCGCAGCTTCGGCAATATTTAGGTTAGGAAGACGCCAAGAAGAAACCATTACAGCCGGCAAAGACAAGCAGACGCCCCGTTTTCAGCGATGTGACGGCCACCAATCGCCACGGCCACCTTCTCCGTATGGTCCAAGAAGACACCTCCTCGCCCGTTGCAGCGGCCGGCCGGTGGATCCCCGCCGTAGCCCCCTGGAACCTCGCACCTCGAGTAGATGCGCGCAATCGGCAGGCCACCGCCGTCACAGCCGGCGTAGATCGCAATGGTAGACTACGATGTCATTACGGAAACCGGGTCTTTCTCTCTCTAGCATCCGTTGCCTCTCGCTTGGCTTTCTCGGATATCCACTGATTTGACCATTCATCAAGAAGTCTTGGGGATGCGTGAGCAACTGGGCTGGTGGTGGCGAGGTGCCTCTCGTTCAGCCTCAAGTAATCGGGGCTAGAGAGAGAAAAGGTGGCGGCGGAGCCGATAAGACGGCGACAAAGTCCCATGGCTTCTTTCTGCACAGCCGACTGATGATGAGAACACGATTCGCATCGGGAAGAGAGGGATGGGAAAGTGAAGGCCGCAATGGGTGGAGGGAGAAAGTGAAGGGGGAAGAGGGAATGAGACGAGGATGGCTACATCATCGATTGCGGCCTTTTCTAATCATGACATCACTATTAGGGGAAGCGTAGCCGGGGACGGATTCTTAGGAGGCTCTGATGTTCCCCATGAAGAGAAAGAGTAAGAAGAAGAGAGAGAGAGAGAGAGGGAGAGAGAGGGAGGGAGGGAGGGAGGGGGACGTGTTGCAGATTAGCTGGTGATGGTTTCATCAAAGAATTGACTTGGGGAACTTGATCGAATGCCTGGCTCGGAAATAGATGGAACCTGTCGTGGCTTCTCGAATGTTTTGCGGGTCAACTCGACCGACCGCTAATGGATTTCCGTTGCCAGGGCCGGCACTCGTTTACGGAGCACGGCGCCGCCACACCCCCTCTCGCCACTTTCTGGAGAGAGGGAGAGAGAGAGAGAGAGAGAGAGGAAAGTTGGGGGGTTATGTCGACAACTTGGTGATCATTTAGCCGGAAGGGGACAAGAGAAAGGGCCAGCTGCTCACTCTGACCTTGCCTGCGAGGGAGACTCTACGAGATGTTGTCATCTTTACCTGCTAGAGGACCGGGCTAAATCGAAAACTCGGGCCCGGTTCTGATCTGGTAGAAAACTTCAAAATTTGGTTACAAGAAAAGTACGTCAATAAATGGTTCGGAGGCCTTCTTTCGTCAGAATCCTCCATATCAACCGATTGAGAGAGAGAGAGAGAGAGAGAGAGAGAGAGGAGTCTCCAAATGCCTTACAATATTGGGTGAGCCTTATTTCCACAGTTATTTATATATAACTTCCCTCTCTCAGCAAGCAACCCCGATGCTTCCGTGAATCTCCTCACTTTCTTACCTCTCATTTTCTTTCTCTCTCTAGAATATTGTTTTTTTACATAACGGAGCAGGCATTAGGGTTCTCGTCGCTGAAGATCTGCGGTGGGTAGGCGTACTCCACTTGATATTTCGGATAGTAGTAGAGGAACGGGTTCTTGGTGAGCTCCCCAAGCTTGGCGGCGGCCGCCACCACCGCGGCGGCGGCTTCATCGACGGCCGCCGCTCCTTCTTTCTGTCCTTCTCCGCCACCTTCTTTCTTCTCCCCCTCGCCGCCGCCGCCACCTTCCTTCTTCTCCCCCTCTCCTCCACCCCCATCTTTCTTCTCCTTTTCACCTTCTCCGCCGCCGTCCGCCTTCTTCTCGTCGCCGGCCTTGTCTTCGGGCTTCTTATCTGCCGGCTCCGTCTTGACGATGGCAGCGTGCTTGCCGGTGCGCTTGTAGATGTACTCCACCAGCTTCTGTGGCTCGAAGATTCCCTTCACGGTCACCTGGGAGCTCTTCAAATCCGGATCCACCGACTGGACGCCTGATTAGAGGGCAGCCCAATACGTGAAAAAAAATACAAACTTTCGTCTCCTTCAATATCTTTCTCTAGATTATCGCAGAGAAGCCGAACATCAGGGTTTGATAAGGGAACAGAAACTTTCTTCCTTTCGGGTGCCAACCCAGTTAAGAAAAAAAGAATAAGATCCTCTTTTTACCACTCTAGAGAGAGAGAGAGAGAGAGTGAAAGAAAAATTTGATATCCGGGTCTTGACTGGAGATGAGGAGATTCGTTCAGGCGGGTAAGAAAGATGGGTTTCAGCATACGAGAGAAGGAACCGACACAGTTCACCAAAAAAACCTAAAAGGCGCTCTTTTTCTCGCTCCAGCGGGTCAGAAGCGAAGAAAGGAAAAACTGGGTTCGAGCGGAAAAACGGAAGAATCCATCAGGAAACGATGAAACATCCCTATTTTTTCTCTTTCTCGGATACTCCATTAAAAACGATTTTGATGAGACTCCGTTAAAACAGTTCCAAAATGTTAATGAGAAAACGTAAAATATTTCCTCTCTTTCTCTCTCTGTGTATGTATATATATATTTATTTATACATATAAAATCAGCTAGAAAAATCAAAATCTGGGTTTGATTTCCGGACCGGGGGGCCGATCAGAAGCGGAAGACCTTTCCTCTCCTCTCTCCTGGTCATTTCTGGGAGAGTAACCGGCTCAAGTCAAAGTATCACAGGTAGTCGGAAAAATAATCGAGAGGGTTAACTGCTCCCAATCAACTAAATCTAACAGCGAGGAGGTGGTGAAACCTTTCATCTTGAGGATCCGCTTCTTGATCTCCTGCAAGCAGGCCTCGCAATGCATATGGACCTTGAGGACGACTGAAATCACTGTCGGCTGAGCAATGGAGAGGACATCCATCATTAGTGTCATTATCATCACCATGAAGAGATAGAGAGAGCGAGAGAGAGAGAGATCCATGGATTCCAAACCGAAAACAGGAATATCGGGAGTATCGGGACAGACCTCTTCTTTCTTTTCTTCTGGCTTGGGCTTCTCCTCTTCCTTCTCCTCTTTCTTCTCCTCTGGCTTGGGAGGGATGGGAGTGAGAAGCTCCACCTTCCTCCCGCTCTTCTTCTCCACTCTGTCCACCACCTTGAGAGGGTCCGCCGCCGCTACTTTCCCCTTCACTACCACCTTGTGCGTACGGCAGTCCGTCGTCACCGTCTCAACTCCTGCCGGAAACCACCCATCAGATGGAAGGCCGGAGAAGGCGAGAGAAAGAGAGAGAGAGAGGAACGAGGGAAGTGGGTTGACCTGGGAAGCCCTTGAGGGAACGCATGACTTTGCGGGCGCAGCCCTCACAATGCATGAAGATCCGCATGACGATTTCTTCTGGCGGAGGAGGAGGGGGGCTCTCCTTCTTCTCCCCCCCACCTTCTCCCCCGCCACCGTCCCCCTTCTTCTCTCCTCCTTCGCCCTCCTTCTTTCCATCTCCCTCCTTTTTCTTTTCCTCTCCACATCCCTCTTGCTTATTCGGCTCCTCCTTCTTCCCCTCCCCCTCCACTTTCTTCTCCTCTGGCTTCTTCTCCTCCTGCAGAATGACAAAATCAGAAAAAAAAACACACGCACATCAGTGGAGAACCAGAAGACGAAGAAGAAGAGGAGGAGGAAGCAAGCTGGGTAGAGAGAGAAGGAGAGCTACCTCCCCCATTGACGCGAAGGTCGAGCTCCCCAAGAGAGAGGAAAGAAGAGGAAATGGTGGTCTGACGAGTGATGCAGAAGATGTTCCTCTGCCTAGTCTTTCCTCATCCCCAGATTTACCCTCTCTCTCTCTCTCTCTCTCTCGCTCTATCCCTCTCCTCTTGGAGAGCAGGATGCTGAAGGATCTGGACGGAGGGTCCGTCAGGATGACGTGGTATCCGAGGCGGGTTCGCCTGTGGCACGTGCGAGTGCCGCGTCGTCGACCGCCCCCACAGCCTCTCTCCACGTGTTTCCCTCGTTTCTTTCTTCTTCGGCTCAAACGGACTCCATTGCCGTTGGAATGGACCCCCGGAACAGTGATCCTACCCCTCTCTCCTCCGATTTCTTCAACGGGGTGATGATGAGGATCACTTTTGGATTACTCCGTACCGACGGAACAGCAGCATACACCCAGCTTGGCTCATCTCCACCGTCCCTCCATACAGATACCCGATATCCAATAACAAACCGGCCGTCTGTCGGCGAGACCCGTTTTGACACTGGAGATCCGATTCTCGTCCCGTCCAATATCCGAGTCATAGGTTTTCACGTTATTTTATACCCTCGAGCTTATAAAATAATGAGAAATATGCCGGGTCTACTGTGGAAGGCAGTGAGGAAGTGGGAAGGGGGGGGGGTGGTTTTATAAATTAACTTCTAATGGGTCAAATTTTAAAATTAGTATCCTAGGAGCGATTTATTTATGGAGGTCTCTACAATTTTCAAAAATATAAGGATAAAATAATGTAAGGGGGCCCCTTGCTAAAAATTAGGGCCGAGTAGTGATGATCCCAACCCTCCTAATCAGATGGCTGCATGATAGAGGGAAAATATTCAAATAGCTAGTTATTAGGAAAATAATTCAGCTAAATTCCAAAAATGGAAAAAAATTGGGATTATCATATTCGGTCATAATCTAGGGATGTACATTGCCTCTAACAGGTTAATTTGTAACTAATGTGGGTGCATGGTCCACCTCCAAGCTAACCATTCACTCATTTTTATTTTTAAATAATATCTTACATGGTCTCAATTAACTCAAGCTTGCATAATATGGAGTATATCCTAAATAATTCATAACTTTTGATATATCAGAAATATGTATAAATATGATGATTATATAATTATTTATATTTAATAAATTTAAATTTGTATTTATAATCTGATTTTCAGCCTTACACATTGGGCTGCTTCTAAAAATGATCCGAAGTGGAGATACTTTTCTTCACGTCTACGGAAATATGGAAATAATTATTGTGAGCCAGGTTTTTCACACGTGTGGTCCGACGTGCCGGCCTGGGATATTTATCTTTAAACCCTTCAGAAGGTGGGGACTTGTCTGGTGTTCGAGAAGCTTTCCATGTGCCCCACTGGCCATGGACCCTCTATTTACACTATTTCTAGTTAAATGTTAATACTGCTGCCATTAATGTAGGGCTTCCCATGTGAGGTGAGGGTCAAGTGCAGGCCCAGATCCAGGCACAGTCCACAAATGACGGGCCCAATGGTTCAAGGATGGTAGAATTTACTACTATTGGGCTACTCCATGGTCTGAAGAGGTAGATTGGGCCCAAATATGGGGGGATCTGGGTAATTTACTAAAATGAAATGCCATTAGTAAGATTCCAAGGGAGAAAGGTGGTATCATAACACGTCTATTATAGCTGTCCTCTTATAAGAGAGGGGTGAGAAACTATCGCACTTAATATTGGGTAAGAGAGGGCTAGGTAAGGAACTAAGAGGGACTATGAAAAAATAGTGAAATAAGTTATTTTATATAATAATGTACATAAGAATTTCCCAAAGTTGCACAAAATTTGGACATTTAAATTTTATGGTTGATTGATCATCCAGACCTACTTTACTCTCTAGAGATTGTCTTTAGGTTTTGCTGACCTTTCATTAATAGGATGTGTTAAACATAGGGGTATCAACTCACCACTGGCAGATTATTAATGGCTCTAGTGAGTCTAAGTGCACTAAGCACTTTTTATTTTTATATTCATGCCTCTAGGGGGACGATGAAACAAGTCTCACACTTATCTCTTCTAATTTCATGGTGGGTAGGGGCCTAGATATTAGTTTTCCATTAGTAGCTCATTGTGAGGAATAGTTGTCTTTAGAAAAGACTAAGTGCCCCCATGCACTTGGAACTAATGACAGTTTCATACCATTAGGAACCATTACATAAATGTAAAATCAAACTTTAACTAGTAACATTGAAGGTTAATAAAGTCTTCTTGTAGCATGAAACATGGTCCTTGATATTTACAATCTCCATATCATTGGAGTAGCAACTTTGACTTTTGATGGTGATGGTTTGAGCTTGATGTCCCCTTTTAGGAGCTGTAGAGGAGCTCAAGAAGGATAAAAAAATGTTGATAGAGAACTATTTTTCTCAATTTTTTATTCTACAAGGAAATTTTATCTTATTTTCCTCTTTCTCTATGAGTCATAAAAATGGTTGTTTGTTACTATAATCTCTACTTGCCAAGGCCTAATGAATTTTCATTATAACATAGGAGTCGATGAGTTTTGTGATTCATAAGCTTCATAGCATGGCTCTACGACACTTAATATGTGCTGTGCCATAGTCCTTTGACATTATGAGAGTCTTATCTGCATCATCAAGTTTGCTTCTTGGTTTGAGCTACTCATCAACATATAACTTCTATAGGTTGACTTGGAGTTCAAATATATCCTCAAATATAGTCTATGCTATTCATGTTTACTAATATTGGGAGATAAATTTAGTGGATAATTCTGAAGGGGTATTAATTGGATAGAAGTCACATATAATTTATTTTCATAATCTATTCCTCATGTTCGCATCGAAATCCGGAGGAGCTCTCCACACAACAACTGTGAGGTCTCTTGCCCATCTAGGGGAAGCTTTCCGAGTGTCTGGCTGGGAAGAGGCGCATTATGCCCCCCCCGCCCCTCCCACTAGCGAGGTTCTCCAGGTACTAGTAGTGAAGGACACGCACGGCAGGAGAAGATCCGGTTGGAACGACTCCTTCAAAGAGGCCATGAACGCCACTAGTGCTGTTCATGATACCTTAAGTAGCCCCTTTCTCACTTCAATCGAAACTGACTTCTCTTAGGCGGACCGGAATTCTCTTGCCCCATTTTAGGCCGCCCTAAGTGGGCTTTAGCCTGAACCTGTGATGAGTCGAGCCTGAAAAAAAGAACAGATAATCTCCCAAAAAGTCATATTAGTACAATCTTAATAGTTTCATATTATGTCTGAAGCCTGATTTCCCTCATAATCCAGCTTGCTATATTTTCTTGTGATTTAATTTATGCAAAGAAAATCTTGCCCCAAAAATGTAAGTCGCATTGAATCAAATTCAAGCAAGACATATGTTCATCTTTTTAATAGGAATAAATTAAACTTCAATCATAATTTTATATGCTATGCCATCAATTGCATGATTTTAGATTATGAGTGATTTCAGGTTTTTCAAAAAATGATCAAAAAATTATTGACTGATCGAAAACTCAAAAATTATCAAATCTAGCTTGTATAATCTTATAATGATTTGATCACTTGATCTATTCCACTCTCTAAATAATGCACATATGTTTTAGCATTATAGAGTGCAGTGAATTTTTAGTGAAATACACATTGAATCATGTCTTCAGCCACCTTCTATTGAGTTTAAAACCTCCAGCTAACTCAAGATCTCACCTAATAATCTTTTTCCAAATTTACGACTCTAAGATCCTAAATTAATAATTATAGGGGACGAACATAATTATTCATAGTTAATCTCCTCTAGATTCATCTTAAGGATTGGCACTCTAAATATAAAGTTAAATAAAGTTAACATTCTTGGGATTCAACTTATTAGCTTCCCAGAGGATTCAATCTTTTGAATTCTCATTGAAAAAGTTTTACCACGATGGAGTTGTTCAAGGGGTTGAGCAACAGCTGATCATCTATGATTTTAGGTGCTCAAGGACTCAACCATCAGTCTTAGGCTCCTGAAGGAAGGTGATGGACACGACAGCTTTCTAAAAAAATATCTCAATTTTTTTGGTTATTTTTTACTCCTTCACGGTCTCTTTCAAGTGAGGGGAAGTGCCCCTATCTATAAGAGGTGTATTAAGCTACTATTAATATTGGGACGGTCAAGGATCACATCAACACCTAAATTTCAAACTCCATAAATGCTCATTGATAATATGAAAATCGTAAATCCTGGAATTTCAATGCGTCATTTGTTGTATCCTGCTCTTCTTTCAATCACTTTTTCGACAACTACTTGAAACTGTAATTTGATGTGCAAATTTATATATGTATATCAAATTTTAAGCGTAAATATTGACAATTTAACTTTGAGCGAATGGAAAATGACGATTTGAATTGAATTTTCAAAGTATTTAAACGCTCCTTAATAATTGCCTACATAGATCATTTAAAGTTTAGACCCTCCCCTAAATCTCTCTCCCTCTGTCTTTCTTTCCACTTTCTCTCCTCTTCTCTCCCTCGCTCCCCTCCTCTCTTCTCTCCCTTTCTCCCTCTCCCTTCCTCTCCCTCTCTCTCTCTACCCCTCTGTTTCCCTCCCTCTCCCCCACTCACTCTACCCCTCTGTCTTTCTCCCTTCGTCTATCTCTTTCTCCCTCTGTCCCCCCCTCTCTCTTTCTCTCTCCCTCCCTTTCTCTCAAGTCCTCTCCCTCTCTCCCTCCCCCAATCTCTAGCCTCTCCCTTTCTCTCCCTCGCTGCCTCGTCTCTCTTTCTCTCTCTCCCTCCCCCAATCTCTAGCCCTCTCCCTCCCTCTCCCTCCCTCCTTCCTCTCTCTTTCTCTCTCTCCCTTTCTCTCTCTCCCTCCCTCCATCCTCTCTCTTCCTTTCTCTCGCTCCCTTACTCCTCTCTTTCTCTCTTCTCCGCTAATCTCTAGTCTTCTCCCTCTCTCCCTCCCTCCCTCCCTCTCTATATCTTCTTTTCTCTCTCTTTCTGTCCTTCTCTGCCTCCCCCTCTTTCTCTCTCTCGCTCCCTCCCTCTCTCTCTGTCGTTCCCTCCTCTCTTTCAATCTCTTTTTTTTATTCTTATTCTTTTTTTTTTCTTTCTCTCTCTCTCTCTCTCTCTCTCTCTCTCTCTCTCTCTCTCTCTCTCTCTCTCTCTCTCTCTCTCTCTCTATCTGTAGGGAGAACTTGGGGGGCCTCATACGACGCTCACTTGGAAGATCATTGCCCCGGGCGGCTATGAAACCCGATATTCGGTTTGCTCGCATTTAATCGTAACATAATAAAAGGATCCTTATGGATAAGAACCGAACGCTCCCAGAAGCTGTATTCAATTGGAACTTTTAACCTAGCAAATCGTGTTCCTTTCAACGATCGAGTCATTCACATGCAATTAGTATAATTGGTATTGAAACATTTCGCAAATAATTCACGTTCAATTTCCCTGGACGTAGATGGACTAAATTTCTATAAGATCTTGGAAAACGAGTTCAAAACCAAACCCCGGTGCTCTTTTTTTGAATGTAGAGTCTGCTCCGGCTCAACTTCGTCTGCAAGAACGAGCCATGCGATCCAAGATCAGGGGAGAACACATTAGAATGAGACCTGCGCTTCCGAGCTGCTCTCTTTTGTCCAATATTTCTTGATGATGCGAATACTGATCTTAGTTTCCATTACGAGGAAGCTTTTTAATGTGAGAAATCGAGGGCGTAATTTGCTTAAAGTCAACTGTAGACGACGGTGTTTTAATCATGGTCAGAGGATAAGACCGAACCCTCCTACTATGACAGGTGCTGGCGGTGATCTTGCACTGAGAGGTCCAGCGAACACGCGGCTGTCTTCCCTCTCCTATCCGGCGCATGGGGGCTTCGTGATTACCATGGCGACCGGGGAGGACGGGGGGTAGCCGTCAGGGTAGCCGTCAGCACTGCCGGGGGCTTGAGGGCGGACCGCCACCCAACCGCCCCTAGAACGCCATAAATTGCCCCCCGGCGTTCGGAAATTCTTCTTCATGCCCACGTTACGTCGGTTCTTCTCCACCGCCCCCTTCCAGCCGGCCACCGCAACCCATTAAAAGCCCCTCGGAGTTCCCTCCGACGTCCAGAAGGGCGGCGATGGGCGGCGGCGCGCGGGCTCTGGTTTTCCTCCTGGCATTCGTCCTCCTCGCGGGGAGGGTGACTCCGGACGAGTCATTGCAGACGAAATGTATCGGTGAGGTGCAGAGTGTGAAACCCTGCATCGCTTACGGCACCGGCGAGACGGGAAAGCCCGATGATAAATGCTGCAACGTCGCCAAGAGTGTCAACGACAAGAATCGCGTTTGCCTCTGCTACCTCATCCAGCAGGTTTACGAGGGCAACCCATTAGTGAGGGCACAAAAGCTTCAGGGCCCGCGCCTGCTGGAGCTCCCAAAGTACTGCAATTTCCCAAACACCAGCCTCTCCGACTGCATTGGTACGCCGATTCTCCCTCGCCCCCTCCCGTCATGAGCATCCAGTAGCCCTCTAATGAGTTATCCTCTTCAGGGCTTCTCAAAATACTCCCCGGCACCCCGGAGAACGGGATCTTCAACGGTTCCGGTGAGATCTCCACCGTCAACGACCCTCCCCAACTTTCTTCCGCTGACTGATAAATCAGAGAGCCAAACTAAGTCTCGATGTTCTGGGCCGTATGTGGTGCAGGTATTTACCCGGGTGGCGACGGCTTCGCGATCCGGGCCCGGTACTCATACGCCTTCGCTTCGGCCGTGCTCTCTGCGGTGGCCCTCTCGGTGTTCTCCAATTAAGGGCGGCAAACTTCTGGTGGGAATATGGGGGGAACCATATCTGAAAAGAGGCTACTTCGCATGGAATTCTTACGGTTCCAATCGTACCAGGCAATGGAATTATCTCTCTCTCTCTCTCTCTCTCTCTCTATCTATCTCTCTATCTCTCTCTCTATCTATCAATATCTATACACACATATATGTAATTGAAATAAGCTGCAGAGCTCGGTGGAGCCATCTGCTCCGACCCCAACTGGCAGAGCTCTGGTCGGACAAGACACTGCTTCTCCGGAGCGGAGACCATACAAACTTAGGTCATAGTTCGATAGAACCAAGTGAGAAACATACTCCATAAACCCTCCCCAGATGGCTTCCACCGGGAGCAGACTTGACGAAAAGGATTACTAAACGTGTCTAAGATGATGAACGATCTACGAAGCGCTCTGGCAACCTCCATAGAACAGAGCATCGCGTGGTTCAGAAATATCTGCTCTGAATTCCTACGTAAAATAACTAATTTCCGGGGATAAATGTCAGGAGAAATTTTTGCCCCCTATCATCTTGAAGCTTCCAAGAAACTGCTCAAAGGGCCAATGACCCTTGGATAAGAACTACGGTCCATTCTATGCAATATCAGAGCTAATATTAATAATTGGGGTGGGACCCAGGTGCTGGGGCTCGGCCGGGCAGAAACCCTCCAGTTCGGGGTTCAAAATTAGGTCTGAACCTTAGAGAAAATAAACCAGACATGTTCCAGCCTATGGGTTTTCTTTAGGTACCACCCAAAAGTTATTTTTCCCAAATTTCGTGGTATGAATATTTTCTCAAGTAAGTCATAATTTAAATCAATCATCTGTAAGAAAATTATACAAATTTCCGTCTAATATAGGAGATGATGAAATGAATATAGATCAGGAAGATGATAGGAAAGATCGATACCCAGACCAGAGAAAAAAAATATGATGCCACACTTCTCATGAGGAATTGGAATCAGGCAGATGTAAGATAGAAAAACATGAAGATTTACATTGGACAGAATAATTAAGATTTAAAATCAGAGATGGTGGAAGGAAATTCCGGCAAGAAGGTTACAGCCATGGCTAGCAGAGTGGGTTTTCCTCGGAAGCCTCTTCTAGTGAAGCAAGCATCAGCTGTGGGGGGAGAGTACCTTCCTTCTTAGCCTTCCTCTTCTCCCGCTGAAGCCGGAAGTACTCCCTCTTCCTCACCTTGTAGCTGTTAGGGTTCTCGGGTTGCTCTACGCGGGGATACACGCTTACCTGTTGCATAAGAACAGATGAAGACTCGGATCTGACAAATCTTCGGAAGCTGCTGAGAAATATTTAAAGGGGAGGGTATAAAAATGAAACCTTTTTCCTGTCAGGCCCGAATTTCTCAAATTTTACCATCCCGTCGATGAGAGAGAAGAGGGTGTGATCCTTTCCCAGCCCAACGTTCTTCCCAGGATGAAACTGAAACGATAAAGACAGTGGAGGAACGATGAACATGACTGTTAACCAAACAATCAATCGGAGAGAGAACACAAGATGAAATGGAAAACGAGCCGCCGATTTGGGGATATTATCGAAGAACATTCCAGGAAATCCAATCATCATACCATGTAAACTAATATTAAATTATGGGAAGAAATTTACAGGGCGTTAAAAGGCATTTCCTTTCTTTGGGTCACGCCCAGTCAGCAGAGATATCTCAATGGAATGATCAAAGGCAGGGTAAGATATGATTTCCATGGTAGAGATAAACACAGGGGACCATGGCTAATAGGCTGAGCGAAGGAGATGATTCAGCCACTCAGACGGCAGGTGTCCACACCGATTAATGAACCAAGAAAGCTCTAACACGAAGGAAGAAAATAGACAACATACGGAAGAAATGAATGAAGGAAGAAACAAGAAGCCCAATGCGGAACGTTTCAAGGCGCACCTTCAAAGTTTCTTCAAAGGTCAACGCTCTATCTTTATTGCGGAAGCTTACCTTTAATATAATGAGGATGCAATCATGCTAGAAGCTTATTTAACATGTGTCAGCAAGAATGAAGTTATGCTCTTCAAGAAATGAATGAAGGAATATCAATACGGAACGTTTCAAGGCCCACCTTCGAAGTCTCTTCGAAGGTCAACCTTCTATATTTATTGTATAAATTTATCTTTAATATAATAAGGATGTGATCCTCTTAGAGGCCCATTTGACATGTCTTAGCAAGAATGCAATCATGCTCTTCAAATACATAATATTAAATTCTGAAATTGTATCCTCATCTGCCAAAAATCAGGCAGTTGGACTATTGGTCAAAGCTGCAGCAAGCATCATCCAAGAAAGAAGCCGATTTCAGGCAGCGAATCCAAGCTCGGGCTTCTTGGATAGATGTGGTGTCTGTATACTACTACATTGGTTGTCTAGCAAGATACGAGTCGTCAGAACTGATAAACAGGAACAAGCAGAAGCTGCTGGAGGATTGCTGAGGAGCACAACCTCACTACAATACTTATCTGACCTTTCATTCCTCGATAAAGGTAATATCATAAGTTCATTGACGCCGACATATCAGAGACCCAGATTCTAGGAGAACACAGGAGCAGAACTTGAACAAAAGCGTTAGTGTTCTAAAATCATCAGCTCCTTCGTCTCCAAGAGATGCTATTCGGTATCTTCATCGCCTGAATGAGAGTGAAGGGGAATGGAACTATATCTGGAACCATGGAAATCTATGACTATGGAGTATGACCCTCAGCTGAGGGATCTTTTGTCTCTCCCCGCTGTGACTACGATTAAGGTTTGCATACAACTTTACTGAATGGAACTGACTGAAAGAATTCCGAGCGGTACTAATTTCTAGCGCAGGATGGGCAGATCGACCACAGAGAAACAAGAACCATAAACTATATGGAATGCAGCACGAAGGTATTGCTAAAATTAAACCCTGCTCCGAGAGCAAATGAAATGAAGGGTTCCTGGCTGTAGTCCCGTACCTTCGTCCCACGCTGCCGGACAATGATGGCCCCTGCTTTGGCAGCCTGGTCGCCGTAAATCTTCACACCAAGCCTCTGCCCCTTGGAGTCCCGACCATTCTTCGTGCTTCCGGCTCCCTTCTTGTGCGCCGCCTCGATGGTCAGTGGGGCCGGATTCAGAGGGAACGAGACACTCGCCCTGCCCCCCGCGCCCAGCAAGCTGTGCTCTCCTTTGAACACGGAAGAGGAAGACGATCCCGACACTAGCGAAAGCCCCTTAAAAGGCGCGACGAGGGTGAATCCGACGGAGGCCACTGCCATGTTCCCCGACCTGGGCAATTCCGCAAGGCCAGAAAACGGAAACGAGTTAGAAATCCACCACAGGAAAGCTTGAAGAATTTTGGGTTCTGAGCGTACTTTGCTCCGAGGGACGGAGCTGCAGGAGGAGACCTGTCCCTGCCCCGCTTCTCCTGAAGAAGCTGCGAATGGGTTGAGAGAGGGGCGACTGTGATATCTTATCCTATCCCCGGCGAGCGGCGGGGAAGCAGGGAGAGGAAGCTTATCGGACCATATGGGGTCGGATCCAAAGCCAATTTCTGCATGGGTGTCGACGGGCCTGAAGCCGATAGGTGCGGCCCAGTTTTGATATGGGCCAACTAATTCCAGTAGCCGTGGAGTGGATGGCCCATTAATAGGTTTCTCAATATGGCCAACCGCCATCCCGGATAGGCCCTATTCATGCGCCTATCCCAGAGTGAGTAAGTCAGTGACTCTCAGCGAGAGAGAGAGAGAGAGAGAGAGAGAGAGAGAGAGAGAGAGAGAGAGTCTATCGTGATTCATCAAACGACGGTCACCCGACCTGTTGACAACCCTGTTTATCACCATTTCATTCAGATCTTAAAGCCCAAGAAGAGAGAGAGAGAGAGAGAGAGAGAGAGAGAGAGTTCAAAAGGCCGTCTAAGAGACTCTATCATGCCTCATCCTATGGCCGTTCAGGTTTCCTACCCTGACCTCTCGACAACCCTACTCATCATCGTTATCATCAGGATCATCATCAGGTCTCTTCTGTTCGGGCGAGAAACTGACGTCATAACGAAGAACAGTCAGCGTTAGGATGCCCTCTACGCCTCCCAAAGGAGGTTGCACCGTATCTGCACGAGCCCACGTCAGTAATCGAGGCACTGAGAATTTGATAATCCGTCCCAGCGCATCCGGCGGACGACTTGAAAGTCTACTGGATGGCTAATTATCTCTCCAGAACGGATATCCTATTCCCTCTCTAGAAGAGATCCACCGGTGTGGGTAGATACCAACGAACATGTGGAGCTCTCGTAGTGCATGGAACATGCAGAGGGTGGAGCCCTCCCTATCTCGCAGTGACTCCCGCGGTCTTGCGGAAAGGGCGGCGAGCTGTTGATTTCTGATTCTTGATGCACGAGATTTTTACAACGGCGTGAGTAGGCCACCCGACGCCGCCGACGGATTCGCTCCGTCGCGCTGTCCGCCACGGGCTGCTTAGCTTTCACCAGTTTTAATGTTGCATGTGTAGATGTCGGGTACTGTTGGGTTGCCTATGGCTAATATTATAAGAAGCGTATCACCTCACTCCCTCTCTCTCTCTCTCTCTCTCTCTCTCTTTCTCGCTCGCTCGCTCCGTCAACCCTTTGTCTTCCTCCTCTCTCTCCTCCCCTCCTCCCCTGCTCTCTATTGCACTAAATTATACGGCTGTTTCTCCTCTACTTCCTACGGAAACAATCTGAGAGTTTCATGCCAAGTGCGCCAGATTGGCTCGACCTTGAGATCAGCATCGAATGATAACAAGCTAGGAAGCTTAATGTTTACTCCTTTTGGAATAACAGAAATTTATATTGAAGAATAATTAGTTAAGTAGTAACTTATTCCACTCACCGTTCAACTATTTCGGCTCGGATAGTAAAAGAAGCTCAATGGACGCCATTATCCATGCATGTTAACTAAAAATGCAAAAATATAAATCCTTATTTTGAAATAAAGAGACCGGCCTTGAAATTTTTATTAGAATAATTATATACTGGGGAAAAAAACCCTTTTTACTCCCTCCCCCTCTCTCTCACGCATGGTTTTATAAATTATTGACGGAATTTAGTTTTAGTTTATTTATAATCGATATGTGCTGTTCGGGTGAAATAATAAAATGTTAAATAACTTGCTAGTGAAGGCGAGCTGAGGCGTGTCGGCAAGTGGTGGCGGGTCAACTGCCACACGCCCCGGCGGCGGTAGGGGCCCACCCTTTCTGCTGCCTACCAACCCCCAGTGGCAGCATGCGGAACCTCGTCTTTTTCCCTCCGTTATCCTATTATTTTTTTTCTAAAAGAAGTGAAAAAAATGAAAGCTGATCCCATAGTCGACATATTTTAAAATAAACCCTCGCGGCCCCTGGCCCATCAAAACCCTCTAATCTAGAAAGTAAGATCCAGGAAGACTTGAAAGCAGCTGGAAATATCAACTATGGCTGCGAGTTACGAATATTGTATACGTACCCTTGAAACAACTTATAAACTGAGACACACTCAGGAGCGGCTGGTCAACTCATGCGGATCTCAAGTTCGCTATTTTGATGGATCAAAGGACATTTATATAATAACTAGGACCTTTTGGCACCTCATTAATCAGATATCCATCGACCAATCCACCATGGGTTTCAAAACTGGTTGACATTGGAGAAAAAACTGTAGATCATCCTCATGCAACGTACTATGATCAATATAGGCACGAAGAGAGGTCCTTTCTCGCTCTACACGCAGGATCTACCATATTACTGGTCAGTTATTTACTGCAACCTGTGGCATCCTGCAAGGCATGGTATTGTATGGTTATCACAATCTTCGTCAACGCATCGGCCTCGGTCAATTAATGTTGATGAAATAATCTCCATGAGTAAGGTTTCCTAACCTTTGTTCATAAATTCTCATCCTATTATGGGCTTATTTTCTCTCACCTACAAGGGTCATTTCAACGAGGGAACTCATCGTCATCTGTGATGACTAGTATGTCGTCATCGCTTTGCCCATTTCTCCCCCTCCTCTCTCTACGATTCCAGACTCAGGTCCCCCCATCTCCAAGCCATGTGCACCGCACATGCCTAAGTTGGAAGAGGACGAAGTTACTTCTCTCTCTCTCTCTCCCTCTTCTGTATGTGGCGTCCTGAGTCATCTTCTATGAGGTCTTGTTTCAAGGCGAAATGGATAGTTGATCTTATCAGGGGTTGCCATAGAATAGTAGTGTAATAATTTTATCACGAAAGAATGGATCGACAGGTTGTCCCAGAAGCAACGCTTTGGACTTTGCTTCAGATCTTCGCCACGATAGGAGTGGAGAGGTGGAGGACAGGTAGAAATCCAACGTGGAGATATCTAAGTGGTCGAACTCAGACCATGGGAAGCTCTCCGAGCTCCTCATATATCTAGCCCAGAGTCGCCATATCCTTCCCCAGTTGGAGAAGCCTCAGGTAACTAGGGTTTCTAAGGGGCAGTAGTTGTGTTAGACATGGGGTTGTGGAAGAGGCTCTCCCTTGTGGTGGCGTTTCTCGCCGTTGCTGGGATGGCTAACGCCCAGCTGAGGACAAACTTCTATAGGTCTACTTGTCCGAATGTGGAGTCCATCGTCCGGGGGGCGGTGCAGACGAAGGTGAGCCAGACCTTCGTCACCATCCCCGCCACCCTCAGACTCTTCTTCCACGACTGCTTCGTCGAGGTAAGAGAGACAGTGTTCACTCTCCCTGAAACTTTTGTTCATTCGTCCTCAATTCCGTACATCGATAGGACCTTCACTTGGACCGCATAGAGCAATATCTGTCGTAGTCATATGTTCACATGGAGAGAGAGAGAGAGAGAGAGAGAGAGAGAGAGAGAGAGAGAGAGAGAGAGAGAGAGAGAGGAGTGGCGTTTTGTAGATCACCTCCGTTAAGTTCTCGTAATGGAGTTGTGATTTCACAGGGATGCGATGCCTCTGTGGTCATCTCTTCGCCCAACGGAGACGCCGAGAAGGACGCACAGGACAACCTCTCCCTCGCCGGAGACGGGTTCGACACAGTCGTCAAGGCCAAGGCTGCCGTTGAGGCCTCCTGCCCCGGCGTCGTCTCCTGCGCGGATATTCTTGCCTTGGCCGCCAGAGACGTCGTCGTCGCGGTAAGTGCTTAGTAGATTGGCACCCTCTTAGACTTATCGCCGGAGCGGCGCGCCGCCAGGATGAACATATTCTTTCTGCTTCGACTGCACAGGCCGGAGGTCCAGGGTTCCCCGTGGAACTGGGTCGCCGTGATGGCCTCATCTCAAAACGGTGGCGGGTGCCCGGCAACCTGCCGCCGCCGAACTTCAATCTCAATCTCCTCAGCTGGATCTTCCGCAAGAATAACCTCACCACGACCGACATGATCGCCCTCTCCGGTGCCCACACAGTCGGCTTCGCCCATTGCAACCGCTTCTCCAACCGCATCTACTCCAACCCCATCGACCCGACACTCAACCCCGCCTACGCTCAGCAGCTCCGCCAGGTAGGGGGAGATAATCTTACATCTAGCCTTGACGATCTGGCCCCCATCGAAATTCTCATAATTAAATCGTATATCCCTGTTATTCAGATGTGCCCTGTCAACGTTGACCCGAGGATAGCCATCAACATGGACCCCGACACGCCCAACACCTTCGACAATGTCTACTTCCGGAACCTGGTAAACGGGAAGGGACTGTTCAGCTCCGACCAGGTGCTCTTCACGAGCCCCATCTCGAGGGGCACCGTGATCAACTTCGCCAACAGCCAGTCAAGCTTCTTCAACGCCTTCACCTCGGCAATGGTCAAACTGGGGAGGACCGGGGTGAAGACAGGAAACCAAGGAGAGATCCGACGGGATTGCACCCGGTTCAACTAAATCCTGTCCCCATTCGTGGTTTGCGTCATGAGAATAAGCCGACGTCGGAGAATAAGCAATCGGGCAGCGGATAACACATGTAGATTGATCTTCTCACTGGGTTGTTCATCTTCCTGGACTTCATCTAGAGGTTAAATAGTATTGATGACAACTTCAGCGTGATTAATAAAGTTCAGGCTTTACTGTTCGATATTAGGATAAGGATAAGGTCCGATAAGATTGAGCGCAGTCTTTTTTCCAAAAATAATCATCGAGGCATTAAAGTCAAAATTAGTTAATGCGTCTATCTGACACAGTAAAGTTTAAGACCGACTTAGAATGTGTCTTCGCGTGAAGGTAAATCACGAGCAACACGCAGGAAGGTGTCTTCGCGTGAAGGCAACACCAAGACTGACTAGTCTAGATTTAATATCTCCATGAACACAGACAAGATTTGATTCACATGAAGCAACGCCGAGGCTTCGCTATCCGGATTCTGTCTCTATGATCATATGGAGGGTCTGTTCACGTGGAGTCAACGCCAAGGATTCGTTATCTGGATTCTACCGCGAGTTCTTTTCTTCACTCATCAGTGATGGCCGGCTTTATTTGGTTCCCCGGCATATCGATTTCTATTTGACGTTGATAAGAAGAATATTTTGCTCCCCCCACAAATGCAAACCAAGAGAATACACTGGCTTACAGAGTCGTTGTGGAAGATAAGCGATTGACCATCAGAAAGGCGGCTTTGGGGAGGATCCATAACTTCGTGATCAAAGCACCTAATGATCTTTCATCACAACTCTCTCTCTCTCTCTCTTCAACCCACGTCTCATGATCTTTTCCCCTCGGAAGCTCTTCAAAAGGATTCCTTCTTCGGTTGGAGTTCTGTAAGAATAGATCGCCACCCCACTGCATCGTTGGACGATAGGTTGGAGTCCCAATATAGACGGGCTCCATTTCAATAGACGTCGCAATTCCTACTAACAAAAATAATTCAAATTATAGATTGCTGACGTACGTCGTGACTATCTAGGATCGATTGGTCAAGATTAACATCAGCTGATGTCGCTTATATACCCGACTTGTTTCTGAACTAAGTAGATCCTAAACGGTTGTTAATATTATTTAATTTTAGATCATTTGATTAGGTCAATGAACCTAATAAGTCAAAATAATAACTTTAAAGTATAAACAGTTATAGTCACGATCCTAATGAGGCACTAATATTATTTAAATTGCATATAATTTGATTTATTCAAAACCTGAGCTCATCTCAGTCCTGATCTAGATTTACCCAATCTAACCAAGAGTCCAAATTCAGCTACTTTGAGTTTGTTTTGACATTAGTTTATACCACGTCAATAAAAATAAATTAAAAATTTTGGGCACAATATATTTTATGCACCACAAAATTCTAGTCGAAGTTTTCTGCATTCTGCAATAAAAGTTTAAATAAAATTATAGAAAAATACTTGTGTATTGAAAATTTACAGAGAAACCGATGCCATAAGATTATGTCCTTCCTCACTTCACAAAAATCTTTGTAAGTTTCTAGAGCATTAAATTCAAATTTTGAACAGATATCATCTCCCAAAAGAAAATAGATGAACTCTTGATGGACCCTTTTGAATATCATCTTCTTGATGCAAAATGTGCTACTCATTGTTAATTTATAAATGAACTGATTTCAGGACCTTTGCCACTCCACTCAAGCAGAAAATTCTGTGCTTTTTAGAAGGATTGTGTCTTCCCAAGTCAAGTTGAAGCTCTAGTTGTATCCTTTTGGGTTTCTTAAGTCCTCTTATAGCATGATGCACATTGAGATACTCCAGTAGATAACCAAGGAAAAGAAATGATTGGCTATCAAGAGGGAATGATGGAGGGTTTTCGATAGATCCACATGAGAAGATATTATGTGTGATTAGACTAGGAAATGCAATAATAGGAGAAAAATGTGAAAATTAGGGTATATGGGATCAAAAGGAGTGCCTAAGTTGACCATGACCAATCTTATATGAATTGAATGGATGAGAGATCAGACAATGGAACTCATTTTAGAAAAGAATGATAAAATTACTCTAGAGATATATTGGGGGCCTCAATTTTTTATCTATATTGGGAATCAGTCAATTTTTTGTACTCAGGTGAATACATTATAGAGACTGAACAAAGATGATACAACCAAAAGTATGATCGCATAAGATAGTGAGAGTTCTGATGAGATAGGTAAAGAGGATCACATCTGCAGCGTGGCATGACTAAATGATGTCTGTTCAATTGTAGATGGGAGCCTTTTATCTGAGTTTATTTAACTTGATTTCTGCTCACTAGTAAATAAATAGCAATGCAAATTCTAACTTCTGAGATTTGGCCATTATCCACCTGTGAGATATGTTGGAGCACATAGAAGTATCTGATCTTGATCAGAATTTGACAGATGTTGGTCAAAATTTAGAGAACTTTTTAATACCCTAAGAATGTATCAATCATATATCCTAGGTCAACCGTTTAAAAGGACTTCAAATAATATTATTTGAAGCCGATCTACTGTGATCATATTTGATTTGAATAATTCAATGATGTAGATTACCTAATTCTTAACTAAATTAATTCTAGTCCAGCACCAACTCTACTTTGTGATAGCCCTTCTCTCATATCAGTTTGGTAGGTTGATCCAATGAATGTTGAGCCTCAATTAATCGAATCATTCGTACCTCTACCTCTATGAAAATTCAAATGACTAGGGGATGTACTAATACTCCTTTCTATAAGGCATCTCTTTAACTCTCTCTGACTTTACAGGATATTGGGAGTGTTGTGATGCCCATCTCCCATCGAGGTTATCATATACAAGGTTCAAACTTGAAACTGTAGAAAGGTTAAAAAAATAGGCTTCAATTTGAACCCCTTAAGGAATCCAATGCACAATTATGATGAGCTTGGCCTTAACTTTCCAAAAGAGGATAACATGATACAAGAAGACCAAGAAGGGTGTAAGTCAAGTCGTAACTTGGGTGATCATAAGAAAGTTATATGATAGGATAAATGGGATTTTAGCCTTTGGACTGGCCACTAAAATGCTTCTCCAGTTTTGATCAGCTTGGTCTCATTTTTTTCAAGCACCTATATTGGAGAGAGAAAAGGACGAGAGAAAAAGATCAAGAAGGAGCATTTTAAAATTCTAAGTTGACATATCATGATCAACCTTCATTGGCCTGCTCAATGGGTTTCTTTTCCTTGCCATTGAACAAGCCTTGATTATGGGGTATTATCTTGTCAATTCTCACATCAGCAAACTGTCAATGGAATAGGGCCTTTCCATAGAAAATTGATTTTAAAAAGGCCTAGAAATAGATTGGAATGAGGTAAGCCTCAAAACTTGTCTATGGGTTGGGCCATAGTAAAAGTCTAGGCTGGCCCCACCTAGCCAGCCCACATGTGGTTGGTTTGAAAAGTTCTATCCATTCTAAGTTGTTGACTTTTGAGTCATTAATGTTTTGATATCCACAAAATAGATGTCAGGGAAACGATAGTCTAATTTAAAATAATATGTAAACTTTAAGGTAAAACAAATGTTAAAATAATGACATAATAGGGGACTTTAAAACCTCTATGACAAGTTAGGTTATGTAGGTAATAAAAAAATAACATAATAAGAGCCTGAATATTACTTTCAAGTGATCCATTGGAAGTCAATAGTTGGGGATGTAGTTGTTTTAAGACATTTCAATAAAGCGATATATTACTCTCTGTCTCTCTCTCTCACATCGTACATTGACAGCCTTAGTGAGAAGTCACTACCTTCACCTACGTTGTAAGATTAATTATTTTTATTACCTTGTAACTAGAATTATAGTTACTAAATTTATATCTCTATTTTAGTATATACTAGGGTCAAGAATCTAGGATGATTGAATTATTTATATTCACGTCATTTAGAATATGTGCACAATGATATATTTTCATACATAAGAGTGATTAACCCTTGAAACTACTGAACTCTTCCTTCTAATGATAATAAGCTTAAAAATTTATTATGTCGCCATTAAACATCAAATTATCTCTAGAAGCTTTTATCAATTTAAGATTAAATCATTTTAATCCGTAGACCTCATTGTGCTCAATTTGCCACAAATGTTTCGAATTTATAATCATTAGACTTTGGAATGGGCAATTTAGTGTGCACACTATATTTGTATATACACACATTTATGAATGTGATTCACCACCAACAGGCAAACATATGCTTTCAAGATTATTTTACCCATTACAACATTGGCTAATGGTGAACGAGATATGAATTCAAAAGTTAGTATTTGAACATGTAGAGTGAACTACTAAGAGCATCAGCACCCAATTAGATGAGTTTTATACTCACAATGAGAAAGACACCATGTAATGATAATTTGGTAATGTTGTATGCTAAAATCCCTTTCAAGAAAATAAAAAAAATATTTTATTGGTAAAAATGTGATGTAATATATCACACCCTATCACACCCTTTGATTTTCTTGTTTAAAATAGAGACAAGAAGGTGTCATAAGACATGCCAAAAGGTGTAACATGTGATAGAAGATTTCAAACATGAGTGACATATCCTAAACTTGTCATAGGATCAAACAAAAACTTAGAAAATATTACACAAATTCGACTAAAGAGTGATCAAGTCAAATGCTGGTCAGATTGATACTATGTTGCACGTATTATTTAGTTAAGTGTAACCATGTTGAAACTTCCTCAAACATTGAAAATCCCAAAAAATTATAAGGCTTATATTATCACCCTTAAGATCATTTTACAACTCTATTTCTTTCATTCTTCTGTGAAGGTACTCTAGAGAGTGCAGATAACAAGAGAGAGAAAGTCAAGTTAGTGCCTTGGTGTCTAATGTGAGGAGATAGATCAATTATATCTATTGTGTAAACAGAGTTACTGACCTCATGAATATCAATTATAATTTTTTGAGAGCAAATATTAGAAAATGAGGATATGAACATTTGATAAGTGGATGTATGTAAAGGAAGTCAAAACCACTATACATTTAATTATTGATTTCACTTTCCTATTTAATATGTCAACATGGTGTGACAACTCAACAAGTCAACTCAATTTGTGCCTACCTTGTGCATCAACACAACTTAGCCTATGTTGGTGCACTTAGTACAAAACAAAAAACCTAAAAACACATAAGTAGAGAAAATATTTTATGAAACTATTCCAATCCTCTTTCCCCCTTCTTAGTGTTCAACATATGGGGATTTACAACCTTATGTTTCAACATATTGTTCCTCTTGTAGCCTCCTTTAAACCAAATAAGCCACTCTAAAGTTGTGTGCATATATGTGTGTCAAATGACTTACAACTATTCATCTATGCTTACATCTATTATTGCATGTATAGGAATAATAAGATTTAATCGATATTAGTTGCTTAGATTATCTATTCTACTTTTTTCTTTTTTTGTATGATAAAAATAAGCCTAACTTGTTGTATACATGAGAAAAATTATTTCTAATGAATGTATTAGTAAATAGCTCAGCAGCATGTTCCTCATAATTGATGTTGTGTAGACTGTTGCAGTTGTGATAAAGCTCAACCAATTTGTCATCTTGTTATCTCCTATATTAAGTTATTCAATTTTTACTTATTGGATTTTAAGAATGGTGTCTTACCTTAAAACCTACAAGACAAGGACTTTGTGACCTCTATTGTGAATAAATATAAAAATAAAGTACGACATGCTAATAAGCCATTACATGTTTCCATATTATCACCAAAGACCTAGTTTATTCATTCCAAAAAATATGATGTTATTTTGATTTAAACAAGGAAAATACGAATCCATCATATTCATAAAGATTAAATATAGTCATTTATACAATTTATACTGATGCCATAGTGATGATGGAGATGATGAGGATGTATATGGTCTAATTTGTCTTTTATTAGAAAAATTGAGGAAAAAAATTTCTCAAAGAAAAATCTTTCTTGGTATTGATGTTATGTGATCCCATTGTGACAACTTCATTTGTAAAATAATTTCTAAAGGAAATAAGATTCCTATGATGACCATTAAAAATATTCATAAATTAACGGCTTTAGGTAGAAATTTGCATAAAAAGAAATCAAAGGTATGTATCAAAGATTTACATGGCAAGTGCCTATGTTCACCTAACTAAGCAAATGTTACACTATTCATTCAGTCAATCATTGAATATGTGATCTTTAGACCACTCATTTAATAGGTATGAAATGTATTTGATGATATCAAAAGTCATGTTCAACCCCACACACACAAACATATATGTATACATAGACATGGATAGAAAGTGGGGGAGGAGATTGGATTTAGGGGCAACCATGTCTTCATTATGTTTGCTCATACAGAAAATAGATGGTGTATTATCAAAGGGTTGAAATCTACTCAATTTTCTTATTCTTTGTGCAAGAGAAGTTTATTAGAGATATATAATCAATATAAGGGGGAGTGTTACAGAAAAAAGTTTTTTATTAATTGTGAGGCTCATAAAATAAAATAAAAATTAACGACTATGAGGTAGTTGTCATTGCATAATCAATAAGACAATGCTCTTTATCCTTGCAATGGTTTGTTAATAAGCTTGGTAATATAGGAAAACAATTTTATTTATGATTTTCTCAAGAACTTCTCCATATCTTCCCCTCAAGGTATTCCTAAATTGATCATGAATACGGTATCAAAGTCAGTATCAGGTTAATGGAAATTAAATAATTTATTTTATTAAAAAGGCTTCGATAGTAAACTGTCCCTAAATATTTCTTTAACCTTTTACGATAGATGAAAAATAGTGATACAATGATTGGGTCCAAATAAAATGCATTTAGAAAATGGCTAATTTATAATTTATTAAATATAGAATAATTTATTTTTTACTTCAAACAACATTCCTATATTATCACGGATGGTAAGTAAATTTTTATGATCAATTGATCTTTAAGGTTTTATTATTTTTCTTAATCCGTTCAAGATCACTTTCTCAAAAAAATAAAATCATCAACAATAAAAGCAATGTCCAAAGTAAATTTGTGAGCAAATACTAAAACATGTTAAAGAATTTTACAAAAATCAAACACCATTGTAACATGACTGAATTTATATACAAAGAAAAGTCTTTAAGGATTATTTAAATTATTATATTCTATGAAATGTGCATGATGATTGTGTAAGCTAGTTATCTATAAAAATGAAAATCACTTAATTGCACTCATTCCATAAATACAATTGAGAAAAAAATTGAATTACTAATGTGTAAAGAGAACATAATTAGTTCCAAATAAAAAAATAGTATCAAATTTATCTCATCAATCAATCTATTAGAGCAAAATAGATTTTCAAGAACAAATTTAACGAGTACAGCAAGATTTTAAGAAATAAAACTAGACTAGTAGGTCATGGTTAAATTGATGAAGTTGGTTCTATGCTTACATTGATGAACCTGCACAAATTAAGGATGTCACGCCAACATTATTTTATCATAATTAATTTTCCATTTGAGCTTCAAAATCGAGTCTAAGAATAATATTATGAAGGCTTCAATAGAATTGAAGATGAAGTGTTTGGAATATGCTTCTTTCTCTCTCTCTCTCTCTCTCTCTATCTCTCTGTAGAGTGATAGGCTCACTAGGACTTGCCTTTTGTTGGCCCACTACCCATATTATAGATTGCACAGGCTTTCATGTCTGATATAGACCGTTTGCCCCCTTTTTATCTCAATGGTTCTCTCTCACACACATTAACATGGTATTAGAGACCTTTAATTTGCAGATGTCACTGCCTTGAATCAAACTCTCTTGGATGTACTATCTAGGACTACATCCCTCTATATTGGTATGAAGAGAAACATGGTGCCATTGCCCTAGGCTCTTATTTCGTATCATCTTCTCTTATTTCTGGTCAAGTTTCTCGTAGCCACAATTTCTTTGTATCCATTTTCCACATGTTTATCTTAGCACCACTTCAAGACATACATCAATCTACTCATATCGAAGTAGAAAATCAGAGAAAACATATATTATTATCATCAGTCATGGTGATGTTAAATCTTCCTCTAATATCATTAAGAACTTGATTGAACCATTGAGTTTTCTAGTTCAAATTATCATTTTAGAAATGATTTTTTTGATTTTTTTTACTTCAAACTCAATTTTCTGGTATATGGTTACTAAATATGTTCTTATTTACATATGGTTATGAGATCACTTGCTAAAATCAATTATTAGTGGACAACTATCAACATTTATCTTCACATTTTCTTTGTTCTTAGATGTAAATTGAGGTAATTAATGAATCAAGAAGTATTGGTCCTCAATTAAATGAAATCAATTATTCATATTGAAACTATGTGATGACTCATTTTTTACATAGAAAAAATATGAGGAAATATATAGATGACACAAAAGTTATGTTCGTTAAATCCCAATCAGAAGATAAATCTTCCTCAATTACAATAGTTGAGTATTGACATCAAATGGAGGAATGGCATGTGAATAACTCTAAGATTGTTATGTGGATTAATAATGTAGTGGAGTAGTGTACTAGTTCATGATTAGTAAAAAAATTCAGTAAAAAGCTGCTTTGAATTATTTAGCTTGTAATTATACAAAATCCATTTTTTTTAAAGAATAAGAATATCAACTCAAAGGTGAAGGACTATTTTTCAAGGTTCTCACTTTATTCAATATTTGTATTCTCATTTTTGTACATTTTAGGATAAACTTATTCTCATAGAATCACAATATATAAAAAAATAATTATAATTTTAAAATATCATGAGAAGAAAGATTCAAACAATTATTAATAACAATTTGAGATGATTTTAAAGTTTTCCATATATCTTTGCTATATCAGTCTCCACTACTTACTATTTTTATCATAGTCAGTGAATTACATGCTAAAAAAACTGATTTGTGATCACTTAATTCTACTAGTGTACAGGAACTACACTTATGTTGGCTGATGGACATAATAATCTAATTGTACCTCCTAAGAAACCAATATTTCATGTCTCTCTTGATGGATGTAATTATTTTCATTCCAAAGGTCATTAAAAGAAAGATTATCATCTTCAAGGAAAAAGATGAGGGCCTGGACAAGGATAAAGTGCAACTACCTCTACAAAAAAGACATGGTGATCATGACATTTAAGGATTCCCCACATGACATCTATTATACTTATTATGTAATTTATCTTTACTTTACCTAAAGGGATATCTAATGGTGACATTCAAACTTTTCTATCTAAAAAACTTGCACATATTTACTAATTTAGTATTTTTGTCTCTAAAAAACTAGTTACTATCAACTTTTCTACTCTTAAACCTTCATGTACTACTTCTCTTTGGACCCTTGATTTTGGTGTCACAAATCATATGACACCTTTGACTATTTAACATATTTATTCTATTTCACCTCCACATTTTACCACACTTTACTGTACTAATCAATTGGTTCTACTACTCAATTCAAGCTTTCTCTTCATAATGTTCTTCATGTGCCTTACATATTTATTAATTTATTGTCTGGTAATCAATTAGTTGATCTCAGTTATCATATTTTTGTCTTGAGTCTTGTGTTTTTAGGATCCACATGCCAAATGAACAGATTGAGACAAGTTGTAGAGTTAGATGATATGTCAATTAGAAAAACTCCACATCTCTACATCATTTTTAGATATAGTGTCCTCTCAAAATATTTCCTCCTATAGGCTTTGTCAAACCTCCTCTCCTTTCTACTTATGACACTCTTATTTGGGTCATGTGTCTATATCTCGATTAAATTTTTTAATATTGACATATGCCTTACAATCAATTACTCTATGTGATATATCTAAATTGTTGTGAACGTAAACTTACAAAATTATTAGTTTTACATGTTGTGAACGTAAACTTACAATCAATAACTACCTTTAGTTCTGCTCTTTCTCATTTGATTCATTTAGACATTTGAGTTCCTATTCTATTAGCAACTAAGGATAGACCTTGTTTTTATGTTATCTTTATTGATGATTTCACATGTTATACATGGGACTTCAAAGACTACAACTTTCTACTTATATACAAATCATTTATTATCATGATAAAAGAAAATTTTAGAAAGTTAATTAAAACTTTTCATTCTAATATGAGTAGAGAATATAAGTCAACAATATTTCCAGATCTACTCACATCAAATGAATAATTTATTAGACATCATGCCCTTATACACTTCAGCAAAATGACGTAGCCAATGTAGACATTGTTTGTTTTCTAGGAAGAAGCTTTTTAACTACTACTCATCTTATAAATCTCATTTCATATCATCTCACTTTTGGATCATAACATTGATAACTCCTGACCATTCTTCTCTTCCTATTTTTTGCTCAACTTGCTTCAATTTTCTTCGTGAATCTAAACATAATAAGTTATCATTTTTCTCATGTATGTGTTTTTTTCTTGGGTATAATGTATCTCAAAAAGGTTATCAATGTTATGATCCTATGTCTAATCGTTTCTTCTGGTCTAATCATGTTATATGTTTACAACATATTCCATTTTATCTCATTTATGATAGTTTAACTCACTTAAAAACCTATACCTCATAAACATAATCTATTGACCTCTTCTTAAACATTTTAGGTCTTTTTCCTTCGTCAAGTTTACCTCATAATCTTACTCCACGGTCTCATGAGGAAACTATTGAACTAATGTAGAAGCTAGCTTATCAATTTCTATCTCTACTACCTTATCACATCTTCCCTTGTCAGCTGATCCCTCTTCTTTTACTTCACCTGAACGTTACATTCTTCTAACTCATTGTCATTAATTGCATACTCAGCAGAACTCCTTCTCATCCACCTCTTCTCCTGACTACATTTCCTTCCTTTCTTCTATTCATTCTCTCACTAAGCCTAAGTCTGTCAATGAATCATCTTTGAATGTAAATTGGGAATCAGAAGGGCTTGTTGCACTCCGTCAAATTGATAATGTTCCTCTTTTCGTAGATAAACATACTATTTGCTGCAAATGAGTATATAAGATTAAACCTAAGTCAAATAGATATCTTAAATGCTACAAAGTCATACATGTGGCCAAAGGTTTTTCATACTCATCTCTTGTTGCAAAAATGACATATATTCATACATTTACTTTTGTTGCAAAAATTACATAACATATATTCACACTCTTATATCTATTGATGCCTTCTTGTGGTTAGTCATAATATTAACTTGATGTGAAAGATATTTTTTTAATTCAATTATATATATATATGTATGATAAGAAAAAAAATGCCCAGTACACAAAAAATAAGAATACAAAAGATTTTCCGGTCTAATAAATCTTTAAATTTATTGCTCTAATGGTTTTGATTGGAGAATTCAATTTTAAGAAATAATTCGAAACACTAAACAGTCAGTAGATGCAATGTGTTTAGAGCATCAAACTTTTTTGCTATGATCGTATGTAACCAACTGAGAGCTATTTACGTTATGAAGAAAGCTTGAAGATAATGAGGTTCCCTTAGAATCTCCAACAAATTGATAAGAAAAACCTTGGACACCATTGTATCTTTGTGAAGTTTTAGTACATCACGAGTTTATAGAATGAAGAACGAGAAAATTAAAGCCTTAACTTTGGTCATCCTGGATGACAAGATTTTCCTTAGTAATTAGTACACTTAACTCATAAACCCCGTCATATCCATCAATTACAAAGTACTTTACAAATTTTCGTATTGTTTTAGGTATTACTGAGAACCAGGAGGAGGGGGTTGATGGCCGACATCCCCTTGAGCATCTAAGCTTGTTCCTGCTATATAGGATCCCTCCATGGGCAGGCCCTGCTGCCACATCGGCTGCCACTGCTGCGCCGGTTGCCCCATCATCATCCCTGGCGGCGCCGCCTGGCCAATGGACGGGTAGTAGTACGGCACCCCCGTGGCGCTGCCGCCACCGCCGCCGCCGGGGACGAGCCCCAGGCCTTCGTCCTTGACTTCCTCCCTCGGGACGATGTCAACGAGGAAGTCGAAGATGTCGGTGCGGGCGATGGCGGCGGCGACATCGTTCTTCTGAAGCGTCCTCCGCTTGTTCTCCTCCGCGTGCAGCCACGAGCGGATGGTGAGCTCCAGAATGAAGAGCTCGCAGGCCTTCGCGAAGAGGACGGGGGCCTCTGCGGAGATCATGCGGACGTCCTCGTCCGCCTTCATGATCTTCTTGATCCGCGCGAGGGGGAGCTGGTGGTTCTTGAAGTCGCTGGCGTGGGCCACCTCCTGCCGCTGGTAGTTCCAAAACATCTGAAGCTGCTGGTTCTGCTGCTGTAGAAGGTGGTGGAACGGCGCCTGCTGGTACGGCGGCGGCTGCGACGGTGGCGGCGGTGGCGGAGGTGGCGGCTGGCTGTCCATCCCCCCCGCCTACCTCCTATGCTGGCCCTCACCAGCCGCCCTTTCTTTCTATTGCACCAACGGTAGATCTCCGCCTTTTCCCTCTGAAGAGGTTGTCGGAAGGAGAGGGCACCCAAATTTGGAAATGGCAGCAGTACCTGAAACGGGAAAGAATCAGATCCTAGTTCATCGGATCCGACGAGAGAGAATCAGTTTCTGTGCCCGCCTTCAGCAGCCGCCGTTTCTTTCTACTGAACCTACGGTAGATCCTCGCCTTACTCTCTTTGAACTGGCTGCCGGAAGGAGAGGGAACCCAAATTTGGAAATGGCGGCGGTACCTGAAATGGGTAAGAATCAGATCCTGGTTCAACCGATCCGACGAGAAAGAAACATCATTAGGCTCTCACAGGATCCCGCCACCTTACTGACTGACTACCTCTAGCTCAGCTTCTCTCTTGGATCAGTTGTCGGTGACAAAGGTGTCCAAATTTGGAAATGGCGGCGGAATCAGGAATGGTCTGACGTCAGATTCTGATAGTCTTGATCTGACGAGAAACAAATCAGCTTTAGCTGCTAACCATGTTTTCTTGCCCCCATACTCCCCCCTCAGTGATCTGATCTCACGAGAAAGGGCCCTACTTTCGAAACTGCCTTTTCTACCAATCTCTACCTTTCCTTCTATCTTGGAATAGTCATCGGAGGCGAGCACATCCAAATATGGAAATGGTGGCAGGATCAGAAAACGGTTGGCGTCTGATCTTGCTCTCGTTTTGGTCAGACGAGAAAGGATCCAGTTTTAGGTCTCACAGGGACCGCAACTGAACATGCACAGGAGAAGACGAAGGCTTAGAGAGAGAAAGGTTTGGAAATGGCTTCACAGGAAGGTGTTTTAGAGAGGAATCGTTTTTTTTCCGAGAGGAAGGCCTTGCAATAGCTTCTCTAGGGCTTTCTCCAAGGAAGCTTCCTGACCACGGAGAGTAGCCAACGGATGCAGGAAGAGGAAGAAGAAGAAGAAGAAGCTCACCCTGCGGAGGACAACGCCGCCGGGCGATGGGGAAACGGGGAATCAAGAGCCAGGAAAACAGTGAGCTATAGGAGATAGAGAAAGAGAGAGAGATTTGAGAGTAGGCTTCGTCTTGTTTCCCGAAGAACAGGAAGGCCTTTTGAACCAGCGCTGGAGCATCTGTCCGCTTCAGGTGGTACCAGAGGAAGAGGATGCCCAGAGAGAGAGAGAGAGAGAGAGAGAGAGAGGGGGGGGGGAGCGTAAGATAAAGGATAAGATGTGGATTTCCGTGTGTAGCTGGTATGCATCAGGTGACAAAACCTTATCCTCCTCTGTATTCCGCGCGGATTGGGATTGCAAGATATTTTCCCTCCCCCGTCTACTTGTCGTTGCCTTCCTTGGAGGAACGTCTTCCATTCTCTCCACCTTCATGACTTCCAACTGAATCACCTACCTCCACATGGCTCTCCCTCTCTCTCCTCTCTCTTCCTCTCTCTCTCCTCTCTCTATCTCTCTCTCTATCTCTCTCTCTCTCTGTGTCTGAAAATCGGTTAGTAGGGCCATCCGATAAGCGATTTCAAACAACCGTTCACCGCGTGATCTTCGGTCGACTTCGGAAGCAGATTCTGGGCAAATCACAGGAGTCAAACCTGCCCCCTTTAATGCTTTTCAGATCTGAAGCACGGGTATATCCTCGTTTACGGGCTGGGCTGGCTTTCAGCCCAATTAGGTTTTCCAAGGCCCATTTCCAACCCAGGTTGCTCTCTGGGTAAACGTCTGTCCAAATCCCAATAAACAGCCCCCTCCCTGTCCCAGAAGAAAAAGCCCAATAAAGAAACTCCTCCGGGCACCCCCATCAACTGGAATGAGAAGAGAGAGAGAGAGAGGGAGAGAGAGAGAGAGAGAGACCAGAATTAAAAGAGATCATCTACTGAGTATGTTGCTCATCCACAAGAAGCAAAATAAAGATAAAAATTTAATTGCAGAAGAAATTAATCGAAATATTTCGGACACAAGAATACCATACATTTCTTTCGTCCAAAATAAATAAATAATCCGAGTTCCCATGGGTTGTAACAAATTAGTCTACGAATCCGATTGCCCTTGGCTCATGACTTCTGCCCTATCTTTTGAGTAATTAAAAAAAAAAAAAAAAGGAGTTAGAGGAGTCAAATTACAGTTGCAACAAATGACCACAAAAAAAGGATCAGAAAGGGGAGGAAGAAACCAATTTACTCCAAAGCCGTTGACCCTCGTTCATTGAAGACATGACAAATATGGAATTAATCGATAAGAATGGTGAATTGGGTTACCACCTCAGTCGCCAGTTCAAGTAACAGAAGCCTGTTCTTGGGGCTTCACCGTCTTCACCGTCTCCGCCGCTGCCTCCGAGCTCGGCAGGAAAAGATCAAGAGGAATAGCCGCCGGGTCCAGCTCGTAGCAGCCCTTGGGGGCATCTTCTGCTTCTCTGCCGGTGAGCAAATGATAAGGAACCTGGTGCGACAGGCAGAACATCTCCTCTCTGGGGATCCTCCTGATGGAATCCTGGCAAAGGCGGCGGCGGAAGACCGCCTTGAATCCGTGGACCTTCTCCAGCGGGTAAACCCGGAGGCCTTCCTCTGAGTAATTCTCCACCACCTCCACCATGTCGTACTTGTACAGGACCTCATCGGGGGTAAGCTCGCTCCAGTCTGGAGACCAGTTACTATAAATGGCCCAGACATCGCCCTTCTGGGGAAGGATCCGGATAGCTCCCCGTGGGCCCTTCTCCCATCTCACTCTGTGGGAGAAAATGTTAACCGTGTCGCGGGGCTCGTACCGGCCCACTCTGAAGTCCCCGCAGGTCTTCCTGAAGCCCGAGCCGATCCAGTTGAGTTGACCAAACTCAGAGGTGCTCTTGGAGTTGAGGAAGCTCAGCTGGATGTTGAACGGCTTAAAGGAAAGGACCCTCTGGACCATCACATAGAGTCGGGGCATCCCATCTTCATCGTCGTAGGTGGCCCAAACCTGGTCTGCCCCGAAGGACCTCTCTGAGCGATCCACGTCAAAGTCATGGAAGTCTGGGTCTGGAACAGTTAATGTTATGGGTCTATGGGCGTCATCTTCTTCATCTGGGTTATCAGAGCCAGCCATCGTGTCAAGAACCTGGTCCCCATTGACCTTATCTAAAATGGGGTCATCAGAGATCCCCATGGCGGCTTCTCTCCCATCATTCCTTCCTCTCTGCTTCTGCTTCTGCTTCCTCGCTTCCACTTCCGCCGAATTCCACTCTTGCAACCTCAGCTTGACCGCCAGCTTCGCCCTCTGAATCAGCATGCTTCTGATATCCACCTGTGGGAACTCCTTCCCCGAGGCCCCGCTTCTCCTGGAAGCCTGCCTGCCTCTCCTTGGATCTCCCACAAAGCCATTGCCACCGCCCTCCGTCTCAGAAGCATTGGCACCGGCACCGCCCCAGGCCGCCGGTTTCCTCTGGGACTCGTCCACCGTGAAACCATTTCCACTGTCACTATCAACGCTCCTTCTCTTGGCAGGCCTGCTCTGCCCCTTCCTATGCGGCCCCTCTGCTCTCTTTGCTCCAGGTGCTTCTCCCTCCTTGAGCTCCCTCCTCACTTCCTCTGACGTCTGAAACGACGCTGCTGTGCCCGCTGCACCAGAAGAGGCAGCCCACTGAAAGTCCTGATTGTCATGTGAATTAGAGACAGATCCTCGCTGGGATCCAGAGGGTCTTTTGCCTTCTTCTCGAGGGCCATGGGCGTTCTTGGCTCCATGCCTTCTTCTCGGATTCTGATGGCACTGCTCCGTGGGCCAGGGAACAGAAGACTTGACGCTGTTAGAAGGAAAGGGGATCTCAGCCGCCAGAAAGGGCTCGTGACAGTTGGGGCAGAGAAGAGTGTGATTCAGATAGACCCGAAGATACTCGTACTGCATTCTGCACAGCTTGCATGAGGTCCAGAACGTGTTGGTGTGGGGAACTGCAGGGGTCCCCAGATGAGAAGAAGAATTCTTCTGGGTCCTCACGCCAGAGGCTCCACCACCATCAAAGTGATAGAGCCCATTGTCAGGGTACGAGAAGGGAGGGTCCCTCTTGGGCTGGGGGACCTTGCGCTGCTTCTCCTTGATGCTTCTCTTCTCATCATACGCCATTCTCCTGGTTCTGTCAGACAAGATGCTCCAAGCCTCGGAGATAAGCTTGAAGGCGCCTTCGGCGCCGATGGACTTGTTCTTGTCAGGGTGAAGCATCAGAGCAAACTTCCTGTATCGCCTCTTCACCATCTCCTCATTAGCCGACGGCTTGATGCCCAGGATCGAGTACCAGTCCTTCTCCCCGTTGACCACCGTAGTGGAAGAGAGATGAACATCCAGGGTGGCTATCATCTGGGAGATGCCATCTAACCTGGGGTTAAGGCTCTTGGCTTTCAATGCGAATCTTTTGGCTCCTTCAATGTCCTTGGCTATGAACTTCCTCTCAGCTGTCTCCTTCGCCCTGAGGGCCTCATCTTGGTTGCAATCCATCCCTGACTCCCACTTGGTATAAGAAAAAGTATGATCTCAACAGTTACCCGGCTGAAAAACAAGGGAGCTCAACCATCCAGCATTTTATGAGAGAGTATCGGATCTATGTTCTCCAGAAACCTGATGCACGAGCATCATGAAATCAAAGATAAAATCAACCTGAGGGAACATTTCGATTCCAAAAAATAGAAATATTTTGCATAAATGAACAAAAATCAACTGATAGAAAAAGGAAAGATTTTTTAATGAAGTAAGCAGAATGTCAAAGAAACTCAATTGCATCAAAATTCAAGGTCCTTTTAATAAAAGATAAAGTATATCAAAAATAATGAAGGTACAAAAGCGAAGTCAACGCCATTACACATCATGATATTGAACAAAATTACAGAAAACGATGTAACATTGTGTTCTCTCCAACTCCTCTTTTCTTTCACCGTTTTTCGTTTGTTTTCTAGGAGATCCTTTCCTTTTGCCGTCTTTGTTAGTGGGTTCTTTTTGTTTTGAGATCCATATCTAATTTTTTTTCCTATCTAATAAAAGAGGACATGTATAAAAGCGCCTTGGCCCCAGTTCAATTTTTAATCTCGTATTCTCCTTCTAGATTCAAGGTTCCTCTCTTTTTTTCTTTGTAGATTTAGGGTTCTTCATCTTTTCTCTCCTATATTCCCCACAGTGAAGTACTGTCAAAGCAAGGCTTCAAATCTCAGATTTCTATGTATAAAGAGAGTCTCATGTGTGTAGGATCTCTCTCTCTCTCTCTCTCTCTCTCTCTCTCTCACACACACACACACACACACACACACACACACACACACAAGAACTAACTTCCTTAACTCTCAAAGCAACATCAATCAACCTTTGCAAGACACACATCACACACATTACGGTAGTCGTCTGCAAGCATAGCTACATTGAAACCTAACCGCAATCTGGTGAAACAATAGTTTCTCCACAATCACGGTCGATACCCACCATGCTAGAATCGCCTTTGGGCTCTAGTGTAGTGATTCTCACGGAAGCCATTACAAGGTGTGATGTCCTGCAAGGTCTGATCGGCATTGCTTTGAAGCTAAAGAACCTTAGCTCTTGAGAGAGCCACCTCCCTCATGAACAACTTTTCCATAGGGTTTGCCTCCATCACACACACACACACGAGGCAGGCTTATATGGAAAATTTTCGGATTCAAAACCTTCCATTGATGGTGCTTGACAGCATGGAAGTTGAGAGAAAATAAGAAGAACCCTAGATTCACAAGTCAACGAAAGAGAAAAACCCTGAATCCACAAGAAATCAAGAGATTCTAAAAAAGAAATGTCCTTCTAGATTTCCTCTTTCTTTAAATAGGAAAAAAAAAAAGCTTTAGATTACTAACAAAGAAATACCTGCTAACAAAGACTGAATCTAAGAGATCTACTACAAGAGAAAACATTACTATGTGAGGATCGTCAATGTTATACCCGTTGACCCTTTTTCATAACACTTTTCGGGCCTGCTTTATTTCTTGCGACTTTTTTCTACATCAAATCAAATGCAGTAGCAATGCCTCCATTCGGCCTTTGGAAAGCCAATCCAAGTTTGCTTATCAAACCACGTATCATTTTCCCCTCTCTGTGATGCTCTCCACATATCTTCACATGCTAACACCCTTTTATTTGGCTTCCTCACATGCGTTTTCAAAGATAGCACATTGAAATGCGAGGAAGATGCACAGCTGCTGACCGCTGCAAACTGTCACCGCCTCATCTCTCTCCTTTGACTCCCAACATCAGCTCTTCTTCCTCCTCCAGGTAACATAGCCTTCAAGAAGAGATGACAATATAATCTGTGAATGATCCTCCTCAAGAAACTCCTGGAAAGGGCTGCCAGACTCCCGAGGGATCATATTTCCTATAGCTTCTCCAATCCAACCCAACCCTACCCATCTAAGATCTGCTCCATTTTGGAAGAACGCTCGTGCATGCTAAATCTAAGGAGTCAAGAACGCAGCCCACTTGTTCAAATGCTCGAGAACAGCCTTCTACATTTTCCACCCGCGTCCTTGTGGTCTCCACCTTTGATCTATATCACAAATCTCCATCTCAAAATTCAAAATCTCTACCGGCCGACAGAGCTTGGCAATTCCTGCTACCTCTCTCCCTTCCCATCACAGCATTGCCAAAGAATCAAGGATCTCCGGCAATTCATGTCATAAGCCGTCAGCATGAACTGGATAGCATGCAGTGGTTTTTTCTAATTTGGGAAACTAGAGCTTTATTTCGGATAAGAATGAGCGATCATCTGGAGGTTGTCGTCCTTCAAACCGGTACCCGGAGGTCCAATCTCCTCGAAGTGATCATCCCCTTGCACCATCTTTCTTATTTAAAATGTGGGATTCTAGCCTGTAATGGCCGTGATCTCATCCTTTCCGCCTCGAAAGAGCAGACTGACGCCCGCGATGTCATCGATGTGTGCCCAGCCAACCGAAGAACGCAGGAGGGGAGTCCTCCAAGCACCGGAGTGAAGCCTCCACCTCCACATTCCAGAGATCCAAAACCCTAGATCAAGTATCTAACTGAAACTGAGAAAAAAAATCCAACCGGCAACGGGCTCTGCGCCCATCGGAAGACGCGGAAGACGAGGCAAAGGCAGCCACGGAGGACAATCATACCACTGAGATTCAGCCGATCCCAAAAGTACGACGTCTCCGAAGACATGGTCCAGCAGGGTGTAACCTAGATTCCCGCGGCGGCGCGGGAAAACAGGAGGACCCAGATGCCCCGATCTCCACGGAGCCGCCACGGAAAGACGTAGAATTACATTTCCAGAGGAAGATCGTACGCAAGGGCATGCGAGAGGAGATTACCCGCATGAATAGGATTTCCGTTGCAGGAGGAATTCGAGTTGCTCTGCGCCCACGAGACGGCCTCCAGCTCCATTCCTCCCCACCGAATTCCTACGAAACCAGGCAGAAAAAGGAGGCCGGCGGAGGACGAACTATCTGCGAGAATTTCCCTCCGGGCAAGGAATTCATTAAATATGCCGGAGTGAAAGGAGGGAAATTCGACGCCTGCAGCCTTCAACTCTCCACAAATCAAGATCCCCCATTTTCTTCTGGGTCGCTTAAGAACTCTCCACTGAGTCAAAGACCAGTGGATCCCCACCCCAAAAAAACAAAAAAACAAAAAAAAAAGACCGAGATCAAACCCTAACTAGGATTCCCTTTAACCCTCGGGTTGGGTTAGCTTTTCCAACCCCTCCTCCAACATTTACAGCAATTAATGATCCGTTTGAATTTGGCGACATAAGCCGTAATTATGACTTTTCACACAGTTTTACACCATCACAAATCTCAAATCTCATAAGTCAAACCCCTGATTTTTTCTATTTTCTGGGGATTATTACCAAGCACCAGCAGCACCTGGGCAGGGATCATGATGCCATCATCATCACAATAGGAATATAAATTAATTAAAAATTACTCAAAAAAGCTGCTTCCATGCTACATATAACCAGGGCAGAACCCCACGAAAAAGACGCCAGTTTTCCCACTGTTGTGCAGAAAACCCTGCCATTCCAGTCTCACCACCCATCTCCACAGTCGGCCCAAGAACAGACTGAAAGAACATCAATCGATCTCAGTGTACCCATCTGCTGACACAAGGGAAGGCAAGCAGCCGAAAGGAAGGGAGGGAACATTTGAGAATAAAAAAATGAAGTCTTTGTAGACAGAACAGTCGGAAGACCCCTCAATCCGGGAACACTTGCTCGATCTGGATCGATGTGAAGGGGAGCGGCCCCGTTCATCTCAGAGGCTTCCCATAGAGATTGGCGTAGACCACCTTGGTTCTGTACACGAGAATCATGCTCAAGATCATGGCGATGATGCAGAATCCAGACATTATCAAGTAGGTGACGAAGAAACACACGGCCCCTTCGCATTTCAACGCCTGCTCCACCTGCCGATTTCCGATAAATAACCATTTGAGGAAAGACACTGGGTTGAGGTGCTCGTGGGCTTGCTTCTCGGCCTCGAAATCGTATATGGAGCTCGCTATGAGACCAGAGAACACCAGCGAGCCGGCTGGATTGGCCACCGTCAGGAAGTTGTACAGTGCTCCGAAGTTCTTCAACCCGAATAGTTCAGAGGCCGCAGCCGGCACGATCGCCCAGTGAGCTCCATAGCCGAGCCCAATCAGAAGAGTGCCGACGTACATTGCCCCCGGCCACGCCATGGCGAGGAAGAAGTGCCCGACCGCCATGGCAGCCTGAGCTATCGCCATGGCCACTGGCCTTGGGTAGGCGTAATCCCTGTTCACAGTCAAAAAAAAATCCAGATTGAGAGGAAATCCGCGTTATGAAACAAGATGGGAGGATCCTAGCTCGACTGAAACGTTTAGGTTATTTCCGTCGGGCTATGAAAAATGAAGATATCAAGGCAATTAAATATGCAGTAGCTATTAAAATTGATTGGGCTCTCCAAAACAGAGGCGCCTGCATTTGAAATATCCTTTGATTATTTAGGAGGGCGTGCCCACAGTTCATAAATTCCACCGACATGACTTGAATGAAATTAAGTGTAGCATCATCACTGCCCAACTGATGAAAACATTGACCCAGAAATGGACTCGAGAGGAAGATATAGTAAGCCCAGGGTGGACTTTATTTTTTATATTTTTATGTAAAAAAATAAATAGATATGAGACAGAAGATTCTGAACGTAAGGAATGATTAGGAACCGAGGAAGAGAGTGATGCCATACCTCACAACAATCTCAGAGAAGTAGCCTCCACCAACACGACCAAGGAAATTCCAGATGCTGATCATAGAGACAAAAATGTGAGCCTCATCGTAGCCCAGAGACTCGCTCATCTGACCCAGATTGTCAATGACTGTCAGGCCAGATCCTGAACCCAGCAAGAGAGAGACAAAGATGAGCCAGAAATCCGCCTTAATCAGTGCCTGCATCAAGGTGAAGTCCTCGCCCCTGCGTGGGCCTCTCCTTCTCTTGACCCTGACGGCCCCCTCAGCTGCAGCATGAAACAGCTTCACCTGCAGTTGGGCAATTCGCTTCTGCCTCTCTGACGCGGGAAGCAGATCAACTTCCTTTGGTTTCTCATCCTCAACCTCACTTAGAATCACTTCATTGGCCCCGGAGGTCTGACCTGACCTGCCTGGATCTTCCTTCTGGGCCTCGGGTAGCAGGGGTTCTTCACCAGGAGAGCTCGAGTCGGAGTAGAAGGTCAGCAGCAATGGAACCAAAATGGGGAGGATCAGGATGACAAAGAGTATGACTGTGAACAAGGTGATCACAGCGTAATCCAGATCAACCAGATCCTCCAGGAGCATCACGCCCAATAAGTAAGCCGCCAGAAGCACACATACACTGTAAATGAAGGTAAAACTAGAAGGATCGGAGGGCCTCACTTGTCTGTGGCCCCCAACAGGTCTGACAATGAACATCAGAGCAATGACCACCATTGCCGGCCCGACGGCCACCATAAAGATCATACCCGCATGATCAGGGGCGTGGATCACTGCATATACCTGAGTTAATATCGCACCACTTAGACCAGCAAAGCCCTTCAATATTCCCACAATGGGGCCCCTGCTCTTGGGGAAGTTCTGGACGCATGAAACCAATGCGGCGGTGTTGAAGTAGGTCTCCCCGTTTGTCCCAACGAATATAAGAATCCACATCTGTACGAGTAGAGCCCAAGTGTTAAATCTTGATCTAATAACAGAAAATAATGCAGTTGGACAACAATGGAGCATCTGCTGTTAATACTACGAAGACAAGGGAATCTTAGGCACCAAGAATATATATATATATATATATATATATATATATATATATCGCTCTATAGGAGGGACTGATAAGAAAACTGAACCTTGTCTCACTCGTAAAAGCACACAAATGAGCAGAGTAGAATGCCAACTGGGTGGGTGTTATTTCTTCATGAAAAATTATAGAACCACAAACAAAACCTACTTGAATGTGAGAATGACTAAGATCGAGGACAATTATAATGCATCGTTGGAAGGTAGTTGGTATAATACAAGACAAAGCTAAATTTTTGTGGCCCAGAAAGCCAAACAGGGGATTTCTGCACCCCAGAAATCTGCCTTCGGAGTGTTCATCCTTAGTAGGACTAAGTCACCAGAAGAGTGCAAAAGACGATGACCATATCGGAATCATGACAGCTCATGCATCTGCATGGTCAACCCAGCTAATGTGCTATAATGGAATATGACTCACTAGTTGCTGGAATATGGTTGGTTCATCCACAATGATATCTACCCTGCCACTGGAACATTAAATGAAGACGCAAACACCACCTTATGCGTGTTCCCTAGTAGACCAATCATCAGCATCTGATGAAGACTTGCTAAAATTAGAATTCGAATGGATAGCCGATTCCTTGTCCTTCTGTTGCACCAGATTCCATTGCAGCTAGCATGTTATCTGCGAGCCCAACTCCCGTCCAAAGTCATGCCCCTTCCCAGCATAATTCTAATGAGCTCATTCTACGTCCAAAGGCCAACATTCTTAGCTAGTAGAGATCTCTGTATGCATCTGCAGGCTGATTTCATATGAGAAATCATACGATAACCAAAGCCTCAACGCCAACCTCCCATGCTGTATCTTGGAAAGGATATTAAATTTGTCGGCATGCGCTACTGTGATGATGATCAATAACAAAGCTACGATTTCCTCTCTCCACGCAGAATGTTCAACTAAATGGTCATATGTTCTGAGCATAATTCTGAACGACTTGGATCGCATCTTGGTTCAGTTTCTCAAAGCATCCACATCCTGGCCCAGGTTAAATGGCTCAGTCTCCTTTTGAAGGACTTCTTATGTGCGCACAGAACTCTGCAACTGTCACAAATATACAGGAAATTTGATCAAATCCACTAAAAACCAGTAAGAATTCACACGTTCAACTAATCCCCAAGCGTTAGCTTTATACACGTAGTGAACCAAAGGATGAAATACAAAATAAATAAGATAAGTGTTGAGTCTTCAAAGCTAAATTAACAAGCAGCTGAGGTCAGCTCACGTTGATTCGCATTGAGAACTGAGATGCTACAGGATATTCCGATTCTCCTCAGGAGACCAAATGACTCAGTGCACAAGATCTTTCCCAACATGGGAGAGATGATGAGTTGAAAGTGAAAATAAGAGGTCCGATGATGATGATGATGATGATGATTGTTGTTATCATTATCATTATTGACATCTTATAAGTTTCATGGCATCTAATGCTGAATGTAATAGCGAACAGTGAAATATTATGAATTTGTGAGGCATGCAAAGCCTTCGAAACAAAGTGAGAAGATAAATTGGATTTCTGAATTAGAAGCTCTCGGATTTAGTTTAAAAAACGAAGGACAAACCAGAGAAAATAAAGCCCATTACGAAACAAAGAAGATGCCAAAATAGAGTGATCTCGCAGAACATCTAACTCTATGTGATCAGTTATCGCAGAGAAGTGACCATTAAAACATCATAAGCTATGGATAATATTGAATGCTCCACACGGAAGAAAGATAGCCTGGAAATGAATGAGTTCATTCCAATCGGAAGCACAGAATTACAAGGATTAATGTCCCTAAAATTCGGAGAAAACAAATTACCCAAAAGATCCTAATCAAGATTCTTGCGGAAGAACAGATGAACAAAGAAGATTCAAACGCGAAAATGAAGCAAGATGCAGCGGCACTTACAGCCCAAAGGGGTAACTGGGGAGCCCTCCCCGTCACAATGAGCCAGACCCAGCCATAGCCGACGAAGTTCTGCAAGGCCCCGAGTAGCAGAGCTCCCCAGATCGGCAGGACCTCGCAGAGGCTCCCCGCCAGGAAGCCGACGCTGTCGCCGAGGTCCTTGGCCACTCCGAGGCTGGCGATCTGCCGCTGGTTGTAGCTCAGTGCGCTCTTAATGGTCGGCGAAAGGCTCCCAAAGAGGTAGCCGAGGCCCGCACAGGACTGAATCCACATTGCCGCCACGAAAACCAGCCATCTGTTGTTCAGGAAAGCCTGAATCCTCGCTCCGAGCCTACCCATCGCAGTGATCGAGAGGCGCTCCCGATCTCCAGCAGCCGATTGTTAATCGATCTTCCAAGCACAACAGGATCAAAGACCCGAGGAAGGAACGATGGCTCAGAGGTGCTTATCGGCAAGGGAGATGGCGGATATTAATCTTCCTTTCGTCCGTCAAGTTCCTCTTATCTCTTGCTCTGAGACATTTCGGCAAGCTTCCGAAGGTTGATCTGGTTTTCGCACCGCTCCTTCCGGTGACGACGATCAAAAAGTATGAGATCGTCGGTGATGGAGCAGGGGCCCCCGCCGGCGAGGAGATCTCCGCCGTTTGCTGGTAAATTAGAAATTGCAGACCTCGAAATGGGGAATAGAAAAACCCTCGAAGCCGGGGAATTCTTGGCAGACGCCACTGTTCCCAGACCGATGGATCTCCCTTGCTTCTTATCGAGAAATGATGGCGAGCGCAAGCCCTGGGTCCACTCGCCACGTGGACCTTCGGCGGCGGTAGCCATCCGCGCTGCGCATGCCACTCGCCACCCCCTGCAAGAAGACGCCAATGGCGATGACGCTCTTTACCCCGAGGAAGAGGAGAACCGGAAGCAACCAGAAGCAGAGGAACTGTAAACCCTAACCAGTTGCAGTAGATCTCCGGAGAAATAACCTAGTGCCGGAGGAACTCCGTTGCCACCGCCGGCCGCCTCTAATCCGACGACAGAGACAGGGATCGACGACTGCGACGGCCCGAAGAAGACGGTCCTCGCGTGGATTACCCATGGCGACCGGCCCTGTGATCTACGGCACCTCCCCCACCACAGAGAGGATAAGAGGGCCTCCTCCGGCTCATCCCTGGCCGATCGTCGGAGGAACAGTGGCGGCGACCTTTTCTGAAGGTCCTCACCTTCAAGTATCGCCGGGAATTGGATTGGACCTGGCGGAACTGCCCGAGAACGAAGTCCAGATCATCGCGTCGAAACATCACTTGCTACAGTATACTTCCAGAAATCCTGTCTGATTCGACCGAAATCAGCCAAGAACGAAATCCACAGAATCAAATGCGTCCCGTCGATCACAACTCTGATGTGGTTTGTCATCGGTTCGAGGTTGCATGATCTCGAGTTCCTTTCAGCAATCTGGCGGACGCTGTGAAGATCATCGCCGAATAATCGAAATGACAAAGAATCCGATGGGTGACATCAATCACAACTCTAATGCGGCTCATGATCGGATCGACCTGACCACAAATCAAAAAACCCAATCTGACCCAACATCAAAAGCTCAAAGCATCAAATACCGTCAGAATAATCTAGGAAAAGTATGAACAATTTTAGTATGATATCTCCAGGTCAACCCCGAATCCCCCGAGGAGATCATCGCACAATCTGCTTCTTGTCTTCTTCTCTCACTACAGATTATCTCAAATATTCATAAAATTTAGACTATTTACATCAGCGGCCAAGATTTTTCCGCGATAAATGTGTTACTCATGAGGAGGATTATAATACGAGAAAAAAATATATCGATTACTTAGGACGAAAGATCTTCCCCAAGTCGGCGATGAATGTTGACAAAACGCATCAAACATGCGCTCAAATATATCATATTAAAGTCTTCAGAGACAAAAATTATAAGATCTTCGTGAAGATTTGAGATTCCCAATTCAACCTATTGAGGACATCTCAATTCAGGAGCATTAATTTCCCCGAAAATATAATATTTTCTCGTGATGGTAGTTCATATAAAATAGTCATAATAATATAATTAACAAATTCCGTTCACGAGAAGCTCTCATAAGAACATCTTTTATTATTAAAAAAAGGAAAGCGATAATGGCAAAATACGTAATTTTGGCCAAAGTGTTGAACGGTCTGGTGGATCTAAGCTGAAGCATGTTCCGCAGGTGTTTGAGCCTATCCCTCCTTACCGACCGAGTCGCTGTCCGAGTCATATGGCAGTACGCACGTGTTTGAGCCTATCCCTCCTGGAGACGGGTCGCTGTCCGAGTCAGCTGACCGTAATATAGGCATGCACACGTGTTTAAGCTTATCCGCATCCCCAGTAAATCCAGCCCAAGTAATTTCACCCGTTGATGAAATTATTAATTAATGGATTCTTCATTTAAATTTCCTGAAAAAGGCCTCCATATATGGTGGATTTAGACAAACATTAGAGAGGATAATATTTTATTTGAAAGTGTTGGAAAATGCCGAAAATTGTGGACCCCACAGGTGGGACCTGCTTCACCCACTCATCCACGTTAATCACGATACAATGACTATTAGCGGAGGGGATCTTCTTCCAATGACAGATTTTGGGATAATTCATTAATTTTGTGGATTTTTTTCTAATAAAATGCATGTAAGGGTAAAATTCTCAGACCCATATTAATAAATCTATTAAAAAATATTCCCTTTTATCGATAAATTTATGACATTGGGTCATAAAATTACAAGTTTATGAGTTGTTGGTGTATATTCCCAAATGGTAGCTCCAAAATAAATCACGCAATTATTTCAATGGAAAAAATAATATAAATTTCGCATAACAACATTATAGATATATATATATATATTAGTAATATTAAAAACAATGCCCACATGCATACATTATGTTTGGACACAAATTCAGTGTTAATTACTACCAATCAAGAAAATTAAACTATATTTTATTGAAAATAGGCCATTGGATATTACAAAGAAGCCATTAGTGGGATCCACTTTGACCTACTTCGCTGAAGGGTCACACACAGCACGTTAATCACAAGCGATATAATGACTAGTAGTGGGGGAGATCTTCTTCCAATTACACTCAGATTTTTGTGGGATAATTCATTAATTTTGTGGATTTTGTTCTAATAAAATGCCTTTATGGGTTATATTCACAAACCCATATTACAAAATTTGTTAAACAATAGTTAACTTTTTGATATATTTATGCATTGGGTTATAAAATTACAAGTTTATGAGTTGTTGGTGTATATTCCAAAATGGTAGGCCCAAGATAAATCACGCAATTATTTAAATCGAAAAAAATAATATAAATATTACATAACACCATTATCTATATAAAAATATATATTAGTAATATTAAACAATGCCTTATCACAAGCATAGTGATTAGACCCAATTTTATTATTAATTACTACCAATCAAGAAAATAGATTATATTTTATTGAAAGTGGGGCATTGGAAAATACCAAAGAAGCCGTAGTGGGACCCACCTTGACCTACTTTCCTCAAGGGTCACATGCACACATTAATCAAGAGCAATATAATGATTAGTAGTGGAGGAGATCTTCTTTCCAATGACACTCAGATTTTCGTGGGATAATTCATTAATTTGTAGGTTTTTCCTAATTAAAGTCATTTATGGGTTAAATTCACAAACTCATATTGAAAAATCTACTAACTACAGTCTCTTTTTCTGATATGTTTATTACATGTGGTCAAAAAAAATACAAGTATAAGTTGTTGGTGTATATTCCAAAAATGGCAGGCCCAAAATAAATCACGCAATTTCAATGGAAAAAATAATCTAAATATTACAAAATGGTGTTAATTATTTTATATAAATACATATTAGTGATATTAAATAATGCCCAAATGGATGCATGGTGATTAGACTCAATTTTAAGGGTAATTACTCCCAATCAAGAAAAATAGACTGAATAAAATGAAGATAAATAGTGGCCTTGGAGATGGTACGTTGAAGTTGCACATGACCAGAGAATATTCTTTCTCACGACAATACAAAAATATGGAAAAATAAAGAATAGAGATGTGCACGTAATAAATTGGCCCAATTGCATGAAAACCTCCTTATTATAGTAATTTACCATTTTCAAATGTATCAAGACTGAGTAAAAGCTCTCTCTCTCTCTTTCTATCTCCTCTCTCTCTCTCGCTCTCGCTCTTACTTCCTCTCTCTCTCTCTCGATGAAAGCCTCCTTACTATAGTAATTTACCATTTTAAAATGCATCAGGACTTATTTAAAGCTCTATCTCTCTTTCTTTCTCTCTCTCTCTCTCTCTCGTTCTCTTTCTCTCTCTCTCTCGCTCTCTCTCTCTCTCTCTATCCCTTTTGTCGCATGAGTACCTATTTTGGATCGGGGTGGGCTGATCAGCCCAGAGATTCAGACGAGTTTTACTCATAGTTGTTTATATGTTTAAGTTTTTCTCATAGTATGAGAGAAGTTTTAATTTTTTAAAGAACCACCGGGCCCGAGCATAGCTATATAGAAGTCACAGGCCGGAACTGGCCCCGGTCGGCCCGGCCCGGCCTGACCCGGCCCGCTGATCGGGAGGGTGGCGCAGCGGGGTGCATTTAAGTCATGTCGAGGCGAGGAGGGTACTTATCCGTTGAAGTCTCCCGCTCACCGGCGAAGTGGAGAGTGGGAAAGAATGCACTGCTTGGAAGGGCCGGCAGGGCTTCGGAATGCGACCTTCTTCCTCGGCGGCGGCGGCGGCGGCGGCGGCGGTAGCGGCGGTGGCGATGGCCTCCTGGAGCTGCATCACCTGCAATGGAGACTCCGGCAATCTGACCTCTCGGCGCGAAGGAACTGCATTTGCCGTTCCGTTGAGGGATCTTCGGGTTCCCGTCTACTCGTCACCTTTCCATCTTTCAGGAGTAAGGCTAGGGCTCTGCCCATGAGGAGAAGTGTTTTCTCTGCCTCATCTTTCTTGGCGACGGCCGCTTCCGATGGCGCTCGTATAAAAGTTATTGGCATCGGAGGCGGCGGCAATAATGCCGTCAATCGAATGATTGGCAGTGGACTCCAGGTAACTGGAAAGCTTTTGCATCTCTCTCCGCTTCTATTCCTTTGGATTAAACAATTTTTTTGGACCTTCTCTTTGCCAAAGCAAATTGTGACATACATGAGGTTTAGGGTTTATCTCGATTTACTTGTTTCTTCTTGACCCACGTTACGAAGTGCGTCATGTGGTTTTCATTCGATTAGGAGGATGGATTGTCGCTTATATTCGATTTTCCTCTGCGTGTAAACAGAATGCAGTGAAGAATCCTCACGACTAGTTAGTGGTGATGATAAGTTGAGTGAGGAGTCTTATTAGCTTATGTTCTAATGTCTTCTTAGGGAAAGAGCACTTTCGTATAGTTGAGTCGGATCCTTGTGTAATCTTTGTGTATGCTGACCGTTGAGCAGCTGCTCTGAGGCACTCATCTCTGGAAGCTAGGTCCTGCGTTCAACCTCATGAAATCAGGAGATATATGTAGGTCTCTTGAGAGTGTGGCTGGGGATGAGTGGCATACATAAGACGAATTTGTCTATGCTGGTGAAGAGGCTCTAGTAGCTTAGGTCCGCTGTAGAGATGGTTTAATCAAGGAAAGTCATAACATGAAAATTTTATTGATTCGGAATAAAATATAATTTGTTACATGATGACTCGGACTATGTTTCCCCATTTGAAGGAGAATTATCCGCACAAGTAACGTGTTATATGAAACAATAATTATCATCATTCACGCTGCCAATTGTACTTCTCGCTGAACATAATGGAATCATCATTGGGTTGGAAGTTTCTAAAATTATTCGAAATGTTGTTTTCAATGACCCTGTGATGATTGCAGCGGAAAAAGCTTATTCTCTTAAACAAGGGAGGCGAATGCCAAGGAGCTTTTATCTCTTTTGATGTTTTAAAGCTGCAGTTAGTTGATTTGTTCGCAATGGCCTGATATTCGTTTACGATCCTAATGGATAAGTTGAAGTATGATTGCTGAAATTTACGGAAAGGAGGTCAACACTAAGTGCTGGAGATAGGAGAGGGCTTCCAGCTGAATGAAATGATGGATTTTTCTGTGCAGACTCGCAACTGTCTAAACAATGTTTCTCAATGTGTTGCCTGTATTGGTTATTTTTGGAGGGGAGATGTCCTCCGTGGGAACATAATTAAATACACTTACTGAAAATATCATCTCTCAAAAAGGTACTGTGCTCCTAGGGCATCTAATTTTTTTTTTCTGACTTGTCTGTTGCGATGGAAAGCGCTTTGGAGAGGACCTTTTTTTGCTTTGATGGAAAATATCCTTGCTTTGTTCTGTCTTTAACCTCTTAATCAACAAGAAGCTGAAATGCCAGTACCCAAGAAGGCAAGTTTAGGTCTTTGCAAATAGCTTTTTGGCTGAACCTGATAAATGTCAGTTTGTTACCATCGTTGTATTTTTCTCTCTCATAGGCCAAGTTCAATTTGCAGAATTGGTATGAAATTTGATAAAAAATGTGAAAGCCAGTAAAAACTGTCGGCCAGAAAGACCAGCAGTCTTTTTCTTGTTAGATATGGTTATCTGTCCATTTTTAAAACACTGGTTGGGATGCGGTTCATGTGTTAAGCAGCCCCTTGGAACTGCGGTGGTGATAATGGCAGCTTTCCCACTTGTCATAACCATAGGATTCATTCAGTGTTATTTTCAGCGACAGAAATGTGGTCATGTTTGCACAGAGGTACTAATGAATTTATTTTCTGCTTTTTTTTTCAAATCATCCATTGTTTCCTTTCAAAACCATGGTAACCAACATGCATACTAATTTGATTCGTGTATTTTTAGCCCACACAACGATTGTCAGTTATACTCCGCATTGTTTATTGTCAACTTTCCAGTTAGATGCTCAGCACCTGGCATTACATTTTGGGCATATTTAATATTATTAACAATTTCTAGAATGGAAAACCTTCTGGTCGTTTTTGCCAAATGATTTAATCCAATATCCATACCAACACAGTGTTGGATATTTTCGCGTAATATCAAGTCTGTCATTGCATTATCCGCTGAAATTTTTCCATGATTAACTTGCAGGGTGTTGACTTCTACGCAATTAACACCGATGCTCAGGCTTTGCTTCAATCAAGTGCTACACAGAGGATACGAATCGGAGAGCAGTTGACTCGTGGGTTGGGTATGATTCTATTCATTTTTTATTTTTTATTCGCATGTTGTTATCTGGGGGCGTAAAATGCTTTCTGCCATCTCCAGACAGCATCTATGTGAATTCCTGCTGCGGGTGAAAGATACTGGAGTTCTGGCTGAGAAAATATACCACATTCATCATTATAAATAGGATCCAAAGAATGCAAGAAAACAAAAGATAAAATCAAACTCGACCTGGACATCATTATAAGATGATCTTGCTCTGTGGCCGTAATGAATTACATCTACTTCACCATGGTTTCATCAATTATTTGACCCGGACATGAAACCATGAAATGAGACTATCTCCTGTCTGGTGATTCCTGTTGATCTTTAGCTCTTCAGTTAGTTAACAGATTTTCGGTTCAGAGATGCAGGTACAGGTGGAAATCCAGAGTTGGGAGAGCAGGCTGCTGAGGAGTCCAAGGCTACGATTAGCAAGGTCCTTGAAGACTCTGACCTCGTCTTCATCACTGCTGGAATGGGGGGTGGGACCGGCTCTGGGGCTGCCCCGGTGGTCGCCCGTCTATCCAAAGAAGCCGGCATTCTGACTGTCGGTGTGGTCACATATCCCTTCAGCTTCGAAGGCCGGAGACGGGCCGTACAGGTCTCTGACATCCTCTTAACAGGCTTGTAGCTAACGTGGGCCCCAGTTCCAAGCCCATTAATCTCTCTCTCTCTGTCTGTGCCATAAATGTTTTATCTTTCTTGCAGGCTCTGGAGGCGATTCAGAAGCTCCAAGAGTGCGTCGACACACTCATCGTGATACCCAACGACCGGCTACTCGATGTGGCGCCGGTGCAGACTCCGCTTCAGGAGGCATTCCTTCTCGCCGACGACGTTCTTCGGCAGGGCGTCCAGGGAATTTCTGACATAATTATGGTGAGCCTCCCCTTTCATGTCGAAATTCTTTGAACCATACATCACCATCTTCTTCTCACGGTAGAAACACAGATATTCTTAAGAAAAATATAATTTACAAAGTAGGAGCACAGGATGATCTGAAACTCCTAAGCAGCCCATTTATTATGTGTTCTAGTGATAATTATTTCGAAAATAAATGCCATATAAATCACTCTATATATTTTCCATCAATCTATCAATAGAGTAATAAATAAATAAGAAGATTGTGTGGTCTTGCAGATTCCTGGGTTGGTGAATGTGGATTTTGCCGATGTCAAGGCGATAATGAGGGATTCGGGGACTGCAATGCTGGGTGTGGGGGTCTCCAGCGGCAAGAACCGCGCTGAGGAGGCGGCCCTGCAGGCCACCTCTGCCCCCCTGATCGAGCGGACGATCGAGCGAGCAACAGGCGTCGTCTACAACATCACCGGCGGCAAGGATCTTACCCTTCAAGAAGTCAACCGGGTCTCTCAGGTTATATGGTTCTCTGAGCCATTTTATATGGTTCTCGTCCTTTTCTTTCTCTCTCTAAATGGAAATTTCCGGTTTGCAGATTGTGACGGGCTTGGCGGACCCGTCGGCAAATATCATCTTCGGGGCGGTGATCGACGAGAGGTATACTGGAGACATCCACGTGACGATAATCGCAACTGGGTTCCCTCAGAGCTTTCAGAAGACCCTGATCAAGGACCCCAAATCGGCTCGGCTGGAGCAGGTCGCCGCCGGCCATGCTTCGAGGTCGCCGGCGGCGGCGGCGCCTCTGCCGGAGCCATCTGCCCCCCCAAGGAGACGGGCCCTCTTCTGAAAAACCCGCCTCCCCCCTCTGCCACCCCCGGCCGGAGCTTCCTCTTTTCTCGAATGTTGGAGTTTGATAATATAGGTACTTTCGTTAATTGCCTAGAGAGAGAGAGAGAGAGAGAGAGAGAGAGGGAGCGGTCACTGGAAGCGGGTCCTGGAGGCGAGGCCGGACCAGACGTCAACCTCGGTGGAGTCTTCCAGCCCCATTCTGAGGGCTTCCCTCCCGGCGCGGAGGAACCCGGCCATGGCGTCGTCCACATACTCGCTGGCCTGCCTCACGGTCATCCTCCCGCTCGACTCCGCCACCAGTCGGCTCACCGCCTCGTCCCCCTGCAGGTCCGCGGCAAGCTGCACCAGCTCGCTCTGCAGCTCCGACAGCTCCGCCTCCTCCTCCGCTCCCGTCCCCCGGAGCGGTGCCACCTCCGGCAGCACCTCTGCAACATACAGCAACCGCTTCGGCCATCAGCCAGCCAGCTCCGACGAGGTTAGAGGGTTAGGGTTGCCCTACCGATGCAGTCCGTTCTCGGGGAAGTGAGCTCGCCGACGACGTGCTCGAAGGTTCCCGCCCACGCGTCCCTCCTGGTGAGAAACGGCGAGCTAAGGTTGAACAGCTTCTTCAGCGTCGCCGGAATGGAGGAATGCTCGTACTCCGAGCTCGCCGTCGGCCCATTCGCCCTCGCCACCACTTCTCCCCCAGAAAAAACCCAAATCTGTCAGCCACAGAGAGAGAGAGAAGAGAGAGAAGGAGAGAGAGGAAGAGAGGGAACGGAGCTGACCGGTGCCTTTTTTGATCCAGGGGGACGCCATGAGGGCGGGGACGCGCACGCCAAGGCGGTCGAAGGCGAACCGGGCGGGCGGGGGGCCGCGGGCGGCGTCGGGGGAGGGGACGCCGGTGGCGGGCGTAGGGACGTGGTCAAAGAAGCCGCCGTGCTCGTCGTAGGTGACGACGAGCAGCGTCTGGTTCCACTGCGGGCCGGCGCGGAGTGCCTCGTAGACCTCCTTCACCAGGCGCTGCCCGTTAGCCACGTCGTGCGATGGGTGGTCGTCGTCGGCGGGCGCGCCGGCGATGTCGAAGTAGCGCGGCTCCACGACGCTGAGGCTCCTCAGGCGGCCCCGCCGCGCGTGCTCCTTGAACGCGGCGAAGCGGTGGAACTTACCGGCGTAGCGCAGCCGCCGCAGGCTGCGCAGGAACAGCGCGCAGGGGAGGCTCTCGGCGTACACGCCGAAGTCGAGGCCGTCCGCATGGAGGGAGTCGAAGATGGTCCTCTGTGGGTAGCCCCTCGCGAGCTCCTCCTTCACGTGGGCGGTGGCGCCTGCGGAGGTGGCGGAGAAGAGGAACAGCCGGTTGGGCTGCGTCGGCCCCGGCATGGAGGAGAACCAGCGATCGAACACGGCGAAGTCCCTAGCGAGGGCCGCGAAGACGGGGAGCTTCTCCGGGGGGAAGCCACTCATGACCCCGCGGGCCAGGGAGGGGGACACGGCGGTCGCCGACTGGACGAAGCCCGACATGGAGGGTTCACCGGCGCCGGCGCCGGAGCCGAAGATCTGCTGCTGGACGGCCTCGAAGGAGTGCGGGGGGTCGGAGACGACGAAGTGGGCGTCGTCGGTGACGCAGACCGGTGGCGAGGAGGGGTCGCCGGAGGAGACCCGGTTGCACTCGCTGCCGGTGAGGCCGTCGATGGCCGGGTTGACGGACCTCTTCATCCACCCCAGGATGTGGTCGAAGGAGCGGTTCTCCAGCACGAGCACGACCACTTTCTTGATGGGGCTCTCTGAATCGCCCGCCATGGCCGCCGGCAGCAGCAGCAGGGAGACGGCGACAAGCAGCGGGGACAACCAAGCCCAAATTGCGCCCCTGGTTCTCGCCATGGGAGAAGAAGGCAACAAGCTAGCTGATCACCTCTGCTACACCTTCCTTCCTGGTTTTGTCCGTCTACCTCGCCGGAATCACGGAGAGGGGGAGAGCGAGAGAAGAAGAAGCTCCAATTATGACCCTAAACTCGCCGGGGATCTCCGGGAACTGGATTTTCGTTCTGCATTGCGATCATCCACCTTTATATATAGGTGGGTTCTCTAGGGATCGCCGGAGAAGGGGGGGATCGGAGCTGGGTTGCCGGGAGGGGCAAGGAAACCATCGCCGGCTCCGGTTGTCGTCGACCTGAATGTGGGAGGAGGCGGAGGAGGAAGAGGAGGAAATCGACCTCCACCATCTTTTTGTTTTCGTCTGCATTCCTTTGCATACAAGCAATCGTCCCCATCCCCATAACCACAACGCCATCAGCATCACTCCGCATTCCCTCCTCTGTCTTTTAGGGTTTGATTGAGCAAAGCCATCGACTGTGGACACAGAGTGAGAGGACGACGAAGCCGCCGAATCCGTGGGCCGGTAAGATACACCCGCAGATCTTGTCCTGGGGATGAGTGAGGCGCACGCTTTCGTCGCAGTCTGTACTCTCTCCTGGTTACGGCCGGCACCTTCTCGCGCGCTCCTGCGTGTGCAGCACACCTTCTACTATGAAAGTATATATACGAATAACTGTTTTATAAGGTCCAATAGTAATTTATAGGTATTTCATTCTAGTTTTCTTCTAAAAATGTTGGTAAAAGTCGAGTCTAAAATCAGCTTTTTCCCAAATCGCTTCCCAGGACTTCCCAAACGGTTTCACGTGCCTGGACGGCAGAATCCTCGTGTTAAATATTTCGGATTTCTTGATCGCCCCACCCCTCGGAAAAATCCAGAGATCGGATAGTCTGAATCCCGCGTGCGACCGATGTATGCCACGTGTCCTGATTGATGACCCAACGGTCAGAGCAAGTCAATGCCGACCGAGTTGAGCGGATATAGATTGTTTTATTACATTTATATACCGAAAGGCCCGAAACCCGGTTGGACCCCCACCCCAGTTTAATGCGGGCGCGTCTGGGCTAAATTAGGGCCCGGCCCGAAACCACCCTTGGACCGGAATGGTTCTCAGTATTAGTCTCCCCCTCCCCACCCCCTCTCTCTATTCCTTGCATTGGAATGTAATTACGGGCTTATATTGGGCTTGGGAAGTTCCAGCCCGGCCCGTTGGCACCCATTATCAGGGTTCGCGGGCCGGGCCTTGTCTTTCTTCCAGCCCCGTAAAACCGGGCCTGGCGGAGCCATTCATCAGAACTATTAAGGAAATCTTCAGGTACAAGTTTTCGATTCTGAGAATGCTTTCTGAGCAATAGATAAAGAGGCCGGCGTTTTCCCCGTGTAAAAGAGCGGGTCGGCGGAGGACGACGGCTCCGGCGGGCCGTCGTGGCAGAGAAGAGGCCACGCGTCACCATCGCACCGGGGGAGACATCGACACGAGCCTCCAACATTACAGAAATGAGACGCATAACTGGAATGCATTCTGGTTGTAACATTACAGAAATGCGAGAGAGAGAGGGAGAGAAAGGCTTTCTAGATGACAGACAAAAAGAAATCAGGTCAACGTCCTGTTCAGGGCGAGCACTCTGTAGTCAACGCGTGGAAGACAGGCAAGATATTCCAAGTGATGATGACACCACAGAGAGACATGGTTGGCCCGATGACGATGATTGAACGGCGGGCTTCAATGGCTGGAGCTCTGCTCTGCGGAACTGAGAGGCGGCCAGATGGAGCCGCTGCGGGTTCCAGAAAGGGAGAAGAGCATCCGCGGGATGAGGATCCTCGGCATCACCGATCCGCACAGCATCAGCGCCGCCGAGATCCCCAGGAGCAGTGAGGCGACCCCGGGGGGCAACGCCTGCGGTGCCGCCGTCGCTGACGGATGGGATCTGTCTCCCGCCGCTGGAGAGGAGTCGGGAGTCCAGCGGCGGCGCGAGGCCCCGGGACCCCGAGAGCCCAGAGAAAGAGACGGGGGCAGGGAAGGATCGGGAAGAGAGCCGACAAAGGGATGCCCCTGTTCCCCCCGATTCCTCTGCGATGGTGGCGAGCGGACAAGCTCTTCATCGTCAGAGTCTTCCCCTTCCCCTCTCTCGCTGCTCCTCCCTCTGCGGCTTCCGCGCGTTTGGGGGATCTCGGCGCCAGGGTTTCTCCTTGGACGGCGAGTCCCTCTGGTTCGCGGAGAAGACGGAGGGAGAAGAAACAAACAGGAAACTTAATTTTGCGTATAGCCCTTTCGTCCTTCATAAAATACATCCTTAGCCATACATGTTATAAAATAATTCATATACTTCCTGTGTGCAAAAATGTTATCCACGATCTTTCTCTCTAATATGTCATAAAAACTTTAAATTATGGAAACTCGGGGCAATCTGGTGATGATGCTCTTTTACACTCCTTGAACCCCTAATAATACTCTTATCATGGAATATGTTCACTCTCATTGCACTTGTCTAGGGCACCTATGCTCATGTGTGAAGGTTCTCTCTCTCTCACACACACACTTTCTCCCCCTCTCTCTCTCCCTCTCTCTCTCTCTCTCTCTTCATTTGTATTGACATTTTGATCATCCCTTATTTATTCCAAACCCCATTTATTATATATATATATATATATATTTATAGAATGTTCATTATATATTAATTTTTATGTTATACCACTCAAGTTTTTGAGGGAACCATGCTCTTGAAAAACAGTATTTGAAAATATTAGTTTGCTTGAATAACCATTCTAAAAAAATAAAAATCAATATAATTATAATAAAAAAAATATGATGTTCATTTTGATGTAGAATTTTTAGAATTTTTTTTCATTTTATCTGGATAAAAAATGTAGTAAATATCTCATAGTTTTTTAGGATCTGGGTTCGACAATTCTAGAGATTTTTTACTAATAGGGATATTTAATTGACAATAAATATAAGTAATTGAATGCTATTTAAGAATGATTTTATTTTTTCTAAACTAATTTTTTATTTTCTCACGGAATATTAAATTCTAAAAATATTATTTATATTTTTACAATTATATTGGGCTTTTATTAGAAATACTTGATCTCTTTGATCGTGTTAGTGGCCTTGGTTAGAAAGTCCAGATAGGCCCAATAAATAGGCCCGATATGACGCAGCCCCGGAACACAAACAATCTCTAGAGAATACGTAAATAAAACTTGTATAGGGTTTATTATAACAATTGGACTATATAGGAGCATTTAAGTAATTTTACAAACCTCTGTTTTCTATCTTTGGGATAGTTCGCGATTACCAACTATTTCTCAACGACTGAGATGCCGTCTCCAGCGTGGTGATCTGCAACGAGGAGGGGCCTGGAAGCTTGTGGCTATTGTTCTGGTGGATCCTCCGATTGGTTCCCTTCGATCTGGTCGCAGCTTTCGATTTCCTCCCTTCTTCCTGTACGTCTATCGATCAAGCCGCGATTAGCGACTTACAGGGAAGACCACTGCCGCCACGAGTTCCGAATTTATCTGCGTTCATCCCGGGAAAATCCTCGCACTGAGATTCGGCAAGTACAGGAGGACAAGCAGTGGCAAGTTGATAATTACAGGAGAAAGCTATTTCCGTCGCCTGCGTTGCTGGCACATCGTCATTGCTGACGTATCCTGCCCCCCCCCCCCCCCCCCCCCCCCCACCGCCTCACCCCCTTGACATATCGTCATTGCTTCCGTGAGTTCCAGACATGAGACAGTGAGTGAGCAGTGTCTGTTGTCTGTCGCTCGGTTTCTGGCAGTATTTCGCCGCGCAGGTACTTACATCACTTCTGCGTTTCTTATTCTGGTGTTCCGGAGAATTCTGTCGGGCCATTACAGTGTGAAGTCACTCAATCACTCCGGCTGCGTTGGGCCTTTAGGATGGCAGAGGCTGGAAAAAGGGTCTTGGTAACCTCCAATGGCGATTTAATCTCCAAGGGCATCGCTTTTCATTTGGTTAAGTGTGGTTGCAGGTACTATCGACTCTGCTCTACGTAGTCGTTCCCTTTTCTATTTGGTTTTTTGAATGACTTGCTTGTCGTTGTTCTTTATTATCTAGACGATGTCTCTATTTTCTCCCTTGGTTACATGTAATTCAATTAGTTCATTTCGAGTGCTCGACTTTCAGTTTTCAGAGAAGTTGAATGATGTTCTTAAGAAGCGTATATCTCATCCTTCTAGTCACTCTCAAGACTTTCAGTTCTCAAGAAGTTAGATGAATTCCTCCTCATTTCGACAGTGAGGAGTGACTAGAAAAATGGAGGAATTTGAAGAAGACCATCTGTCCTGGCAGATGATATATATATTCATATTTGCAAGCTATCCTACAACTGTTAGTATCAAAGTATGAAGGGACGAGGATTGTCTCAGAGGAAGAAATATCTTCACTATTTCACCTGAAAAGATCACTTTCTGATTCCTGATGCATAGCATTGGAGCGTATAGATGGGAAAGGGCGTTGAGCAGTTTTGATGATCTAAGAAATGAGTTCCAAAGTGACGAATCTAAATCTGGAGGAGTTCAAGAACCGTATCTCTTTGTTTTTCTGCCCACATCATATTTATAGATCTTCTTAACCGATCTTTTTCAGTTAGTTCGACAGGAGGATGACTTATAAATCTAAAATTTGGCATGCGCATGGGTCGTTTGATTTTGAAAGGCTAAAAGATTTATGCCCGAGGATTACTTAAAACGCACGTGAGATGACCTAAACTTAAACGCACGAGCACTGTAATGTTGCGTTTTAGAATGTCCTGATGCAGTTTTCTTTTTCTGACCCGGATGTTTTATTGTGTCTACAGGATGATTTACATATAAGTCGGAGAAAGAGTCGTGTCTTATGACATGGGATTCACATTCGCATCTGAATAGCCTCGTCCAAAAACTAACTTAATATGTATTTAATTAAATGGGGAGCGGTGGGGCTTAAGAAGATGCGAGGGAGTGACGGGGAACTTTAGTCTACATGTTGCTCGACCGATGAAACCTATTTTGAGGTCATAGTTATGTGTTTGTATTTGAAGATCAACTCCACATTTTCCTTCTAAATAACTAAACTTTCGATTCCTCTGATTTTCTCTACGTTCATGATATTTTTCCGACTAACTGATTGGATTTTTGGAATGATTATGTTTTTTTCTAACTATTAGAGTAGTTTTGATGGGCGACCCAGTAAGCCTCAGAAATATTGCAGAGGAGATAAATAACTCCTTGAAAGTCCACGATTCCGTTGAAGTTGTTGGACTGGATATGTGTGAAGACAAGGAGGCTATATTTGACCAGTCAGTTGATAAAGCATGGAAACTTCTGGGATCATTGGATTCTTTTGTTAACTGCTACGACTATGAAGGTAATTTAAAGTTACTTATTACATTAACATAGATGAAACCTTGTTACGGTGGGATAATCATGGAGATGTGTTATAATCTGGAGGATGAGATAATCGTTACTTGTTGAGACTTATTTACAGGTCCCTCTGTTTCACCAATTTGAATGATGTCCATATCTACTTTCTTGCCTAGATCCATCGTCTAATTGCACAATATCTCCATGGAAAAATGATATAACATCTGCTGTCATCATCTCAGCAACTTCGTTTGCATGCACCCGGTGGTTCTCCAAAAAGGGCTGTACGTCGTGTGATGCGATGCTGCCCGGCCCGGTCGTCTTTCCATTTTTCGTTTTCTTGACTGTTCCTTCGCAACTCTGCTTTTCGTTCAATTCAATTCCAAAATCCAAACATTTTTTTTTTCTGGGTAGATACCCACATGTAGAGTCTTATGCTCATCACCCTTTCTGTTTGTGTGGCATTTAAACTTCCTGATTTTTTTTTCCCGAATTTTTATGGATTCATCACTCTTTTCTCCTACTCACTGAAAGGCAGTGGAATTCATAAAATATCCTCATCTTATTTCTAGCAGCTTCATGAATATCATCACGGCGCATTCTTCATGTTCTTCAAGTTTCCTATTTCTTCTCACAACACACTGAACAACCGTATCGTTTGCCTCTCTTATCGGAGCATAGTTGCCTTGATAGTATATCTTGCTAATCACCCATCGGGCGACATGCTGCAGGGAAAATACAAGATCCCCTATCTGTCACCGAGGACGAGTTTAAGAAGATGGTGAAGGTCAATTTCATGGCGGCATGGTATTTGTTGAAAGCTGTGTCCAAGAGAATGAGGGATTCCAAGTCTGGAGGATCCATTGTCTTTGTATCCTCAATCCTTGGTGCAGAACGGGGGCTATACCCAGGGGCTGCTGTATATGCTTCATGTATGGGCGCCGTGCAGCAGTTGGTCAGGGTAAGCGCTCTCTGCATCATATACTTTATTCGGTAATGTTGGTCGACAGAGTCGGAGATTTCTCTTTCAAGTATCAAGAAGATGAGCCTCAATCATGCCTGATTTCATGCCTTGGTGGCTTTCTTGGCTCGGATTTGATGCTAATCATGAATCGTTATCTACCTTAGGAAACTTTGGTTAATCAAAGTTTGAAACAAAAAGAAAAAGAAAAGAAGAATTGGAGAATTGGACAAGTGTCGATTCATATAGTAGAATAGCCGGCATAATCTTATTATAATCCATTCTATATGGGGATATCACATCAACAGCAAAGTTCTCTGTCTGATTTTTTTTTTTTGTTGCTATTTCATCACATGATTTATAGCTCGAAGCAAAAACTTTAGGAAAGTGGAGAATAATCCGCAATGTGTTCAATTATGTGGTGTCTCATGAGGAACATAGTTGCTGAAATATCTTATATACAATGTTTTCCGGCTTATTTTTCGGTATATATTAGATAAAATCTCAGGAAAATATATAAATCCCCTGTCCTCTGTCCCCTGTCATGGACAATCATATATATTAATTTCGGAGATTTTCTTCAAAAAATAAATTGAGTTGGGAAAATAGCCCACTTTTTTTTTTGTCAGATATTAATCAGAAATGACCCATTAATTATATTGATGATTATTGTCTGTTCCCTCCAGGCTTCTGCAATGGAGTTGGGAAAGCACCAGATTAGAGTCAACGGGATCGCCCGGGGCCTCCACGTGGACGACGAGTACCCGGTCGCAGTTGGAAGGGAGAGAACCGAGAAGTTGACCAAGGAGGTGATGCCACTGCTGCGATGGCTCGACCCCCTGAACGATCTAGCTTCCACCGTCATTTACCTCGTCAGCGATGGGTCCCGGTTCATGACCGGCACGACCATCTTCGTTGACGGCGCCCAGTCCATTGTCAGGCCCCGCATGCGTTCCTACATGTGAGGAAGGACCTCTTTCTCTCTCTCTCTCTCTCTCTCTTAATTTGGGGGTGTAAATTTATCCGTTTATCAGTCAACGCGATCGCACTTTAGACTCCGGAATCCCTGGAAACGGGTAGAGAGAGAGTGAGAGGGGATTTGATCGACAGCTTATCCGTCTTTCCAGAACAATTTCTTTCTTTCTTCGTAGTCAACTCCTAGATGGAGAAACTTATGCTTGGGATCGAGAAAAATTCCCACAGCGGAAGCCTGGCTGCCTTCTGTAGGCCCTCGCCCGACCTGAAATTGAAGAAAAATCGAGAGAGAGAGAGAGAGAGCGAGAGAGAGAGAGAGAGAGAGAGAGAGAGAGAGAGATGGGCCGTGGGCTTTTGAAATATTTCAATCTGATTCCTCATAAGAGAATTATTTATTTAGATCATTCGCCTGAAGTGGTAAATTCCATCTGATTTTCAGTCAACTGTGGATAATGGTCGATTTTTCAAACCGGCTCGGTGCTTCCGAACGCCATGACGTTCTGAACACGTCATCTGAGCCGCCGCTGACCTCCAAAAGTCTGACTGCGGTCGCCCCGTCGGCTTTCCATCGACCATCTCCTCCTCCGTCCGTCAGTGGGGATACGCCACGATGAGCCCGCCGACGACGAACCCCCGATCAGTTGACCGGGACACTAACCATCGCAGCCATGAGACGTAAAATGTCTGATCGTGGAACATCAAGGGGCCGCCACGTATTGTATTTTCCTTGAACAAAATGTCCCGATGTCGACCATTGGGCCATCCGCGGGCCAACATACCGTGTCAAGTATTCTCCGGGCCGGGCCCGATTCATTCGGGGTCGACGCCCCCCTTCAGATTCAAGAGTCGGTTCTCGGCATTTCGCTCACGTGCCGCTATTTAGGACTCTCCTTTCCATCATCATCGGAAACTATCGTAGTCCTATCAGGCGGCCGACCTCCAAAGCCGCCGCCCAGGTCTTTCTCTCTCTATCTTTTCTCCGTCTCAAGGTTCTATATATAGCCCCCCCCCTCAGAACTTCTTCTTCCTTTAAAAACCTCCTCTCCTTCCTCTCTCTCTCTCTCTCTCTCTCTCTTCGTGGGATGGAAGATTATCGGACGAGGTTCTCGCCGGAAAGGTTTCCACGCCATTTGTCTCTGCCGCCGGCCTTTTTGCCGGAGAACGGGAAGACGGAGCTTGCGGGCTCGGTGGGCGGTCGTCGGGCCGGGATTAACTCGGCGACGATGAAGGGGGAAACGAAGGGAAGGAAAGTTCGGGTCGCCTTCCATACGAGAAGCCATGTGGACATACTCGACGACGGATATCGGTGGCGGAAGTATGGGCAGAAGGTCGTGAAGGACGAAAAGTTCCCAAGGTTACCACACCCATCTTCCTTCCTTCCTTCCTCTCTCTCTCTATTCCCCCTCTTGAATCCGAAAGTCGTGGAAAGGATGAGACTGTGAGAGGTTTATGGTGGCGCAAGTAGATCAGACGACTTCCCGCTGCATGCGATTCCTGAGTTTCGCGGACATCTTTTGAAGGATAACTGCGTTTAAACCTATCCAACTTTCTAGTAGGACTTGATCATCATATGAGAGTACGAAGAGGGAAGATGCATTTATACAAATATACACACAAACATACATACATACATACATACATACATACATACAGCGAGAGAGAGAGAGAGAGAGAGAGAGAGAGAGAGAGAGAGAGAGAGAGAGAGAGAGAGAGAGAGAGAGAGAGAGGATTCAACCCAATCTTGGCAAGGATCCTCACTTGGTTTCCCCTCTCACACTCTCACTAGAAACTCTTATAATGATGGCTAATTAGCTTTTGGGAGCACAAGAACTTGTTTGGATCTCTTTATGTCAAGCTAGAGTACATATCATATAAAAGAGTGGGTATGTTTCTTGAAAAGGGTTGGTTTGATTTTTCTCTAATTCCTTTCTTTCTTGGCTGCTAGACTCTAGAAGGCAAGATATGGTATTTCAAACACAATTTTATAATGATTACATCACCTGACCTATTGCACTCTTTTACTACATATGTTCTTGCTTATTGGGGTTCCACTAAATTCTTATTGAAATATTTATGAATTAAAAGAGTCTTCATTTATTTTCATTAGATTTAACATTTTGAATCAAGTCAGGATACTACTTAAAAATATTCTTCTAGATTTACGGTTATAGGGGGTCAAATTAGAGAAAACATTCTTCTCTATTTGATATTCACAACTCTAAGGGACCAAATAGAGGTGACTAATTTATTTGATATTTAGCCCTCTAGAGCCATCATGGCTCTAGAGGGCTAACTATAGGAAACCTACCTCTCTCTTCTAGATTTAAAACTCTATGGGGCCAAACAAGATTAATGTCTATTAATTTCCTCTAGATTAATGCTCTAATTGAGCTTTGGATACAAATACATTCTAAACAAGTGTAATTTTTTTTAACATTCTTTTGCACTCAGTTCTAATCTTCTCAAGGCTTGAATTTAATTTCTTGTTTGGAAGCTTAACAACAAGGATCCCTTTTTGTACCTTTCGATGTTTCTCCTTCTTCATCTCTTGTTCTTGATTTCTTGTTGATCTTCCATATCTTTGGTTGAAGAGAGACTTCTCATATATATTCCTGGTTTTTTATTTGATTTATTTGATTTTGAATGATTGTTGAACATCCTAAATCAAGTGTGCACTCAATGGTTGTCTTGTTCCCTCCCCTCATGTGTTAACACATAATATATTAGGACATAGAGAAAATGTGCATATAATATTATTTAAAATATTTAATACATTTAAAAATACCATTTTATGCCTAATGTTGAATTAATGTAATTCAAGGCTTTTCACAATAGCAATGATCAAACTGGCCATAATACTCAATTTTAGAATCACAAACTTTATTGGGATTATTCTTCTAGATGTTATTATCATCATAAAATATGTAAGTCATGAATGAACTCATAAGTTCAAGCCTTGTGTCTTGATTTCATGGGTTTTGGCAAAATCTGAAACTTTGTTATAGTCATTGAATAATGAATGATAAATAGTACATACATTCCATATTAGCTTAGGAGTTAGTGAATGAATTGAAAATGTCTGCCAAGTGTAAATTTTAACTAGGAGTCAATATTCCATCTCTCTCTAGCAGTCAATATTCCAACTTTGAACGGTTTTCTTTCTTTCACTATCTTCCTCTCTCTATGTCTCTATTAATCTTTCTGTGTGCCTAATTTAATGTTGTTACATTATTATCTCTTTCTCTCTTTCCTAACTATGTGTACCCATTTTAATGTTGTTGCACTCTATTCAACCTCTCTCCCTCTCATGCTTTATGTCCACCAATTTAATTTTGTTGGACTTCTTTCTTTCTCATCTATCTTGAGGTTATTAATCCAAATTTGAAATGCTCAATTTCACAATCATTATATTCCTCATCTCTATTTCTAACTCTATTATCTCCCCAAACTTTCAATAGTTGAAGATTTCTTTGTTGCAATATTATCTCTCTCTCTCTCTCTATTTGTCTTTTAATTTATTAATGTCTTCTTCAATCTTCTTCACAGAAGCTACTACCGGTGCACTCACAATGGGTGTGGTGTTAAGAAGCAGGTGCAGAGGTTGTCAAAGGATGAGGAGGTGGTGGTGACAACCTATGAGGGGATGCACTCCCACCCTATTCAGATGCCAACTGACAGCTTTGAGCGGATCTTGAGGAGAATGGATCTGCTTGCCAATTTCCACCCACATGGTGCACAACATGGGGCCATTCTCTCTATTGAAGGATAGTCTTTTGAGTGTAATTTTAGGATTTCAAGCTACTCTTTCTATTATTCATCCTCTCCCCCTCTCTCTCTCTAAATAAATATAGAAATATCTATTTCTATCTTTGATTGGATGAACCTTTTTGATGAGAGCATGCCAAAGAGCCTTTTTAAAAATATTTTCACTAGGTTTTCTAATTCTCTAAGCACAAGTTGTAATTCTAATAAATATTTTATTATTTAAGTGATATAGTTCTATGACAAGAAAATACTACTTTTCTAATTACTCCAAAAATAATCAATAAGATACATTTTTATTTTTCATGATAAACTATAAGAATTATAATTAATTTGATTGAGAAACTACAAATTAAGTATAGATAGATCAAAATAATGAATAAATAAATTTAGAAAGATTGATAGTTAGCTAGATAGATAGAGAGAGAGACTTCCATTCTCTCTCTCTCTCTCTTAATTTATCTATCCCCATCTTTGATTGAATGGATCTTCTTGATGGGTGTCTAAGAGCCCTTTTTTAAGAATTTTCATTGTGTTTTCTAATGCTCAAAGATTAAATAATACTTTATAGTATAATATATATTTTATTAGTGAAAGGATATAGTTCTAAAGAATAAAGATCATACTTGTGACAACAAAGTGCTATTTTTTCAATTTCTTGAAAAATAAAATGATAGTATTGACGTGACTTAGTCGTTGTATAGTAAATCACGCAAATCTAAAATTTATAAAACTAGAAAATATGAACTTTTAGATATTTAGAACTATTTCTGAACAAATATATCAAGTATAATTCAATAAAACTTCTAAAAATAGTGATAATTTTTCAGGTCGATCACAGGGATGTAATATAATATCTGGTAATTATTTAGAATTTATCTCAAAGAATACTATTTTCTATGGATTTTATATTAAGAAAGGAAAATAAAATATATTTAAAATTCACAAAAAGAAAGAAATATGGGTGCAGACGTCAAGATGATGTCAGCGCTTGGCAAACACAAATCGGGTAGAAATAGAGTTCCACCTGATGATTCTTATGTAAGTGATTACAAATGATTTAATTGATCAAATTAAGATCTATAAAAGCTAGAAGAATCATAATGAAATGCGATATATCTTGGTAAATTTAAAATCAACAAATTACCACTAAATGAAATGACAATTAAGTTGAAAGTAGGAAAATAGAGTTTTGACGTTGCAGTGGTGATGTGTCGGCGATGCACCGGAATCCTAAGCGTTTGGGAGGATCGTCATGTAATGTCCATAGCCTCGAAGGCTCTTCTTGGACAAAGATGACGGGGACAATCTTTAGATCTCCTTACAAAGTCTAGAGATTAATGAAATGGGTTGTTAAATTGTCTCCGGCGGCTGTCACCTGGCGGAGCGGAAAAATGACGACTTTGTGGCTCTCTAGTAACTATCACCCGACGGAGGGGAGTTAGATAGAGGTGGGGCACATGTTAGGGAGCTTCATCCTCAGGTCCACGTAGCAAGAGGAGGTTCTTCATCGCATCTAGTATGCTCTCAGGAGGTGGCGACTCGTCTCCCAACGGATTGTCCTCTTCTTGACGATGGCTTGTTCTTCGATCAATCGGAGATGCTTTACTCGATAGATTCACGATCCTTTTATCACGAATCATTCAAAAATTTTAGTAACAATGCTCTGTAAATCGTGTTGATGAGATTTTTGTCGATGATCTAACAATTCTGGTTGTTTAATCTTTCACTAGTGATCTGCAAGAAAGTTGCGATAATCAAATAAAAAATATGAATTTTGGCCCTAGGAAGATTCGAACTTGCGCCGGTTGCCTGCCCCTTTTTAGGGAAGGTGACGTGGGTTTAGTCCCACATTGGTTGTGCGCCAAAGTTTCTAGCGAATATGTACGACCACTCCTTACCCCACAGCTAGCTGGCCACCAGTGACGTGGAAGGGGAGTGGTGCACACGTGTCCCCATCGGTTCAAGCCACTTGAGCCCTTGCTTGTGGCTCTTGGCCGACCGCGCTTACGACCCACTTGCAGACTCGGCTGACCAGTAGGCCCCCTTCATTTTGCTATATTTTTATTTTTATTTCTTTTCCTTTATTTATCTCAAAATTAAGACTGTAAAAATTATATAAAATCACCTAATTACCCAAAAATTCACGTTAATCAATTGAAAACCACTTTTCACACTTTAACACAAAGATAAGTCTATTTATCATGAGTTAAGGCTAAAACTATATTATTTACTAATTATTAACTCATGATGATGAAGACTTGTCAAGTATATATTTTAATTTCTTCATGATAAATTATAATAATTATAATTAATTTAGTTGAGAAACTACAAAATTAAGAACATATAGACATACATCAATAAATATATTGAGAGAGAGAGAGAGAGAGAGAGAGAGAGAGAGAGAGAGAGAGAGAGAGAGAGAGAGAGAGGATTCAACCCAATCTTGGCAAGGATCCTCACTTGGTTTCCCCTCTCACACTCTCACTAGAAACTCTTATAATGATGGCTAATTAGCTTTTGGGAGCACAAGAACTTGTTTGGATCTCTTTATGTCAAGCTAGAGTACATATCATATAAAAGAGTGGGTATGTTTCTTGAAAAGGGTTGGTTTGATTTTTCTCTAATTCCTTTCTTTCTTGGCTGCTAGACTCTAGAAGGCAAGATATGGTATTTCAAACACAATTTTATAATGATTACATCACCTGACCTATTGCACTCTTTTACTACATATGTTCTTGCTTATTGGGGTTCCACTAAATTCTTATTGAAATATTTATGAATTAAAAGAGTCTTCATTTATTTTCATTAGATTTAACATTTTGAATCAAGTCAGGATACTACTTAAAAATATTCTTCTAGATTTACGGTTATAGGGGGTCAAATTAGAGAAAACATTCTTCTCTATTTGATATTCACAACTCTAAGGGACCAAATAGAGGTGACTAATTTATTTGATATTTAGCCCTCTAGAGCCATCATGGCTCTAGAGGGCTAACTATAGGAAACCTACCTCTCTCTTCTAGATTTAAAACTCTATGGGGCCAAACAAGATTAATGTCTATTAATTTCCTCTAGATTAATGCTCTAATTGAGCTTTGGATACAAATACATTCTAAACAAGTGTAATTTTTTTTAACATTCTTTTGCACTCAGTTCTAATCTTCTCAAGGCTTGAATTTAATTTCTTGTTTGGAAGCTTAACAACAAGGATCCCTTTTTGTACCTTTCGATGTTTCTCCTTCTTCATCTCTTGTTCTTGATTTCTTGTTGATCTTCCATATCTTTGGTTGAAGAGAGACTTCTCATATATATTCCTGGTTTTTTATTTGATTTATTTGATTTTGAATGATTGTTGAACATCCTAAATCAAGTGTGCACTCAATGGTTGTCTTGTTCCCTCCCCTCATGTGTTAACACATAATATATTAGGACATAGAGAAAATGTGCATATAATATTATTTAAAATATTTAATACATTTAAAAATACCATTTTATGCCTAATGTTGAATTAATGTAATTCAAGGCTTTTCACAATAGCAATGATCAAACTGGCCATAATACTCAATTTTAGAATCACAAACTTTATTGGGATTATTCTTCTAGATGTTATTATCATCATAAAATATGTAAGTCATGAATGAACTCATAAGTTCAAGCCTTGTGTCTTGATTTCATGGGTTTTGGCAAAATCTGAAACTTTGTTATAGTCATTGAATAATGAATGATAAATAGTACATACATTCCATATTAGCTTAGGAGTTAGTGAATGAATTGAAAATGTCTACCAAGTATAAGTTTTACCTAGGAGTTATGTATTATCAACTTTCTTATCATCAGATTTCAATATTTGTTGCTAGATTCTTCCTCTCTCTCTCTCACTCTATCTGTCCCTAGCAGTCAATATTCCAACTTTGAACGGTTTTCTTTCTTTCATTGTCTTCCTCTCTCTATGTACCTATTAATCTTTCTATATGTGCCCAATTTACTATTATTACATTCTTATCTCTTTGTCCCTTTCCTTCTTATGTGTACTCATTTTAATGTTGTTGTACTCTCTCTCTATAGTTGAATATTTTCTTTATTATAGTATTATTTCTCTCTCTCTCTCTCTCTGTGTGTATGTCTTTTAATTTATTAAAGCCTTCAATCTTCCTTTAGAAGCTACTACTGGTGCACTCACAATGGGTGTGGCATCAAGAAGCAGGTGCAGAGGTTTTTAAAGGATGAGGAGGTGGTGGTGAAAACCTATGAGGGGGTGCACTCCCACCCTATTTAGATGCCAGCTGATAGCTTTGAGTGGATCTTGAGGAGAATGGATCTGCTCGCCGATTTCCACCTACATGGTGCACAACATGGGGCCATTCTTTCCATTGAAGGATAGTCTTTTGAGTGTAATTTCAGGATTTCAAGTTACACTTTCTATTATTCATCCTCCCCTCTCTCTCTCTAAAGAAATATAGAAATATCTATTTCTATCTTTGATTGGATGGACCTTTTTGATGAGAGTATGTCAAAGAGCCCTTTTTAAAATAGTTTTCACTGGGTTTTCTAATTCTCTAAGCACAAGTTGTAATTCTAATCTAACATAAATATTTTATTATTGAAGTGATCTAGTTCCATGAATATGACAAGAAAATATTATTTTTCAATTGCTTCAAAAATAATTAATAAGATACACTTTTATTTTTCATGATAAAGCATAAGAATTATAATTAATTTGATTGAGAAACTAAAAATTAAGGATAGATAGAAATAAATGAATAAATAAATTTAGAAAGATAGAGAGATCGATAGTTAGCTAGAAGTCTCTCTCTCTCTCTCTCTCTCTTAATTTATCTATCCCCATCTCTGATTGGATGGTTCTAAATAATAAAGACCATACTTGTGACAACAAAGTTCTATTTTTTCAATTTCTTGAAAATTAAAATGATAGTATATATTTTAATTTTCTTCATGATAAATTATGAGAATTATAATTAATTTGATTGAGAACATACAAAATTA